ACAAGAAACGGAGAAAGATCTGACAGTTTATCTGTGCTAATTAAATTCGAAGTAGAGCAATTACCAAGCAAAGTATTCATCGGTTACATAAGCTATAATGTCAAAATCTACAATCCTCCACCATTGAGATGTTTCAAATGCCAAAAATTCGGTCACATTGCAGCAGTTTGTAAAGGGAAACAGAGGTGTGGAAGGTGTGCAGGAGAACATGAGTACGGAAAATGTGGAAAAGAAGCTAAAATAAAATGCTGTAATTGTGGTGGAGAACATACTGCTGCCTATCGCGGCTGTGAAGCAAGCAAAAGGTCTGAGGAAATAAAAAAAATGAAATTTGAGCTCGGAATAACCTACGCTGAAGCTGCAAAAAGGATCCCATCTCAGTCAGAAAAACCCAAACCTACAGTTCAACACACGGCAAATTCCAAACCTCTAGAGAAATCTCTAAAAATTGATGAAGACTCACTTATTGTTAAAAAGACAAATTTTGTTCTTTTCATGGTAGAAGTGATTAATTGTACTGCACAGACAACAACAAAAACGGAAAAAATCAAAATAATAGTGAAGGCTGCAGAAAAATATCTGGACATTAAAGATTTGAACTGGGAGATGGTTGGAAGTATGATGGGAGGACCGATGGGACCATCAGAAACTGTCAGAGTTAAGATGACCTAGAGTAAATTAAAATTATATGGGCAAATGTGATTTAGTATTATGTTGGTTTAAGTTACACAGGTTTTTTTTTTTTTTTTTTTTTTTTTTTTTTGGGGGGGGGGGGTGAATCGTTTCCTGTTTTCTTGCTTTACTCCATATCAGTTGGTGGCGGTAATGCACAATTCACAAGTCTGCCAACCGCCATAAAATCCCATAAGAAGAAGAAGAAGAAGGAGGAGCGTGGCTACTTTACTGTGAGCAGGAGGAGGGATCGTTTATTGCAACCCGATTAAGTGAGGGAGAACTTAGCAATAACCATGCCGATGTTCGTGGTGAACACCAATGTGGCCAAGAGCGACGTCCCTGCGGCGCTGCTGTCTGAGGCCACGGAGGAGCTGGCTAAAGCGATGGGGAAACCAGTGCAGGTAGGCCCGGCTGGGGGTCACCGGTGCTGCAGGGTCCCAGTGAGCCCGCATGATATGTAAACGCCTCCGTTTTCTACGTTAATTAAACTTACTTTTGATGCCATGTGATTTGCAGAAGTCATATTTCATACTAACATGTGCTGTTATTTTCCTGTGTGAAACTATGCAAACATGGCCGGAACCGATGAATGATTAACCAAAGAGGGCCCTTTATTTAAAGCAATGCTGATATGATTAAATCAAAATCTTTGTTTTTAAGATTTAAGTACAAAAGGAAAAAAAAAAAAAAAAAATTATTACATTATTGGCTCATGCTACAACTGCAAGTCAGCAGCCAACACCAATATCCCGAGTTATTTGTTCCCATTTACTTATTAAAATGTTGAATAATGGAATATTTTAGACTTTATTTTGGAAAAACTATTTTCATCGCTTTAAATGTCCTTTATTTTTCTTTAGTCTCTATATCCATTGTTTTTCTACATCATTTTCTATGTATTTTGTATATTTTGAACGATCTACACCTGGGTGAAGTCTAAATATTCACCCATATTAATTATATCTGTAGGTATAAGAGGTTAGTATGTTTATATATTTATTTGTTTGTTTTTTGTTCACTTTCATATTCTTTTGAACAATTTCTGTGAGTTTTAGCATAGAAAACAAAGTTTTATTGGCTCATAGACTGTCAGAGCACTTAACTTGAATTGCATGAATTTTAGGCCCTTCAGTTTCACAATTATTTATATTGTGAAGATTGTTGCATTTTGTGATCATTGTGCAGCCTTATCTGAAATGTCTAGAAGACATTAAAAAAAAAAAAGTCGTAAGAAACCATTAACCAGTGTCAACAGAAATTTGAATAAAACCTGCAAACCGACTTCTCTTAAATGATCTAACACTAATCAATTTGATCTGACTGTTATTTTTTTGCCAATGTATTGTTTACACCAGTATATTGCTGTGCACATCAACCCAGACCAAATGATGATGTTTGGAGGAAAGGGAGACCCCTGTGCACTCTGCTCCCTCCACAGCATTGGCAAGATCAGCGGTGCTCACAACAAGCAGTACTCTAAACTCCTTTGTGGACTGCTCAACAAACACCTGGGTGTCTCTCCTGACAGGTAACAAAAGCATTGAGTTATTTGACATTAAACATTAAAGTCAGTTCCCTTTGACCCGTTTTCCCCTTTTTGTCATTTCAGGATTTACATAAATTTTGTGGACATGGATGCAGCCAATGTGGCCTGGAACAGCACCACGTTTGGCTGAGTTTGAAATCAACGCTCTCAAACAAACTACCATTCCAACATTCTCCTTCGTTACAAACCTAGTCAAGTGATGAAATAAAGAACAGAGACCCTCAGAAACACATTAGTACTTTCAGAATATAATAGGCTTGCCTAAAAGTCACTTAACTGGACCCCTTTCCTTTGCACTAAGTCTTTACCATTCGGTTAAATAAATAAAATCCTGTAAATCATAAATGAGATTGTGTTTGCTTTGATTGTCTCTACATTTCAGAAAGTTAGTGTTGTGAAGGCCAAGTTTGCGTAGTAAACTTCTATTTTTCAGAAGAAAAACACGAGAGATAACTGCAGAAAGAAGGCTCCATGTTCGATTACCAGCCCGGAGTCTTTCTGCATGGAGTTTGCATGTTCTCCCTGAGCATGCATGGGTTCTTTCTGGGTACTCTGTCTTCCTCCCACAGTCCAAAATATAACTTAGTTTAATTAGCTTCTTTAAATTCTCCTTGGAGTGAGTGCGTGCATGACTGGTTGTTTGTCTATGTTGCCCTGCAATGGACTGGCGACCTGTCCAGGGTGTACCCTACCTCTCGTCTGTAGTCAGCTGGAGATAGGCACCAGCAGCCTTTGCGACCCTCCAAGTAAGCATTGACAATGTGTCAAACACAACTACGCATTGATTTGGTGTGAATATAAGCCATTCAGCCACTTGTCCAATTTGAGCTGGTGCTCATCGCTTATTTCCCATTTGCTGAGAAGCAGTCAAGTATGGCAGGCTGTATTGACATTTATTAGCTAGACTGAATATGTAATCCAGATGTTTCAAATGATTTTCTTCCTTGTCAAAATTAACATTTTAGATATCTGAAATGTAATTCTTACTAGTAAAAATTACACATGAATACAAAATCTAAAACCTTCTTCATATCTAAAAATTAATTCTTGTGAGGCTGAAATCTAATTTCAAATCTCCATATTAAAGCATTCAAATTGATTCAAAAGATTTCTATCTTAGGAAAACCAGTGGATGACTTATTGACTCAAAGGCCATTCCTCACACCAAACTTGCTTATAGCGACAGTGGAGAGGAAAAACACCCTTTTAACAGGAAGAAACCTCCAGCAGAACCAGGCAAGGTGTAAGCGGCCATCTGCCGAGACCGACTGGGGTTCAAGTAGACAGACGCAGACATACAGAAAAAAGCAGAGATACAAAGTGCTGATGAAGATTCTCAGTCATCCAGGTCATAGTCATTCCGTAAAAATTAAAAAAAAATCCACTGGACTTGGTTTCCAAGATTTGAAGACGCTTCACCACCTCTCCTGGGAGCTTTCTCAATTTAAATGTCTTGCGGGCATGTTTCCAAGTGATACAAGGCTGTGTCTATATAAGACTCAAACTCACTGCAGATCCAGACATTGGAATTGAGAAAGCTCCCTGGATAGGTGGCGAAACGTCTTCAAATCTTGGAAACCAAGTCCAGTGGATATTTTTAGAATTTTTATGGAACAGAGATACAAACCGACATCTCCCATGTCAGAGGACGGACAGAGCACATCCAGCCAGTCACAGTCAGGGAGACAGGACTACACTTAAAAATGGGCAGAGGTCAAACATCTATAAACAAAGGTGTTGATGGGAGCAGCACAGCTGATATTTCTCTCCAGGATGGAGTCACAGCCAAACAGGAACAGACGAGATGAAGCTACTATGAGAAAAAGCAGAGAGAATTATTTTCAGATATTGAACTAACAGGTTCTGCCGAGTGGGAGAATAGAGATAGAATGATGAAAAGGGGGTCCCTATGTCCTAAAGGAGTCTAAGCCTATTGCAGCATAACTATAGAGATAGCTCAGGATAACCTGAGCTACTCTAACTTTACACCTTATCAAAAAGGAAAGTTTTAAGCCTAACCTTAAAAATTGACAGAAAAAAGACAAAAACTATAACTAAAAGATCTGCAATCACCTCCCACTCTACTTTTAGAAATTCAAGGAACCACTAGTAAACCTGCAGATTGAGAACGAAGTGCTCTGTTAGGAAAATAAGAAACAATTAGATATCTGATGTAAGACGTACCTCGGCCTTTTGAAGGATTTATATGTGAGAAGGAGGATTTAAAATTCTATTCTGGCTTTAACAGAGAGCCAATGAAGAAAAGCTAGGATAGGGGAGATATAATCTCTCTTTAATTTTCATCAGAACACTGGCTGCAGGCTTTTAACTACAGTTTCTGAACAGAAAAAATCTGAATCATTGCAAGAGGAGCTGAAAAGTTTTTGGGACTCGTAGAAGTTAGTTGGGAAAGCCATGCTACATGGTTGGAGATGGAGGGAAGAACAGGAGCATCTGGAACATAAAAGTTTAGGATATTAAGAATCAAGTTTAGTTTATTGCCAAGTAGGTTTGCACTTACAAGGAATTTGACTTGGTGTTGTTGGTACAGACAAAAAACAAATAAAAAAAACAAAACAACAACAAAAAACAAAATAAGATAGAAGATAAAGATACAAATGATAAATAGTGATTATATTAGATAAAGATGTAGGATATTGATTTCTTATATTATAGATGTAAAGTATATACATTTATTGGGTAATATGCTGTCATTTTTTTTCCACAATCTATACCAGTAGATGGCGGTAATACATTTTCAAATTGTTTGCCAACTGCCACTAAATTTAATTTAACGAAGAAGAAGAAGCTCCAGAGACGTCATTGCGATAGTCGGCGGGAAAAAGTCAGTTTGGGCCATCGTTCCATCTACTTCGACTTGTTTACCTTACTTTCACTGACACAAAAAAAACCTCCCAACCCGTAGGTGAGCCAAGGCTAGCTTCAAACGCATCCTGTCTCCCGGTGAATTCTTGAACGACTATTACCGGTTGTTTTGGTAACCACGGTGCTGCCCACTGATCTCTATGATGGCTGGATTATGCTAATGCTAGTTTATCCGAATGCTAGGCCGTAGCTATCACATTGATAGTATATTTAATTTGCATCTTAGAATCTGAATAATATTGATATTGGGCTTCAAGGTGTTGGAGTGGATTACGAAACGCGGTATGTTGTTTATATCTTAGTTGGTTTTAGACAGAAATATGGCGGACGATGATCATGTTTCCTCGTTTAGGTTATCAAAGTAACTAGAGGCTAATGTTGTGAAAGTTGCCTATGAGGCAAAGTTTAGCAAATCATATTTTTGGTCAAAACTACCAGCACCTGTCCCCCCTTCTTTGTAACGTTTGCTTCTTTTGATGCTTCTTGTTAAGTATCTTTATTTTAAAAAGGAAGTCATGTCTGTTTCCAGTCACAACAAACCCAGCCTACTTTAGAGACGGATAAAAAATAACCTAATCTCTGGGTATAGTTCTTTACCTAATAAGGTAAAAAAGTATTTTCTAACTTTAATATGTGGTATAAGTGTTGCTTGTACAGTTGGAAGTTGCTTTATGATAAATAATGCAGAATCATAATAAAACAAAGAAAATATAATTTGCTGTGTTTTCTGTTACTCTTCAAGTCCAGCTCTACAGGTTCTGTAGGATTAAACAAACTAACTGATGGCATTAACTTACATACAATATATTATTATTATATGTACTTACATTACTTAACACACTTGGGGATATTATAAAGGGATTATTAAGACAAATTGGTTTCTGTTTATCGAAGGCTAATCTTCCACAATCATTTGCAGAAATCCTGGGTCGTATAGTGGGACGATTGTTTATTTTAAATCTGTCAGATTTTTTTAGCATTAAAATTCCAACACCTGAGTTGCACAAGTTTACGTTATTGTGCTTGGAAGGAAAACTGTTACTTATTCTTGAATTTTGGTTAAATAGAGGTGTTTGGACACACCAAATTTGAAAGGATGCAATCAAGAGCTATCTAAATAATTTTGCATAAGCTGTTTATTTTGTTGTTCCCATGATAACGAGTTTCTTATTCTGTTTTATTGCACTATTGTGTGCTCTGAACAGGTTGTTTCAACATGCTGGTGAAATAACAGCATTGTGCATCATTTACTGTACATGGCATGATTGATATTATAAAAATAAACCATAGAAAATCCATTTTGGTTTTGAAGACAACTTTAACCTGATTATGTGTTCTTGTGTTTAACCAATCAGGACTCCCACAACCTCTCACTGTAATTAAAGGTTGATCATCTCCAATCATGTCCGACCATCTGATGCGAGGTGTCCAGGTCCAGCTGACCACAGCGATGGACAATGTCTTGAGGACGACCGTGTTTGAAGTCATGAGGATTTTTGAAAGCGCGTTCCATGACCATAAAATGGAGTTGGTGCAGAAGGGAGAAGAGATTGCTCAGCTCAAAGTAAAGCTACAAACTGCAGAGCTTAGGATAAAAGACTTTGAGGTGCACAATAAAAGAGGAGCAGAGAAAAGTAAAACTCAGACGGAGCCAGAAGTTGTTTCAGATGTCCCAGAGCAGTTTACAGTTGTCCCTGAGGTTGATGCTGAAGGTATATAAATTTTTTTTTTTTTTTTTTTTTTTTTTTACCTCAAGTAATCTAAATATTTACTACAGTGGAGGTTGAACATGCTTTCTATGTTTGTTTTTGCACAGTGCCTGATGACTGGTGTGCTCCACTTTGCGATGATACAGCGACCAAGCCAGAGGAGGGTTTTTGTCCCAGCGTAAGGCTGCGACAGTTTTCCATTCCTCTGTACCCTGTCCCACTTCTTAAGTACGAGGTGTGTAGATGAATGGGGAAGTTTTTGTTCACTGAAGTCTGCTAGTTTCATCTTTACTCTTTTTGCATGTGAGGCTGGGTTGGTTGGTTCAAAGAAGTTACCAGTTGGAAAATTTTAAGATTTGTCTAAGAATTTGGAGAGTGTAACCTCTGGCAAAAATTGTGGAATCTCCAGCCTCAGAGGATGTTCATTCAGTTGTTTAATTTTGTAGAAAAAAAGCAGATCACAGACATGATGCAAATATAAAGACATTTCAAATAGCAACTGTCTAGCTTTAAGAAACACTAAAAGAAATCAGGAAAAAAAATATGGTCGTCAGTAACGGTTACTTTTTTAGACCAAGCAGAGGGAAAAAAATCATGGAATCGCTCAATTCAGGGGAGAAAAAAATGAAATCATAAAAAACAAAAGAACACGTCAAGACATCACTCGTATTTTTTTGTACCACCTCTGGCTTTTATAACATTGCAGTCTCTGAGGAATGAACTTAATGAGTCACAAACAGTACTCTTCATCAGTCTGTTTGATTGCTGTTCATAGATCAGCTTTGCAGTTCGGAGCCTTGTCATGGACCATTATCTTCATTCTCTTCTTGTCATGTCTTTGATCTGCTTTTTTTCTACAAAATTAAACAAATGAATGAAGATCCTCTGAGGCTGCTGATTCCATCATTTTTGTGGAAGCCGATATACTGATGGACATGGTGCCTATAGTAGAGAAGCCTGGCTTCCTTCGCATCATAAAAGTGTGTGATCCAAAATGTGGCCCGCCAAGTCGTAAACATTTTGCGGATGTTGAGCTACCAAAACTTAACAATGAAGCACGACAAGCGCTCTTTGAAAAATTGGAATCTGCTTTGTTATTTACAACTACTGCAAATCTTAAGTCCACTCGATCTCTTCAGCCGTCATGAGAATCAGACTTTTTTCTTGCACCTGTGTTGAATATATTGGTGTACATTTTTAACTGATAAAAAATCAGTACAATTATTGTTGGGCGAATATTTGTGTTACTTGCACAAGATTTATGTTAAGAATATGGAAGTTTAAAATTTTTTTTAACCAATCATTTATTGTCGACTAAATATTTGTTACTTTGCCCAATATATTTCTGAATAATATTTTAAAATCGTAATTGTCCAAGATGACAAAAAAAAAAATCGAGATTTTATTTTTTAGCAATATCGCCCAGCCCTAGGCAGACATTAGGTAAAAATATCCCAAGTTACTGTCAGATCTACTCTTTTATTTATTTTGTTCCTTTTAGCTCCAAATCAAATTGCTTTGAGTGAATAACACTGGATCCATTTAACTTAGCAAAAAGTGTTGTTATCTGAATGCTTGATTGTAATGCAAAACAATTGACTTTAAATTTTTTCTCCTTAGCATTTATACTCTGTCAGACATGGAGCCAGAGTCAACCTTGGCAAACAGGTAAAACATGACATTAACCCAGTTTCTAACCTGAACTATTTGTGCAGTGTGAGCCCTGCTTCTAAATATGGTGACAACACTGAGAAAACTAATGGAGAAAGGTGCCAAATTCCTCACATATTCACAAAGTATAAATCCATCCTGCTCAGACCTGCAACTGACATGAGTCCAAGTTTGGTCCAACAATAATTTACAGCTGACAATAAGTATACAGATCAGCCTCTTCCACTATATGCAAATTATTGTGGAGTCTCACATCTTTGACTAAACAACAAACCAGCTAAACAGCTTAACAACCTTACTGTTCAGATAGCATTACTGAAATTTACCCAAGTGATTTGTGTATTTACTTGCAAACACTTAATGAGCCTTATATTGTCTTGACTAAGAAGTAAGGAAAATAATCAGCGACTTTACAAATTCCAGCAACAGTGAAAACTTAAGTAAAGTACAACGCCTTTTATTAATTCTAGTCAACGGCAAGAAATCAAGGGACTTTTCATAAGATGTTGCAGAAAAACTATAACTGACATGTTTAAAGTATGAGCTGATGAGATCCAGAACAATCGAAATAAGGACACATAAGAGGACGCTACCTTCAGACAACTGTTCCATGATCTTCTCTGGAGCGTAAGATCATACAGTTTTTAGCTAAGTGTTTTAGCAAGATTTTAATTCAAATGAACCAATGCTTTAACTTGTATTGCCCCTGTGTCTGGTTTCGAACACTCTTTATAATTTATTTTGAGTTGAATGCTTTTGGAAGGTGGTCTTACTTTGCAACCTGATACAGATTCATTTTGAATAGAGGGGAAATATCTTAACCCTCCCGCTGTGGGGGACATCAGAGTGGCAGTGGCAAAACAAGTAAACAGAAGAAAGGGCACAGGTACATATAAGATTGAATAATATAAAGTTATAGAAGTTGGCAACAAAAGAGCAAAACACCATGTGGTTATTAATGAAATCTCATACTTGAATAAAACTAAACGTTCAAATTAAAAAACAAAAAAGGCAGCCAGTTTATGGCATGATGGGGAATTAAAAGGAAAACTAATGACTACCGGTATAAGCCTTATCAGCTCCCACTGGCCCCGAGCACCTCTGAAGCCAATTGGAGGGTGTCTGTCCCCAAGGCCTTTTAAATGCTAAGCATCAATTTGAATTTAAACCCCATGATATACACAGATGTCAGTGCCAGGTCTGAACATGCAGAGAGTTGTGTTTAATTATGGTAAAACCCACAGTTCTCCCTATTTTCTATAGATAATGTGTTGCTCTTTAGGAATATAACGAGTCATTCAATTCTTTAGGTGGACATGGGAGCCATAACCCTGGGGAGAAATCTTGGAACCAGGAGATCCACAAGAAGTAAGTTGGTTTATGAACCGTTTTTTCCTTTGGGAAATCCTACCATTCCTTATGAATGAGCAGAGCTTTTCATTAATAAACACAGAAAATTCTGTTGGCTTTAGCGTGAGCTGACAGGACCTGACCTCACACTCCTTATAGACTTTATCAATGAATGGTTGCTGGTCAACCTTTAAACGATGATTATTATGATTATTAGCCATAATGAAGACTTATCAGTTCCAAACTCCATTTCCAAAAATCAGAAATAAATGCTTGGGAAAAAAATCAAGTGTAATAGCATGTGTTTTACATAAATTTCACTTTCTAAATTTAAGACATTTTACATTGAAATTGAAGAGATGAAAAAGCAAAGCAATAATTTTTAAGGTAGTCAAACCGCGTCTCTGTTTTTTTGGAATACTGCACAGAAAATGAACTCAATTATTTCACCAGCAGCTTTATTGCTATCTGTCATGCTCTCTATAGACTAAAGAGCCGTTCGGACAGTTTGTCCTTTTCCTGGATAGGTGTCAAGGTTTACATAATTGGCATGAACAGGATGACTGAGAATTAGCAAAGACAACATAAAAAAAAAACTTGATTCAGCCTTTTCCAGACAAAATCATGATTTTATTTTTTACAGATGCATTTCTGTAACATTTTTCACGAAATGATTGACATTGTCTCCATGATGTCATCTTTCGATTCATCAGCCTCATGAAATTTTGAGTAGGACACAGTCACTAGTGTGTTGGTGTTTGTATTTGTATTTCATTTAAGCCGTACTTTAAAAACATGCTGCATGAAATAACAGTTTTCTCTTTATCGAGTCTGTCTATTCATAACCGCCTTGCTGTAACGGTTTAGGTGAGGGCGAAAAAGCTGAGGGTTTTTATGCAGGTTAGATTTTCAGGTTAACCGTACCTGATCTTATTTTTTGGAAGTTAATTTCTCCCTTTTATTTACCATATTGTTAAATATAGAAAAGATCAATCATTTAAGACAAGTCAGTTCACTAAATTCATGCCACAGCATTATATAATACTCTTCTTTGTTCTTCCCAGGTTCTACACGAAAAGAAAAGGAAAAGCCCTACCAAGATAAAGACCTAGCCGTATGTCACCAAAGCAATCGCCCTCCAAAACTAAGTGGTGACCTCAAAAGATTATTCCAAGGTCTCAACACGAATTACTCCAACCTTAAAAGTTTGGGCCGTCTACGGAAAAGGAAGAGTGAGGGATCTTTTGGTGATGAAGAACAAAAAGAAAAGAAAGAGAAAGAGGACTTATCAGAGCAGAAAAATGAGGAGAAACCAAAAGAATCCGAACCAAGTGAATCCAAGGCAGCCATTCTGCAGGCAGTGAGAATGCAGAGCAAAGAAGCATTCTCCTGTGGAAGGTGCAAAAAGTCATATCCAACAAAACCTGGCCTGCTTGTACATTTGCATGCTCAGGTGAGTTGCGGGGGCTGCAACATGGTCTTTTGCTTCCAAGAGGCTCTTGACTACCATATACGATTTTGTGAAAAGCACAAGGCATTGATGAACAGAAATCACAAAGAAGATGAAAAGATGGTTACTGGTGAAGGAAATGTACTTAATTCCAGCAAATTGATCATAAAAGAAGAGAGGCCGAATTCTTCTGCTGTTAAAAGCAACACATCCCGCGAAGAGTATTCCTGCAAACACTGCGTCTTCAAGACTAAAAATACCGGCAAATGGAGAAAGCACATGAAAATTCATGGTGGGAGGATGATAACTTGCAGACTGTGTTCAAGGAAGTTCTCTCGGAAGCCTTCTCTCAAAGCACACATAACAAGAATGCACAGCCAACGCACCGATCCAGATGACAAAAGAGGAGACCTTGGATGGACAAAACCCTTGGAGGATGTCGACGAAGACAAGAATTGAAGAGACCCAGTAAATAAATGGTGTCTTCTATAAAATCCCAAGGGGACATTGTAACCACACAGGAGAGACGCTCTCCAACTGTGACAAGTGACATGCAACATGTCGCTTCCTCACTCTTTTACCATCCATAGGAAGAAATATAGTTGGGCTGGAAAGAAGTGCAGCTCTGCTCTGGAGGAGATCTCAGAAAACAGAAGGACTGATGAGCAGCAGTCTCTTACATCCACCATGCTGTCTGTGTTTGTGCAAACCTGTAAAGATTCTTTTATTTCCTAAACCATTTCATTAAAACTGAAAGATGTCTTAAATTGCAGGACAAACTTAAAAAAAGAAAAAAAACCTGCTATAGTTAGCTTCTGTGTTTCCTTGTTTTTCGTTTTTATTACAGCTCTTAATTGTCACAAAAAGACCTAGATGTGAAAGCTGTAAATGAAGCCAAAAGATATTGTTTGGTAAGATATTAGCTTTTTTTTTGTATGTTTTCAATTTGTTGGTTTGACTTATTATTTGACACATCTTTGGTAATGTTTTATCCGTTTTGTATGATTGCATTACTTAATGTTCTTTATCTGTGGATCTTGTCACAGAACTGTTTATTACCCGTGACAGGTGAAAAAGTTAAATGTTATTTAAAATTGGGTAACTCGCTCAAGGATTTCATTTAATTTAGTTCTAGTTTGAAATTTATAAGGAAGGTCTTTTTTTATTATTGGTTCAACTGATAATTTCAGTTTAGTTGTCAAAAATTGGCCTCATTTGATTTTAATGGGTTCTATGGTTGTCTTAAACATGAACATACAGTTTGGGATTTCTTTGAAATATTTGGAACAGTTGTAAAATGTCTTAAAAATTGAAGACTGGTTTTTACACAGACTCATTACCTGTTTGAGTATTTGCTGATTCCCATTTAGAGCTTTGTTCCTCTAAGGAGTGCTGAGATAAGAACATATATTGCAGTTTTTTAAATAAAACGTTTGCATGTTTTTCAACCACCCGTTTGATTTATATTTGTATTTGAAATTGTTATCTCTTTAATATAAATCAAAAATATTTTTAACTGCGTTACTCTCATATATCCTGCCTACCTTTACCCGCTGCTGAACGGGATTTCACGTTATCGCGAGATTTGCTGCCATAGGTAAGTTGCTGACCTGCTATATGAAACGTGCGTTTTTCCCTCCTTTCTAAGCTCTAACATTCATTTTATCTTGCCAAAAAAATTATATTTGTCCAGTAATGTACAACCGTTGCATCGGTCGGACAGTTTATGTTGCTTATTTTGTGTCTATAAAATAAACGGAAGTGCTAGCTAGGTGCTAGCTAAAAGTGGCTAATGCGACCTTCGGATCTTTGTTTACATAATTATTCAATGAAAACCACCGCGTGAGACGAGACAGTTATCGTCTCTCCTTTAACGACTTTTTAACCCAATTAAACGGAGCACATGTATCCAATGTTACGTGCGGCTGTTGTCATTTAGCCTAAATGTTAGCCTGGCGGTTTCTCAGCATGTGATATTTTTTATAAGCTCAGCGGCGCGTAGATCTGTCTGAGGATATTGAGTTTGATTTACAAACAGAAGCATGGAGGCTGTGAGGGGTGTTTTCCACGCTCAGCTGGCCACCGTCATGGATTCCCTGCTCGCTGCCGCCGTTTGCGAGATCGCCAAGATCTTCGAGAGCAGCCTGTGCGAACAGCAGGCGGAGCTGGTGCAGAAAGCGGAGGAGATCTCCATGCTTCGCTGCAGGCTGGAGAAGATGGAGAGGAGGTACAAAGCCAAGGAAGGGGGCACCGAGGAGGGAGAGCTGTCATCAGGAGTCAGAGAGGGCAGTCTGAGGCAGCAAACCCAGACAGGATCAGGTATGGCACATTCTATTTTATTGATCTCTCAGAGGCGTAGCCAGACATTTTTTATATGGGTGGCCAGGCAATAAACAATGTAGACTGAGGGGTGGCCGGAAGTGGATAGGTGCCAGAACCTCAGGGTCAAGTCCAAAGATAAGACTAACTATACTTTCCTACAGCCTTTGCTAACAAATAGAGGCATATATTTGAACATCAGCACTTTCTAGATGAAAGGTAAAGTTGAATCCCAGTCGGCCTGAGTCTGGTTCTGCTGGAAGTTTCTTCCTGTTTAAAGGGAGTTTTTCCTCTCCACTGTCACTATAAGCATACTTAGTGTGAGGATTGCATTCAAGTCAATGAGTCGATGCAATCAACTGGTTTTCCTTAGATAAAAAAACTTTTAATCAATTTGACTGTATGATCTTGTGAACTGTAAAGTGCCTTGTGATGGCATGTGTTGTGAATTGGCACTATAGAAATAACATGAATTGGATTGAATTGGATAAAATACTTTCAGGTTTGTATTCTGGGGCAAACATCTTTTCCATTGTCATTTCTTACCTACTTTTATCAATCATTCTGCATAACGTTGATATTTGCAAGTACTAATATCTACATAAATTGATTATTTAATATGTTTTTATTAAAATAGTAATTTATGATTTTGACTGAAGACTCCTAGATGACTTGCAGAGACACATCATTTTCTCTTTACCCCATAAAACACAAAATCTAGTTCTGAAAACAGTAGGAATTCTGTACTTATCTTTAATGTTAGTATATTGATGTGTATAATTAATCAGTGGTTTTGTTGTCAAGAAAGTATGAATTCATGAAAAAATAGTAAGTAATATCTGAAAAATTACTGCTGCTACCATCAGTATAGAGGGAAAAAAATGGTAGGGGTGGCCAATGATTGGCTAAAGGTGGCCATGGCCACCCCTGGGCCCCCATCTAGCTCCACCTCTGCTCTAGACCACACTCTGTGAGGATGTTGGCTGACAGTCTGAACAAATAGCCCTCATTAAATTTAAGAAACAAATTGGATCTATAAGGCATGTTGCAGTTTGGTTATATGATAGGTGTGGTTGGTGACCTGTGTCTGGGTTTAAAGAATTTCCGTGCACTGCCAGTCAGCTGGCTGAAAAAGGATCATGCCTCTAATTTATTATAAATAGAAGAAACTAATCATATAGCTTTTTAAAAAAAATTAAATGAACTGCTTAAAAGCCAATTTATATAATCATCCAAAAAATTAAAGACAGCTATGTATAAAGTGTAGCTTATTCATGTAAATTAGCATCTATATGATAATTGTTTAAGTTGACCTTATTTCAAAGTTAGCTTCTGGACAAACTGCAGCTTTAATGTCTGTTAATCAGCTGCCTGCATACTGGGTTACCCAGACTAACTAACCAGTTTAAACCTGCTAGTTGATTACTGCATCACCGTTCAACTCTACTGCTCAAGAACTGCATATTTTAGATGTTCCTCTGCTCCAGCACACCCACATCAAACCAATGCTATATTTCCAGGCCTGGGCTTAACATCAATGATAAGCTAATGGTGTCATTTAGCCAAAATTCCAGCTGTTTGACCTGCATCTGAAGCACAGTACTGAGGGCTGAGTTGGACACCCCTTCACTTATGCATAAAGTGAAATGACAATAAGCAGTTAAATCCACTAGTAATTTGTTTGTTTTTGATGCTCCATTTTGAAAGTTTTTGCATCAAACAAAAAAAAAAACCAAATACTTCATGTTAAGAAGGTTTTAGGTACTGAACTCTGGTCAATAAAGAAGCTATACTGCAATATTTGTTAGCCTTTCTGCTGCATGTTATTCAGTGTGACCATTTTTGGTAAACATGTCAGAGTATGCACTGAACTTTTTTTCTCTCTGCATAGTGCTGAATGGGGATAAAAATTCACCTCACTCGGAGCCAGAGGAGGAACTCCGCATGCTGAAAGAAGAGGTCACAGGGCAGGAAGGAGCCTCCATAAAGAACGAGGTCAGCTGTCTGTCTACTTCCCCATTGAAACACACACTCTACAACATGATTTTAAGTTAATGTTTTTGCCACTATAAATACAATTTTTCTATTTTTTGTTTTTTGTTTTACAGCCGGTTAGATCACGGTCTGTTACAGGCCAACCCACAGATGGTGACATTTGCATCTCCCAAGCTGGCTATGGCTCTCCCAAGCCTGATTCTGGTCTACTTCAAGCAGGAGACTGGACTGGACTGAACTCGACCCGCGGTGGTGTTTCAGGTCTGGAGAACCCGCACGGGGATAGAAATGTCTGCTCTGCTACAGCTAGCAGCAGCATTGGCAACGACCCTTCATGTTTCCAACCTGGTTTCGGGTCGGAAGAGACCAGCAATGAAGGTGACGCCTCATTTGTTTTTCTGGACCAAGAGTCTGAGAACCAGAACTCAGAGGAGGGCTCAGAAGAAAAGGAGGCAGATCTTATACCAGCCACCTCTGCTGAAGCGCCATGGCGACCAAGAGATGAGAGAGTCGCAAGAGGTCACGTCAATCACGCTCGAAGGATCACTAATGTTGCTAGCAGAGACCCGCTGCGGCCACAGTTGAACGCTCAGCTCACTCTTAATCACCCCACGACCCCCGCTGGAGGAAACGGTCGCCCTTACTCCTGCCCGTACTGCACAAAGTGTTTCACCTACCCTTCCCATCAGCGCAGGCACCTTCTGCGGCACACTGGCGTCAGACTGCATCCCTGTCAGTTCTGTGACAAGAGCTTCCTCACGCCGTCAGAGCTCACCGTGCACACTCGCACGCATACGGGGGAGCGGCCTTTTGGCTGTGCTCAGTGCGGCAAACGCTTCGCCCGCAGCGGCAACCTGAGAGCCCACCAGCGAGACGTCCATATGGGGAAGAGGCCCTTCGCTTGCATAGAGTGTGGAAAGAGATTCGCACACAGGGGAAACCTGAGGGTGCACAATCACAGAGTTCATCAAGGGGATCCGTACTATACTGAGGCTCAACCGGAGCCTGACGGCAACCAGAATGCTATATAAAAACAGCTGAAGATCAAGGTTATTACGCATCACCTTTGCAGCAATTTGGAACAATTTCTGACGTTTGTCTACGTTTGACTCTGTCAACCAATTTAGGTCAAATAGATTTGTGAATGAACAGTTATATTTATCTGGAACAAAAAGGCTGCTGATGTTAAAGAAAAATAAAAACTATTGGGATTTGTTTTCCTTTTTAAACATACTCTGCTATTCATTATTTAAAGCGATTCGTCTATAAGATCACATTTGTGGATAATCGATTGGTACTACAGCTTCATCAAAAAAGTGTTTCCAGAAAGTCTCCTTAAAAAGGGAAATTCAACATAGATTTTACATAGATTAATTATACCCAGAGCGAATATACATTTCTCCTATTTTATTCAGTCTTGATGGTCGTGGCTTACAGCTAATAAACCCATATTCAGTTCCTCATATTATTAGACAATCAAAAGAGCTTAATAAACCCATTTATGTCCGGCCATGTTAATGGAAGGTAAAGGTGTGGTAGAAAAAGGTGCTTATGTTAATAGATTTGCACACCCGTAAGATAACTGACTGACTTGTGCTTGAAATGTTTGCACAGACTTGGAGGGCCATGTCACCTGGCAGCATTGGTCTTTGGTTTCACAAACACAACATCTGATATTAACAAGTCAGAGCAGCTGTTTAGTGAAAGATTTTAGAGCAATATATTTTTTAAGAAGCTTCATGTAGGTTGTTATTTTAGATCTGTTAACACTGCAAGGTCTATCACAGGACTTGGTTGATCAGAAAACTGACCTGACTGAAAATTTAGATGGAATTAAAAAGTTAGAAAATGCTTCGATGTTTAAATTCCCTCAGATCGATCTGTGCTCATCTGTCTTTTCTTTGAATATAAAGAAACGCATTGCTAAAAAGAACAAAGCTCTTCTTCAGCTGAACATTCAGTGTTAGACTAGTCAGAAAAATGGTTCAAATGATTTCCTTATTTTATTTTAAGAAGTGTAAATGTAAAGCAATCACTCAGTGTGGCACAAATGCAGAGTTTGCACTCCTTTGGACTCCCTTGTTTGATCAATTCTATTAGAGCTCATGATAAAAAAAAAAAAGAAATAAAAAATGATTTCTCTTATCCTACATTTTCTTTATTTTTGGTTAACAGGGCACGTAATTAATAAGCAGCTGTGTAAATGTTATCACAGTTTTGTCACTCCATACCTTACATGGAGTGCACTCATTTTATTTTGATAATACTTTTCTTTCTTTTTCCAAAATCTAATAGTTAAAATTTGAATGCTACTGTTTTTTGTATGTAATAGAGCTAGAAATTATTTTCTAGATCTATTTAGGATTTATTTCTTTTCTACTTGCACCTATATTTAGAATATTTTTCATTCGCTTCATTTATCTCTCCATCTACAGGCTTGTTATATAGTCGGTATTGTTTAAAGTTAAAAATTACAAAGTAATTTTGTTTTTCATTCATCACTAAGTGATTTTATAAATGTCATTTTCTTGAGCCAATTTATTTTCTTTAAAGCAGATTATTTAACTGCTCGATGAGAGTGCTTCTTTTTAAAATGATTTTAATACCAAGACATTTGCACTATCCCTTTGCAGAAAACTACACGTCAGGTTTATTTATAAACGCTCTTGTGAAATGCTTTGATGTAGCAGACCAAATGTCTGAGACTGTCTCCCTGTTTTCAAGTAAATTTTGCATCCTGGGATTTTCATCTACAATAAATAAAAATGGGCAGCGAAGTATGTTTGTTGCAGTGTTTTTGGGAGACACTAGGGGGCAGTGCAAATACAAGCTAAGGTCTGCAGAAATGTCTCCAGGCAAATATTGTGATGAAAGTGTTGCTCTCAGCAGGTTTTTACCTTGTGTCCTACATCTGTCACTTCCTTCCCTCATACATGCACTCATGTGTCATGGAAGGTCAATAATGGATTTGTTTAAATTCACATGTTTGTTCAAATTAAAATGTGAAATGTTACTTTCTTTACCCTCACAAATGCTAACTTTTATTCACAAGTATGCAAAATGTGTAAGTTTCATTCTCATTATTGTATTTGGAAAATATGTTTTTATTTTGATTTTCTGCATACTAGAGATGCCCAATAAACATTTTGTTTTTTTCAGACTTTTAAATGTCTCATTGGGTTTTCATGGAGAACCACGTCTTGGTTTTTGAAGAAATAATTTTGCACAAAAACAAAACAAACAGCAGAAACTATAAAGGAATTTAATTAAGTGCAAGATGTTTTAATCTACCTTTTGAATACCTTCTGCTATTTGGTTGCTGTCAAGTCTTACATTTTATTTTAACAAAGGCAGAAAACTTCTGTTTTTTAAAACTGAAACCTAAACCTTTAATATAATAATTATTTAATATAATGTATTTTTTTTGCTTATAGGCTCCCGCTCAGCTGCTGAGTCCATAGATTGCTCACAGAATGACAACATGCAGTGACCTCCCCTTCCCCCCTAAGGTCACCTGTGTTTGTGTGAAGGTCACTTCCTGCTTAGGTTATAAAAGCTGGACATTTATTGAAAATATACAGGCCAGAAGCTGTGCAATAAAGACTAACAAGACGTCTGCATGCTTCACTTTTTGCTTCAACATTTATAAATCTGACTCAGAAAAGGTTTACTGTCTGCTGTTAATGTGGGTGGATTGCATTGGGAAAGCTGGAGGTTCTTGCAGACCTTTAAAGTGCACACAATTTCAGTACTGTATTTATGGCCTATTGAAAGCATAAGGTCTGATCATCATTAATTTGTGCAGGGCATGGTATCAGAATGTAGTTTGTTGCAGATTTTCCACATTTTTTAATTGTGCTTTTGAAAGGCAGATCATACCTTAATGATTTTTTCACATTGCATGGGTTTATCTAGCTCTGCAGGCTGAAAAAATGTGAATAAGTTATTTTTATACCTCTGCATTCACCCAAAGCAGTCAGTCCATCACCCTGACATAAATAATCTGCAGGAAAAACCCCCTCCGAACTTGTCCTCTAGATGTAACATAGATTTTCTCTCAGACTTCTTTTTGTATTGTTTCAGAGACACTATAATCTATTTTAAACATATAGTGGTTGCAGACAGATGTCGCTTGAGTAAACGTGTACAGGAGTCGAGGCTGTTTGGGATTTCGAGCTGCCCAAAGGTTGTTCATTATCCACCCAGACCAACACCTCTCCAGAGGCAGTGGTTTCGTGCAAGTTGCTATTACAGTACTGAACGTCCCCCCCCCACCCAGCCCCTTAGGGGAATTATGGAGCTGTCTCCTGCTCAGGGCACTGGTTGATCCATCGTCTGCTGACTGTATTTAAGCTCTCCCCTCAATGTGCTAATGGTGTAAAACTGGATGGAGGCTGCAGAGCTTTTAACTTTCGTCTTATAATGCCCTCAGTCTTTGGGAAAATGCAGATTTTATGGCTGCTGGGCTCTAAATATTGGTAATCGGTGGAAAACAGAATAATCAAGTAGGGAAAGGTTATACGTACTGCTTTAGCTTAGTGTACATGGATTTTTTGTAAAGGTTGTTAGATTCAGCTGTGTCTCCTGGTCTCATAATTTGTTGGCTGACAGGTTGAGGCAGAGGGCAGGGTGGAAACATGTTATCCTCCTCCCTCACATTTCCGAATGTGTGCGTGCATGAGAAGCAGCATGTTTGAGTTGGTGTTCTCCATAGGCTGCTTGTGGGTTGCTAAGAAACCATGCGTCTGCACGGTGGAGAGGGGGGGTGGGAGGCAGCAGGTCAACAGAGGCAGACGCAAGCGATGCAGGGTCTGATTGGACGCAGCTTATTGTCTGTGATAAATGATGGAGATCATTATCATGTTGACGAGGTGTAGGCCTGAATCGTGATGGGATCTGCCATTTGGCCCTTTATGGAGCATGAAGTCTATTTATCTGGTTCAGGGTCTGCCTGCTCTGCTCTCCTTGTTCTACAAGGTGAAGAAGCAGTAAAAGAAACTAATAAAACATGGCTAAATCAATAGGATATATATACTATAACTAATTTTTATAAAGAAAAATAAAAGGCATTAGAAATTATTAACAGAATAGAAAAGAACATCCATTTATTGTCCCACATTGGGGAAATTTTGGTGTTTACAGCAGTAAAAAGATTATAGAAAAAATGGTCACACAAATATGGAAAAATGTATAAGTTTAACATAACAGTGAAGAGTTAAAAGATAAACAAAAGTTGTTAATTCACTGTTCAAAGCAAATGTGTTTGAAATCAAAACACTATCATTTTGAGTTTGTGTTGTTTCCTGGTCTTCCTCATAACCTCATACACCTATTATTTAACAATAAAAGGCTATTACTGTTAGTTTGTGCAATTTTAATGTGCCTCTGTAGTTTTTTTCTTTGTAATAAAAGAGTAATGAATAATCAGATATTAAAAGTTTTTTTTTTCTCCAGTTTTTTTATTTTTAATATAAATAATCCAGTTTTGGTTCAATAAAGGCACATTTAATTTTATCTTAGACATTTTGTTTCTGAAGGCTTTAGTCTGATGTTATAATTGGAATAATGTGTGATATTAAGAAATATAATAACTTATTAACAATTGATAAACAAAGCTTCATGACATTTAACAGCATGAATTCAACAGCCATTATTTGTTGCTGTAGCAGATACTCAAAAACTGGTGGTGTCTGGTCAGTCGAGGTTTTTCAGCAGCTCTATCGAACTCTGATCTGTCATTTTTCTATGACAGGATTAATAATATCTGTCTCTACGAAGGCAGATTTTTTGCTAAACATTCTATCTAAAAGTCACCACGGTGTTCCACCATCTGCATGAGGAAGCCGGCGTGAGGGAACAAAAGCAGGTCAGATGCAATGTGGTGCGAAGGGTCCGAGTCAGGGATACGGTTGGTCATGCTGACAGTCACCATGGTAACTGGAAGGTCCTTGGCCAAGTCTTCACACCCGAACGGCTTGGTCTCTGCATGTGACAGACCGTAACCACACAGGACGGTCCTGTCAGGGTCATGACGGGTTAACAAGGGCAAGCTGAGGATTTAATGTACAGCAAAGCTGCTGCATGAAAGGGGGATGATAGAAATGCTTACAGGAGTTATTATTAAGTTGTTTTATATAATTTTTTTAACTTATTTTTTATTGTCTTGCTGTTTTTAAACAATTTAATTTGCTCTATAAATAAAGTTGAGCTGATAAAGAAGTCAACAAGGTTGGGAGGTTTGTTTGGAATAATTGTGAAAAGCCGAAAGCGGTATTTGCTCTTCAACATTAGGTCCAAGAAATAAACAAGATAACCTAATTTTTAAGTCAATGGCTCAGAATGACTTTTTCTGTCCCTTTATTGGCTGTTATTTATCAAGGCACCTTCTCTTGTCACATATTTATTGTTTTTGGTGAAAATAAAAACACTGTGACTCCATTTAACCTAATTGATTAATTTCTCACTAGAGGAAAAAAATTATTATAATCCTTCAGGATACATTTTACAGCAGCACTTTCCCAATGACAAAATAAAGATTAACAGTTTATTACCTGAAAGTTAATACTACCTTTATATAGATAAAAGTAACTAATGTGTTAGCCTAAAAGATTCATGACATTTAAATCATTATTAGAAAGTTCATTTGTAATAGCATCGCTATCATAATGAGAAACCAATATCAACTGGATTTTATTGGTGATTGTGAAAAAGGCTTCAATACATGGGTGGGCTTTGCGGTTCAAGCAGAACTGACATTGACTTGAGTGTCAAACTATTGGGTAATTCAGCTGTACCAACTGCAAAGTGTAATGTCAATGGAAGTATGCAGATACACAAAAAGGTTACAAAAAATGTGCTACTGTATATTAAGGAAAATTTTGCGAAAAAGGAAAGAACATGTTTGTATTCATGCATAAAAACAAAAGAAAACAAAGAATAGTGGAAAAGTTATATAAAAATAAGGAAAGATATAAACATACTGATAATACACCTGCTTGGAAGAAGAATCTGTGATGATGCTCCTTTGTGCACCTAGGATGCAGCAGTCTGTCATTGAGGAAACTCTCCAGCTCACCAACAGCTTTGTGCACGAGGTAGAGGACATTTCTGACAGGGATGTTCTGTTTTCAGAACTGGGTTGAGGAGGCTTCCTAGAGCAGAGCTGCTCTTCCTGAGGAGTATAACTGTCTGTGTCCTCTTAGCTCGAGAAAAGCTGCTGAATCCAACAAATTTCCAGTTTCATATCTTCCTTTTGTTTGAAAATGATCACTGCTGATTACTGATTGCAAATTCTAGCTGTTATATTTAGCCTTAGATCTCTAGACCCTTTCTGTGTGTTTGTGACATTACTATTACATAAAATATCTATGCAGCGCTTCCGTTAGGTATTTTGCTCCAGTTCTGCAGATTAGAAATAAATCTATTTATGAATTTCTTTTCTTTTTTTTGTTTTTTTTTCAGGTGGGGAGAAAAATGAGCAAAAATAAACAAAAAAAAAACTGTAATAAATAGATTTATTTTCACCTTTTTTGCCTGACTATTTAGCTTTAGACTAATGTTTTGAAAGAAGTTTGCAGAAGGATACAATTTTTGATTGTAAATAAACAACAAATGTGCAACCAAATACATAAATTAATGTTTTACAGGTTAGAAAAAGTACAGCAGAAGTATGATAGTTGATCACAAAACTGTTTTTATAAGAGAATACTTTATACTGTGCCTCATTACAATGTCTTAAAAGATATAGATATATTTTTATCCACTTTATTTTTATCCACTTTCATAAATTCAAAGATAAAAATATCTCTACATGAAAGACTATATTTTGGGGACCTTCTAGTGTAGATGTAGCATGTAGAGTGCTGCGTGAAAATAGTAAACAGTCGGGGAGATTAAGTCTGGCAGTCTTAGAGTAAGTCTGATGATGAACAGCACTTCTTGTTCCCTAGGAAGGAGGGTTAAAGCCTGGCGGCAGACAGCCAGCCTCAGTAATGGCACCAACTGTCCCTGGCAGTCCACACTCTTTGCTGCCACACCAAGTGTGTGTGTGTGAGTGTGTTTGTGTGTGTTAAGTGGTCATTAATGATCCCATAAAGTCGAAATGGAAAATATAAGAAATAATGTGACTCGATATTAACGGCAGTGCTTCTCCATTATGAAAAATGATTGGATTCATTGAACACAGAAATGTAAAACCAGTATTTTTATTTAAATACAGCTGTTGCTGTTAACACATACAGTACAATAGAAAAAGATTTAGAAAAGTCCACTGTACTTGAGAGAAAATGTCCATGTGTGCAGCTATTTGCTATCACTCACTGAAAGAACTGACCGCTCTGCTTACTATTATTTATAGTTATGAATTTTAATTATGATAGTTTAAATCAGGCATCCCCAAAGTCGGTCCTCGAGGGCCGCTGTCCTGCAGGTTTTAGAGGTTTCCCTGCTCCAGCACACCTGATTTACATTGATAGTTGATTAACAGGCTTTTGCTGAACTGCAATCATCAGAATCAGCAGTGCTAAAGCAGAGAAACCTCTAAAACCTGCAGGACAGCGGCCCTCGAGGAGCGACTTTGGGGACGCCTGCTTTAAACATTAAATTAATGTGTAGTGGTAACTTTTGACATTGCACAATAGTGTTAGATAACATTTCAACCCTAATAATTGTTGAATTGCAACAATAAAGAGGTTTTTTCAAACCCTATCACAGTGTTAACACTTTCAGCTGTGTCATTTTAACTTGATCTAGTTTGGACTAATATAGATACTTGAAAGTGTTGGATTTAACTCCTGATGAGTTACCTCACCTGGACTGTAAACACCATCTCACTGGTCAAAAGGGAACAAAAGCGCATGTACTTCCTGTCGCGGATGAGAAGAGCCCGCCTGCCCTGACCCATCCTCACAACCTTCTATAGGGGCACAATAGAGAGGGTTCGGACCAGCTGTCTCACTTTGTGGTATTGAGGCTGCAACTCCACACAATGGAAGAAGGTGAGGAGAGTGGTGAGAACTGCAGAGAGGATCATCGGGGCTCCTCTTCCTTCCATAAAAGACATTTCCTCCCAGCGTTGAGTGTCCCGAGCCCGTAACATCATCAATGATCCCTCACACTCCCACCATGGACTGTTCTCCCTGCTGCCCTCTGGGAAGAGGCTTCAAAGCATCTGATGCAGGTCCAGAAAAATGTCCAGTCTTATGTTTACATCTGATCATCATGTTTATATTTTATCACTGCTCCACTATAAGAAATGGAAATGTCTTGAGAGCTGTTCTGAACAAAATTTCGTTTTGTATACACTCTGTGTCTACAAAATGACAATAAAGTTTGTCTAAGTATATGTCTAATATTAACATTTATAAATCTGATGTCAACACTGCAACCCCAAATATATGGCAGTAAATAAAAGACGATTTTACTTGTTAGCCAAAAACTGAAACCTCTTTTGTAATCCTGCTCCGCATGTATTAAAATATTGTACTAGTGAATGAGAGGGTGATTAAAGCGGTTTTAATCACCTTGTTTTAATAATTTTTGTTTTAAAAATCTACTTTAAACATCTTAATGACCATCTCCGGTTGAAAAAGTTATGGCTTCTATATCTGTATGTTCTTATGTTCTTTATTTTTTTCATTTTTCCTACTTGCTTTGATTCTGTTTTATCTTCCTGTATTTTAATCATGTAAAGCACTTTGCATTGTCTTTGTACTGAATTGTGCTATACAAATAAATTTGCCTTGCCTTGCCTATAGAGGATATAGCGTTTCTCCTTTTTCATCTTACCATCCATTACAAGAGTTCTGCAAGGAACAAAATGTTGAAAGGCAGCTCTACTTTATGATTTTCTCATCTTCAGCCATCATTGCTGTTATAATGTGTTTGAGATGTTGCATAATGTAAACCACACCCCAGACATGTTTTGGTTTTAACATCCAAAGAGCTCAAAGATCTTATCTGAGCAGATCTCTCCAGGTATTGGTTTTGCTTGAATGAATCTTCTGTTGCAGATTTTGAGGAGATTTCAGTAGACTTGTCTTCAGGATAGGAGTTTGGAAGGAATGTAGAAAACTGAGCTAGATACACTAAGGGTCTTTCTAAAGCCCTCTACCCATGGTCATTGACCCTTAAACATCACTTAAGCTTCTTCTGTTAACCCTTTTGCTAAATATTTAACAAAGGCTACTTGGTATTGCTTTGTTTATGATAAAACCATGCTCCTTCACTTGGATTATGGTCCCAAAGGTACTTTATGGAAGATTACCTCTGTTGCTACTTTCATCTTTTATTTGGCAAAAATGAAACTGCAAGACTGAAGATAACCCTTTGATTTAGTTTTGCCCATCAGGATATGGTTCTCATTCCGCACATTGGTAATCATAAACAATTTAATGGGTCTTTATTTGGTACCAGACCAGCTGTTGTTATTTTGCAGTGATGGGGGAAGGATTGGCTTCTAAATATTCTACAGTAAAAAGTAAAGTATTTGCTCAGCTGCTTTCATTCACATATGAGCTTAAGTGATGTCCCATTCCTAATCCTTAGGAGTTCAATATGATGTTCGTCCACCCTTTGCAGCTAGAACAGCTTTAACTCTTCTGGATAGGCTTTCCACAAGGTTTAGGAGTGTTCATGGGATTTTTTAACCATTTTTTCAGAGGCATATTTGTGAGGTCACACACAGTGTTTGGTGAAAAGTCCTGGATCTCAGCTTCCACTCTAATTTATCCCAAAGATCCTCTATTAGATTGAGGTCAGGACTCTGTGCAGGCCAATCAAGTCCATCCAAATCAGCTTCTGCCATCCATGTCTTTATGTGTGCTGGTGTACAGTCATGTTGGAAGAGGAAGAGGCCAGCTCCAAACCATTCCCATGAAGTTGGAAGCATGGAATCGTCCTAAATGTCTAGATACGTTGAAGCATTCAGAGTTCCTTTCACTGGAACTAAGGGGCCAAGCACCTGAAAAACATGAAAACCTGCTAATTGAAAACATGTAAAAACAAAAACAAGGTTTGGATGGGCTACAGTACAAAACCTCAATCTCAACACTATTCCATTTTGCTTTGCATTTTGAATTGAAAAAGCATCCTGGATGGGAAGCAAAACGTCTTCAAACTTGGAAACAAAGTCCAGTGGACTTTTTTTGGAATGACTATGGATGGCCGAGACCTGGATGACTGAGAATCTTCACCAGCATGTTGAACTTGGTGATGTACAGGTTGGATGCAGCTGCTCGACCATAAAAACCCATTCCATGAGGCTTTCTGTTCTTAAGCTAATCTGAAAGCCATATGGAGTTTGGATGTTTATAGTGATTGACTCTGCACAAAGTTGGTGATATCTTCGGACTATGAACTTCAGCACCACTGTCCTGTCCCCACTCCTTCAGTTTGTGTAGTTTTCCACTTTGTGGCTGAGATACAGTCATTGAAGCAGCTGACAGTTCACTGTGGAATATTTAGGAGCGAGGAAATTTCACTACTGGATTTGTTGCACAGGTGGCATCCTATTACAGTTCCTGAGAGCGAACCATTCCTTCGCTAATGTTTGTAGCAACAGTCTGCATGCCTATGTGCTTGATTTTATACATCTGTGGCCACGGAACTGATTGGAACAGCTAGCAAATACTTTTGGCAATATAAGTGTATGTCACATGTCAAACTGAGTCTACGAGCCAAATCCCCGCTTCTCTGCAATCTACCCAAGTGCCAAAGAAGGCATATGTTATTTCAAGTGTACACTCTACAAAAAACAAAAGGAATAATCTTATAATACCAGAGCATTTTCATCTTTGGAAATAAAATAAGAAATCAGAAGTGGAATTATTCAGCTGCAACAGGTCAATTTGAAGACTTGTTGATGCCTAAACTGGCCTGATCTAAAAATGAGTTTGGTCTATAGGTTTATTTATAGACCACTTTAGGCATCAGACCATTTATTACTGATGCTGTAGAGTGACTTGGTGATGGGCTGCACTCACCAAATGATATTAAAGCTCAAACTTTTGTTGCTCTAGTAAGAATGAGGATGATTCCAGAACTTAAATATCACAAACTATTTTTCTTCCAATAACTTGAGCACTATGTTGTGAATAATAAGCCATAAACCTTTAACCAAAGTTTAGTTATTCATTTCATTTAAGGAATTTATGTTACGTTCCTAGCATGGTTATGGTTCTAACTCAGAAACTTTTTGTAGGCAATGCAGACTTTTAATGCAGTTGTCTCCTGATCTGTGTTGGCTTTATTATAAACATTTGTATGTGTAGAAAATGAGTCAGTTTTTCTATCTATGTGATGCTTTAGTCAAATCTCTGTGCTCTGGTTTGTTTTTAGGACCTAATGAAAAAATTGGGTTCCCCTTTCCTGCCTTTTCATTCATTGATCACAGCCCTATAAGATCCTCTGTCACTCCTGACCTCCCTCCTCTCCATCCTCTCTGCTTCTTCATCATAGATAATCACCTACAGTCAGTGGTTGGGCAGATCCTCGTTTCCGTGATGATTGGTTCCTCTTGATGGAAGGTGGAGTCTCTACCAATGCATCATCCAAACGTAACAGCGCAGCAGGACTCATCCTCTCTGCCTCTCCCTCCCCCCCTCCTACCTCTCACTCTTGCACATACGCCAGAGCTCAGACTGCAGCAGAGCGCAGAGCCAGCAAGGATTTTCTCTTTCTATTTGTGGGAAGGCTGAGACATCTACTTGGTGCGAAGGTCCTGCATGGAGAATTGACTGAGGAAGAGATTCTGAAAAAAGCTCCTGAGTGTGTCGGTAAGAGTGTCCTCATTTCATCATCTGAGTGTGTCTCCATGTGAGTGGGTTTACTGCAGGAGCAGCAGCACTGCAGATACTTTGATCAAGAGCTGTGCTCTGCTCATCCCTCCCCTCCCATCCCCCCCCTCTATCTTCTTCTTTTTACTCATCCTCTCATCTGTTTTTGGACAATCCCACAGTAACACTGACTTTACCAATTTCTGTCAGGACTGTGATGTATGGGTGTGTTTTCTGGTGAATATTTAGATCAGCCACACCTGGAGTCAGCCACTGCAGGGTGCACAGGTGCTGCTTTATCTCAAACCATGACTGATATGAATGCTTTCAAATATTTCCCTCTTCTGTAGGTTGACAACTGGCTGTCTGAAGGAATTTTTAAAGCCCCATCTCAATCTTTTCTAAGGGACCTGTCAGCTACCCATCATCTCCTCAGATTAGGATGCTCCGCTGTGCGCCCCTGTGCTGAGGAGGCGTTGGCGGGCAGCAGCATGGACGCTGTGCTGACTGGCATCCCCACCATCCCTTCCACCACCACCAATCTGCCACCACCACCACGCTGCCCATCCGAGCCGGGCGCTCCCCCCATCCCTGCTGATGGGCGAAGACACTGACGCCACTCCTACGCTCAACCACCACGGCTTCCTCCCCGACCACAACTATGTGACTGAAGGTAAGACGCAGACAGAGGAGACTGGGTGTGTTTACAGTGTTCCACCGTGGGACACAACAAGCTTAGAGCCCTAATCTTCTTAAAGCTCTGTGTTGATGTGTTTAGACAGAGCTGCATCCAAAAGCAGTGTCTTCCTTCACTTATCTGCTGTTTTCTTAGTTTGGAATCAGGGTTCCTACACATGCCAGGTTATGTGGAATGTGATGGAAGAGATTTCTGGGATGCGTGAAAAAAGTGTTTAAAATCTCTATTTCTATACCAGATATAAGTACCCATGATTTCACGGTAAACATTTGTAATTTAAACATTAAAATATGGACTGAGAACGATGGAAATGTGAGTCTGCAGAAATATGGGACTATGAGCAGAGGATGGTGTAGGAACCCTGTTTGCTTTCTGTGTGCTTTCGTTCCTGCTGTCCCTCTGTGTGAAGATCAGCTTTTTTGTTTCACCACAAGGTGATCTTAAAATATAAATGTGTTGATTTTTTTTTTTGTGTCTCAGAGAGACAATAAGGAGAGCGAAAGAGTGAAGAGAGGGGAAATCTTAATTTCCCAGAAACTTCTACAACATGCTTGAATATGCATTAAACCCCATGTCAGCTCTTACAGTCTGCTGCCGCCTCACTTGAATTTAAAACAGGTGCGTGAGTCAAACTGAATCCATATCCGACCTGTGTCGAGGGACTATTAAAAAATTCAGCAGCACTTACCACCCACTGAATTTCCTTACAAGCCTTTTTTTCCTGCCATCGCGCTGAATCCTCGGTCTGCTCATTGTTCACCAGCCTTCTCAGACCAGATTATCATTAAAGGGTCACAGCAGTGTTAGGAGCTTATTTGTCATCCTCTTATTGCTACAGAAAGTGTTTATGCTGAACGTATCCTAACCCTTGAAATATTCTTATTTTGTCCGATTTTAAACACAAAGTTCTGTGTATTTTATTGAGATTCTATGTAATACAGCACTGTAAGGAGGTAAATGACATTAAAGGAAAAAAATGACAGTTAAAAATCAGAAAACACAAAGCTGTGTATATCCAATTAGCCCCTTCTACTAACCCCTCTAAATAAAACCTAGTTAAACTAATTGTCCACAGATGTCAGCTCAAACCAACCAGTAAATGCCTCATTGGTTTGTTACAGAACATTAGTACTGGAAAGGCATCATGAAGGCCAAGAATATCAGTAGAGATCAGATATAAGGCTTTGGAACGGCGATTTAAACCAATATCTGAAGTTTTGAACATCTCATGAAACATGTGCCTTGTATGAAAAAGCAGAGTAGGACTTTCCTGCAGACCTACGGAGACTTGGCAGTCCAGCTGAGCTGACAGGCCAGGAAAAGGGAGTATTAATCAGGGAAGCAGCCAAGAGTCCCAACATCTATAAGCTCAGGATAAACTGCTGATAAGACACCTGTTAGTTTTGCCGCTGACGACTCTGGCCTTCATGGACGAGCGGATGTGAGGAAACCAGTGTTGCATGAAGGGGAATTAAAGTCCAGTTTAGGGTTGGCCACAAGCCGTATAGATCACACAGCAAACCAACGGAAGAAGGAACTTGGGTCATATCCAACCAAATTTAAGCTCTATAGTATGAAATATAATAGTACACATCACCCTCATTAGCATTTGCTTTTATGGGTATGATTTTTAAGCAGAGAAATATTGAAACAAGTCAAAGTCTTTGAGAAGATGTATGGAAGTGAATGCAGAGCAATTTCAACTGGGATTTAAACAAAAGGTTGCTCTCCAGGGTACTGACCCCAGAGGCAACATCACTTCACAGATTCTTATTTATGAAAGCCGTGCCGTTTTTTCCCCTATCATTATTCATTGTTCTATAGTGGTCCATCAGATAAAAAAAGAAAAAAGGTATGAATGTTTTTGGTTCTAACACTAGAACATGTGAAATCCAACATATCCCATTATATATAACAGGTGTAGTTTAGATAATGTTAATCTGCCTGTTGCTTGTGTAAATGATCATGTGGGTATCGTCGTTTGCTGCAGGTGCGAGTGAGCATCGTGTTTTCTTGAGTCGTGTGTCTGTACATCCGTGGTATTTTTAGGCTGGAGCCCTGTAGTAAAAATCAGTCCAACTTCCTACAAACACATCTATGATTGCCATAGAAACAGCCAGCGGTGATGAACACGCTGCTTTTCATGCTTGACCAATGTGACTGACAGGCTGTCTCCACCCACCTATAATGGCAGTATTAATTATTCCTCACATCTCAGGCACAGTCACAGACATTATTCAGGGTGAATGGCTGATGAGCTCGCTCCGAGGGTGGACTCACAACTCACCGCCGAGGGGTTGTTCTAGCAGATAATGTAGTACCAGGCACAGAATAAATACTAAAAATACATCAGATTCTGTCCTCTTATCGGTTAAATTATTACCTTTTGAGGAAAGAAAAAAATGGTTTCTTCTTAATGCTGCTCCTCCCCCTTCACTTTCATCCATGGTCACCTCTGTAACCCTCCCTCCCTTACCAACCACCACCATTGGTCCTTCAACCAGCAGCATTGTCCAGCACTGAAGTGCTGTGTCTGCCAAATAATCAACCAGTAGTGTTCTCTCTGAGGGCTGCTCCTACACAATGTGCTTCTGGCTGTGAGTGAGAAAAAAAATGAGGGTGGTAAACTTACAAAGAGAGATGGGATTTTTTGGTAGACGTGGAATTATAAGTCATTCCTTCATCAAATGTATTCATTCATGCATTATTTGAGCAGATAATGCACACCTTTTGTTTGCTAAGGTTTGTGTATATGGATGTTTGTGTGCGTGCAAGTGTTTTATGTGTGTGCGTATTGTACACACACCTAGGGATTCCCACGAAAGCTTTAACTCCCACTTTGAGGGGTGTTTAGCATCCCTCGTCTTTACTTTCCCTCTATTCCCCGCTTCCAACCATCTCCTACTTCTACTCCCCTCGCATTTTTATTTTGGCTTCCAAAATAAATCTTTCTCTGCATCCTTCTCCTCCAGATGGAGAAGAATTGTGTCCAAAAAAGAGGAGGAAACAACCATGAAGATGCTTTTTTTTAAAGGCATGTGACTACATGAAGTAAAACATAATGGAGAAATTTGAAGTAAATTACTGTTATTTTTTTTATTAGGATAAATACATCAATACTCTAGAGTAAAGGAGCATATTGTTTTACTTAAAGAGGTAGTACCTGTAGGAAGAGATTTTTAAGAACAAAAACGTTCAGACATTCTTCATTCTTAGTGCATTATTGTGGTATGTTTGGAGTATATTAATAAATAAATGCCAGAACATTGCAATTTAAAATAACTGCACAGCTTTCCCAGTTGGCAACAATCAGTGAATTCAGTCCAGAACAGCTTAAAGGGGTTTAGTCACATACTATGACTTGAAGTATTTCTATGCCAGTAGCTCACTCTTGTTGTATACAAAGGTTTTCTGATTAATTGTGGTACCCTGTTGACATATTTGGTATATTTCTGTGTTTTCCAGTTTATTTTTGTTCCATTTGTTCAGAAACTTTACCATAAAACGTTTCTGGAGGTATGATTATTTTGTGTGAAGGTAATGAGTTTACAAAGAAGTAAGTCAGCAGGGCAAGTCTCCATCAGAGGTGCAAAAAGAAAGAGAATAATTCCAGCATGTAGCCTGTAAAAGGGCAAGAAAATATATGGATGATAGAAGGGATAGACGAGCACTTGGAATACGATATGAACGTTGGTGTTCAGTGAAGCAGTAGCTACAGCTGCTGAAACGTCCAAACTGACTGATGATGAGTAAGTTCGAGTTTTTCTAGTCTAGTTTAAAAAAGGGATGCAACGATTGCGGCAAATTTTGGGTCGATTCCAATTTCCCTTCAATGTGTTTCCTAATAGAGAGTTTAGGAAACGCATTAAAATCTTTATTCTCTTATCTTCCTGGAGTTGTTGGTTTGTACAGTAGGAGGGGAAGCAACATTACACTGTGTGAAAGAGCAGCTGATGTTAAACCGGAATCACAATTAAATAACAATGCAAGACAATTATAGAATTGACCATTTAAACTGGCTTAAGCATCTCACATTCACAGATAGCTTACATGTATTCCTCAGAGAGAAATAATACTGTTGTAAACACTGACTGCTCTCTATGTGCTCTGCACACACCATCGCCCTTAAAGCAGCTGGAAACGCATATCCGAAGAGTAGGGCAGCGAGGGGCATGGGACTATTGATGCCAATAGCTTTACAATTGGCTAAAGTAAAGCTGTTTTTCTTACCGCAAGAATGAGAACTCAGAAAGCTGCAAGTATGATTTTCTTGTGTAGAGGCAGTAAAGCTGGGCGTACACTGTGCGATTTTTTTCAATCGTTGCTAACAGCTGCTGCTTAGACTGTACGACTAACTGCAAGTTTTAGTCCCCATGTAAAACAGGACCGCATGGACCCGTAAATAATAAAGTGTGACCCAACCCTTGGTCACACTCATATCACACAGCCATTTATGATAACAGAGGCAGTAAAGAACATTACCTTGCGCTCAATTCCAAACAGATTAACAGCTGTAAATTGGCCGAAGTAAGAAGGTTTGCCTAATTGCTTATAGAAAATGCTGTTATCTGGATATTCTTGAATAATTTATTTTTTTAAGATGTAGAGTAAATAAATAAGAGTATAGTAAGTTTGAATTTATGCTGTAACTCTATGATCGCCTGCATTTTATTCATTTATACCCATGTCCACACCCATGAAATAAAATAGGACTTTTTTCTACCTGTTGATGTATGTTTTATACGGGTACCTGCCCAACTCAGTGCTGGACTCTGCCTTAGACCCCTCAGTCATCTCATATATGGGCTTTTGTGCTTTTGTTTTTTTAAGTATACATTACCTATCTTTAACGACACCACTACTGATCTCATAGCAGCGTTAGCTCTAAAGTTTGGAATAATGTTAGAGGTGTAGTGGAGGATGTTCTTTTTCTGGGTGGATCATCTAATAATTAATCATTCTGGTGATATGTTTACGTAAGACCGTTCTATGTGCTTGTCCCTATTTTCACCTATCGGTGGTAACTCTGACGTAGTGGAAAAATGCAAATCTTCTTTTGGAAAGTAAGCTTGTATGAGCTATGAGAACAGTAACTTTTAAACAGAGCGTCCACGAGGAGGCTTGTGCATGCTCTCGCACACCCTTAATAGGCATTTCCTCTCGGGAGCGTGTACAGGGTTGTGCATGTGCATTTGTTTTTTAAAGTTGAAAGGGTGGGTCTTTTCAAAAATTTTCGAAAATCCTCTACTATACCTTTCAGATCCAAGAACACCAGAACCCAATGTCCTTTGCCACTCTCGCTTTATTGAGATGGTTCTGATCTGATCTGAAACCAATGGCAAATCAATAAAGGAGGGAAAATCAGTAGAGGGTTTTAATCCTGGATGTGTCTCATCTATGTTAGCAGAAAGGTGTGCTCTTGTATAATAATGTAGAAATTGTCCAAAAAGTAGTGGTTCCCTTCAGTAAGTTTCTCTTTTGGTTAGCCCCATTTAATAGTTCTTAATAGGTTCAATGCTAGAAGGGGAAAAGGTTGAAATATTTCCCAGACATAATGAACATCCAAAAGAACACATTGTTAATGACCCTTAAACATGTTTTTATGAGTCTTAATGTACCACTTGCTACCTACTTTAGCCTTCAACAACACAGTATTTTAAAAGGACACACACTAATAAACACTAGCCTTGATACCCAAAATGGACATCATAATGTTAACATTGTTAAGCATGTATGTTGACATTATTGCTAAATAGAATTTTCCTGATTTAAGGAGCAAATGTTCATAAACAAACTCTTTGAACTACAGTGCTAGAAGAAAAGGAAGGATCCTAGTTCTTCATGAACATGAGATATTGGATTTATCTATGCTTATCAATAACAAAAACAGAGGAAGGAATCTTTATTCTTGAAGAAATTCAAAGAAACTGAAGATCAGAGATATGTTTCAGTAGAGAATGTCTCCCTGTTGTCCCTCTGTCCATCTGTGTTTAATCTGAGAGAACATAGGCACTAGTGGCGCTTGAAGTCAGTTGCCAATACAATTATAAGACACCAAGTGGCAGTGCCATTAGTGTTCCCTTGCTGGTATGGTGACTCAAGGGCTGAATGTAGCGAATACTAAACCTTTTAAAAGACATTTCTAAAAGATATTTTATAAGAAGGTAATCTACTTCCTACAGCAAACTACTTCTTGGCTTCTTTATTAGGTAAAAATCCGTATTTGATTGTCCTGAAGGCTGCAGATAAGGACTAGCTAGAGCTTAGCCTGGACGGAAGCAATCTAATCCAGTATATATCATAGTTTATGCAAAATTCTTTGTTTTGAACCTTTAAATCCTTATCATGCTGGAATTAAATGTGTATATACAGAGAACCCAACTATGCAGGAAATGGGGTTGGGAGGCAGAGCGCCATCAAGCATTTATGATCAAAAGAACAATCTGATATATCATAATAGTGACTTAAAAATAACAACATTATAGATCTTTAAGTCAGCACTATTCTGTAAATACGTCTTTATCAACATTCATCGGACTTAGTCTAGCTGTTTTCAGCTGACTGGACTTCAGTTGTCATAGTTAGTGGTTTAGCCTGTATAATCTTGTTATAGTTCAAAGAAATATTTCATGGTGTGTTTCAACAATTTTAAATGGGAGATCTCTGACACATATTTAATCTCTAACGTGCGATATTTACCCAGTTATATTCCAGTCGTCGTCTTCTTTAATGCAGCGAAACCGGCTTAGATTATGATTAGCTGACATCTATCTATCAACAGATTGGGATAAGAAAATGAATGACATATGGATTAGCTGTGTGGATACGTTACCACGGTTGATCTTTTTATTTTATTTTACAGTAAACATAGCATTTTTATATCTGTGTCCTAAACATTAATGTGGTAAAAAGGACTAATGTGGCTCTCAGAATTTCTGAACCTTTTCTTGAGTGCACCTCATTAAACATCTATTAAAGAAAAACAAAACCATATCATTAGCCGCAGAGGAAATTGGTTTGCTCTCCAACTTTAAGCACAGTTATCAGTCGCTAAATCTCATTAATAAAACCTAACAAGACAAAGGAAGGATTCTTTGTAGCAAATCTATCTCTGTTCATCTCCATGTGTTTGTAACCCTCCTGCTGATCCCCGTTATTATTTGCAAGTATTTCATGTTGCATAGGCATAATGTCATCATGAATATACTCCCTGCAGATTTATTTTTCTTTCAAGTGAGTACTCATGCCCAAATGTGGTGATGTAGTAACTCAGTCCCTACCCTTAACCTCGCCCGGCCCTTTTCCCTTCCTCACCCTCTGCCTCCCTCCCTTCCCTCCCCCTGCCGTCCACCATTGCTCCTCTTTCAGGGCTGCTCCTGGCTATAGCCTGAAGAGCTCCGCCCATCCCGTCCACCCCTCTCCACCCTGGAGTCCTCCCCCAGGATGTTGAGCCCCATCCAGGTGCTGTGCTCCGACATCACTACCCTTTCTCTGGAGCCTGAGCCGTTTGCCTCTTACACTGAAGGTGTGTTTTTATCCTCTTCTATCCCAAAGGTCCTATCTATGTCACACATTTGCGCCACATGACCCCAGAACTACATATGATAGATCAGGCATGTGTGTGTGTGGACGCGTTTTACCTACAATGTGGGTGCAGTATTTTGTAAAATATCTACATTTGGGGACTAACAGGTAAATATGGAGACATTCAACTGGTCCCTAAAAGGTTAAGGTTCTGCACTGGGAGTTGGGGTTATGGGTAGGATTAGGTATATGTTGGCAATAGTTAGGGTGAGGGTCTGGTTTAGGCCATATAAAATGAATGCAATTCAATTAAATGTCCCCATATGTCATGAAAACACAGCTGTGGGTGGGTGTGTACGTTTGTTAATGTGTGTCAGAGATAGGTGGATTCTGGTGTGAGTCTGATTGTTATAAATATCTCAAACATCCCTTTATCTCACTCTGTCTGCCTCATCGTTTCTAGGTGGGTTTATTTTTGTAGCAGCAGCTTTATTTTTGTCTCAGCTCAATCCATGTCTTTCTGAATTAAGTTAAATTCTGCGTTCTTCACAACTGAACTGTCTTACATCAACTTCTTTTTAATGTAGACTTAGAACAAAAACAAACATTTTGATAACTGTAATTGCTAATAAGACAGGGTGCTCAGCTTCTTAGATACAGTTCTACCTTTTCTGCTGTGCGTTTGCATATCTTTTTACACATGAACATTCTTCATAACTTAAACATTGTTGTGTTTTAAAAAATGCTATTTCTGCAGCTAAGCAAAGACGGATTAGAAGTGTATACCACACACCCTGAAGCAAAAACAGGCGTGGTTTTATGATTCTAATTGTTTGAGTCTATAACCATTAGGCTCGCAGCAGCCCAGCTCCACTTTACTGATGCGTGTTTAGAGAAACAGTAGATTCCCCGCTGCGCTAGGCTCAAACCACTTATCTGCACACATGTGCACCTCCAACACAAACACGAGCAAAATTTTGATTTCTTTTTTAAAGATAACTGCAAAACTGCAGGACAGGGATCAATTTAACATCTCCCTCCGGCACTTCTTTCTCCTCCTCCTCTCCCTCCATCCTGTTTAGTTCTCTGCTGGGTAATTGTGCACAGGGCACAGAGGAAATGTGTGGCGCTTGAGCTGCGGCATGCACACACACACCTTTTCCAACACACATGCATGTATTCTTCCTGCTGCGCAGTGGCTTTTTACTGCTTTTAAGAAGTGTGTGTTTCTGGCAGGGCTTTAATGGTCCGTGTTTACCCTGAACTGAAATTTCTATAATTGGAACATCTGCACCCCCACCTCTCTCTTTCCTCTATAGAAACCTTAGAGAAAAGGATTTCCCCTCATTGGGCTTTCACCATCATAATCTCTCACAGACCTCTTCTCCTCTTCTTCCGCAACCCCATGACTCCAAAAAGGGTTTAAACTGAATATTTAAAGCTCCTTCTAACCTACATTTTTATGCTTTAAAGAAAAATTGATTTATAGATAAAAACTGATCATATTTCAAATTGTGGTTTTGAAGATCTGGGTTTATTTAATGTGTTGCTTTTTAGTGTTTTAATGAAAATGTTACAATCGAAAAATTAAAAAAAGATTTCATCAAACTACTAAATATCTCTTGATTATTACCCAAGTTACAGCTTTTTTAAGTCTGAGTTCAAAAGTCAATTTTAAAAGTCCTAAACTAGAAATTCCTCATTGCACAATTAACTGCAATGAAAACAAAGGTTGTTTAAAGAGCTTTTCTACCATATGGCTTTAAAACAGTTTAAACTGTGTGCCAAAAGAAAAAATCTTGGTCTCATCTGATAATCTAATTTATCAAGAAGTAGTAGAATAAAGGAAGCTTATTGTTCTTCACAATAATGCATATGTTAGTCTTTGATTATCACAAAATATACGGATACATTTGCAAGTTATCTTGGAATTAATGGCTTGGCTATATTTGAGCATCAGCGACTGTTTAAAGGTTTAGATCCAGGCAGCACATGTCTGGGCAACAAATATTTAGGTCAAACTTTATTAGCGGTTTACTAAGCTTTGTTTTAGGTAAATGTAAAAAAGCAACAAAAATGCCATCAATAAACAATAGCAGATATTTTTATGTAATCTATAGACAATCAAATATTTAAAATATAAAGTAGACAATTGTTTTTATTTTTACATGTTCTATGTTCTTCTGCACGTGTGTTTAAATCTTTTGGTTTTGGTTTTACCTGAGCTGCTTTCCCTCCAACATGTTCTATGTGGTTTACTGTGTGACTGGGTCATGAGTAGTGATGCTGCGGGCTGTCAGAAATGTTTATAGTTAGTGTTCCTTCAGCTTCTGCAGAATAACAGTTATTTTTGGAATATTATATAGAATACAAACATGGTTAACTTCCTATACCATTCAGCCTAAAAAAAGGATCCCTGCTTTCAAGTGTTGCAGTTTTAAACATATTACTCTGGATAACGTTACCTTGTACTTGTGTGGTGGTTTGTGTTCTTAATTAAACTGTAGATCTCTTTAAAAGGGAGGCTAAAAAGAGAAAGGATGGTATGAGAATTGTGTCTGTGCAGAAGCACACAGAGTACCTCAAAGGCGAATAGGGTGGAGTTTTAGAGCAGACAGTGTCTGCTCCATATTTTATTCAGTTACATTGTGCACTCCTCCTGCGGTTTAGCTGACCTCTTAGCTCTCTGTGCACAAAAAGCAATGGAAAGAAAATGTTCTAGTCACCTGTTTGGCATTGTGGACTCATGTGCTTGTTAGTGAGTCTGAGTGTATGCTTGTGTTCTGCTGTAAGTGTTCTCCATCCCTTTGGTGGTAATTTAGGAGCATTTTGGACAGTAGACAAACAGGAGTGGAATGATTTCACTCCGCTGCGTCTTCCTGCACGGTTTAGACTGATGAATCCCACTTCCTCCTTCATCACACGGCAAGCCGCCATGAGTACTGCCGCCCCTGGTTGGCTCGGATTGTTACCGTGGCAACCCATACTCATCAGTGAAGGAACCCCTCTTTGCTATTTTTTCTTTCCCATTTTTTTTCCAATCACCTCCATCCTGATGCCTTATCTCCCTCTACCTTCCTCTCTCATGCATCCCATTCTTCCACCAGCAGCATCACCAGTATGTACACTTTTGGGTTCATTCGGGAAGCCCAGTACCAGTGGGAGGGATGAGGGAAGACAGTAAGAGGAGAGATTTTAGTGTATGAAATTGGAGATTACTGAAGAATATGTGGAAGAAGAAAGCTCAAATGATATCCAGTAATACTGTAACAAAATAATGTGAGATACAGTGAAAAAAGGGAACCAGTTCTGGTCAGTGTGTTAAGAGGAGGGTGAGTAATACAATGGAGGTGGAGAGAACAGAGATAAGTCCCTGCCTCCACTCATTATAAAAGCTCTCTCCGTGTTTCAAGGCCGTGACAAAACAGGCGTTCGCTCTGGCTCTCAATGAATATGCTTTCTGAGCTAAATTTTTTTTACAGACAGAGCCGAGTAAGGAAAAGCAGCCCCTGCGATTTCCACAGCAAACATGCAACATTTTTCTGTACATATACATAGAAAGAAATGGTAAGAAGAAGTATATTTAGTAAAAATACATTGCCTTACAAAGTGGGGAATATTTAAAAGAGATCTTTAACAGAGCAAATTTTTAATTTTTTTTTATTGTTAAAAGAAAAAAATAACATAAAACTAATCTCTTATGTTTTCACTCTTTGTGCCAAATTAAGATCAAAGATAAGTATTCAGGCTCTTTTTGATACTGTTAAAAGGAAAGCTCTGTGTTTACGCCTTAAAGCTTTCTCTCTCCGTTTTTTTTCTGTAAAAAGGGATCAGTTGGGACAAACTCTTTAAATAACACTTCATAATGTATATGTATTTAATAACCATGAAACATGAGAACAGATTTTCATAGAAGTTATAATCTTACTCAGATCAGAGAAGTTGCTTTGAGTTTTACAGAAGGCAGCTGCTTACCAACCGGGCTCACTTCTCGTGAAGCGGCCCCGATAAACAGTTAGAGAAGCATTTTATACATCTCTAGTCTGCCACATCCTCACTTCATCACATCATACATGTTTGCAGATGAGGAGACATCCATTGCTCAAGCCTTATCAAAATATTACACTTTGTTCTTAGCGGAAGGACAACGCTCTCATTCCATTCCCAAATCTTTACCATGTACAAAGTGAAGATTATAACTGTTTATCTGGACAGAGGAACTGTCCTAATGAGATAAACTACTGGGGAAAACATCAGTTCTGACATGCAACAGGCAGGTAATATTAGGGTGTAATAAATTAACACATTATCAATGATAATGATCCCAGCAATACGAAATGCGAAGTAAATGCATCAAACTCTTTATTTTAAACATTTGTGACTGAAACCTTTAAAATGATGCAATTCAACCGACAAAAAATCTACAATAGTTGCAAAGAGGAATAAGAAGCTGTGGCAAATTATGAAAGAAGGCTGAAATGGCTTGGATTTGAGAGAATGCTGTGCCATAGAGATTGTAAATTTTCAGTGACCTTTTTTGAACATACTGAATATTTATAAATTAACCTAAAAGTTTTTGATAAGAACAATATATATATATATATATATATATATATATATATATATACATAGTTAAATGTATTACTAGGAGCAAAGGGACTGAAAATAGGGAGAAACTGCCTAATAAAAACACATATTAAATCAGGTCATGGTATTCAGAATAATAACATAAAACAATATAGTAGACATGATTCAAATAATTTGTCATTTGCAACACAGCTTGAGATATTTCCAACATTTACTGTTCTGCAGATCAGTGTGTAAAAATGTCACTTTGAATATGTCACGGTATTTTGGTGAGAATGATTCGACATAAGGAATGATTACGCAGCCATCACACTGGTGATGTGCAGATGACAGATTTGACACTTAACAGCTCAGCCGCTATTATAAAAAAGGAGTGATCATCTGTTCATCTGTGGATTTTAAAAGAAATGAAATACAATGATTGTGGGAAGACAGAACAAGTTAAACTACAGGATTTAAATGAAAGCAGTGATTGTTTTTTCTAAGTTGATGTTCTGTTACAGAAGCTATGATCATCTTTGTCTGTTAGATAAGCTCGGACTGCTGATCTTCTTTTTTTGGAGTGGATTTGAGTAAAATTAAATTTGAGGGCAAAGTTCAAATTTTTCTATTTCTCTCTTATATAATAGATAGATGGTATACCCCCTAGATAACACTTAGCCATACATTGGTTGGTATTATATTAATGAGAATAAACATGATTACTATTGTTATTAAAAAGATTGCACTTAATAAAAAATAACACTTTACCTATGTTTTATATTTCTATAATGGTACTATGGTCATTAAAATCACATCAGATATGAACTGGATCCCAAGTAATTCAAATGTGCAAAGCAAATTAGTTCACAACACATTTATGGGCAATAATTTAGAACAACATATGAAAAAATATTGTATACAAACATTAATTAGATCATTTGTATTGATTACAACTGCAAGTCTTCAAGTTAAAAGCCTGGTTCAGGTGTGACTTTTTGATCCAGTCCACAAATACACTGTCTTCACCTCTTAATCTTTAGATTTAGTTTTCTTTTTAATGGTATAAAAGTTATGCTTCTAAAGGGCCGTTCTAAATAATTTAGTTTCTCTCAATTAAATCAATCCAGATTTTTGGGACCATGTTTACACTCATTTCATCCTGTGGTGCTTTTAAAAGATGGCCTTGTCTGTTTTTCCTTTCATCCTAACGTTACGGTTACCTTACATGCAACAGTGGAGTCTTGCACAGTGATCATTGCAGTTGAGTGCTTTACTTTTTTTCCAATGGAAATATTTAATGCTCTCTGTGAGTGCACCATAGTTTACTCAATAACTCTATGATCATTATTTGAAATCGTATCTGGGCTTGAATAATATAACTTCTGAACTTCTGAAACACCTTTTCTGGTTTTCTGAGGGATGCTTTCTTTTAAATTAAATCTGTTTTTCTGTTCTCCATCTTTTTTTGCTTGTCTTTTTTGTTGCAGCGGATATTATCTCTACTGTAGAGTTCAACCACACAGGAGAGCTCCTGGCCACAGGGGACAAAGGAGGCCGTGTGGTCATCTTTCAGAGGGAACCCGAGGTAGGATCACTCTCTATTGGTTTAAACAAATACAAAAGATTGTTCTCAGCAGTAAATAATGAACTGTCTTTAATTCCAAATGCAGATACTCAGGATCTGGACTCTAATCTTGCGTATTTTTTTTTTTTAATTTTCCTTTTATTTTCCTTAGAGCAAGAATGAGCCATTTTCCCAGGGAGAGTACAACGTCTACAGCACCTTTCAGAGCCATGAGCCTGAATTCGACTACCTTAAGAGTCTGGAGATTGAGGAGAAGATCAATAAGATCCGATGGCTGCCCCAGCAGAATGCTGCACACTTCCTTCTCTCCACCAATGGTGAGTATAGAGAAAAACCTACTTCACATCCCACCCTGGATTTCTAAGTATAGGTGGGCTTTATTAAAATGTTACATTATAATAAATCAGAACTTTCTGGCAGAACAGAGAAATCCTGGTAAGAACTACAAGTGAAGCATTATTATTTTTGATACTGCCGAAAATCCTTTTAAATAAGCAAGTGACCCCAAATCAACAGTGTTATGCGTAATATTGTGAAATCAGTGGGTTTTTTTTTTTTTAAATTGGACTGAAAAAATCTGGACTTTCACCATTTATGCTGATGCTTAAAATGGAGTAGCAGTAAAGGATGGACTGTGGCTGCCTTTGCAGCTCAATTATTTGTTGCAGGAGTGTCCAAGTCCAGTCCTCAAGGGTTGGTATCCTGCAAGTTTTAGATATGTCACAGGTCCAACGCAGCTGATTCAAAGATCATACAGGTTAGCTGAACTCAGGGGATGTAAAGATGCAGTCCACTGGACTGACTTTGGACACCAATGCTAAGTGTTTTATAAATAAATGCTAAAGCTGTGTGTTTTTCATTAAAGCTTTTTGAGACACTATTTCATTTTAGGATAATATCTGAGAAAGTTATGTTCTTGTTTTCAAAAAAACAAAAATGCAGAGTTTTTTCTGTAAAAAAAGTTAGTTTATAAAATAATTTGGTAAAATCAGGGCATTTGTTATACATTTGTACATTAATCGTTGGATTTTAATGGCATTTAGTTCAGAATCAATTGACTTTTTAAACATTAAATTGAGCAAAATAAGAATTACTTGGAATTAAGTTTATTTAGATTTTTTTGTTTCTTCTGTATGAAGTAGATTTTGCTTTAAAAAAGATGAGCCCTAATGTTTCACAGATCCAAAATTGCATATATTCCAAACTTGTTATTTGGCAAAGGAGCTTGTATTTATACATGGCATTTTATAGCTATACACTTAAATCTATAGGTTTACCCTGAGAGCCACATTATTGATTTCTTCAAGCGTTGTATTATTTATGATGTAGGTTATGAAAAATGTAGGAGCTGCCTCAGCATATTAGTGCTGAACCTGTAGAGAAGCTGTCACTATTTCCAGTGTGCTAATATGAAGTATGTTTTTACAACATCTATTTTGGCTATTTCTGTTGAGCATTTTTGTGTTTTTTCTTTGTGAACCCAAATAGGTTCAGAACAATTAATGCAATTGAATGACGCCTTTGAAACCATATTTATTTTTAGCTCAAATACTTCACACTTGCACTTAATTAAAACTAACATATCCTATGAAGATAAAGTTGCTTTACTCTAGCTATATGTGGCTGCTATGGTATAAACTGTAGAGTATGTATTATCAGATAATTCTAACCTGAAATATTTCTTTAATTTTAGCAAATGCATTGTTTGATAATCCTGCAATATGCATTTCAAGAAGAGAGAGAGAGATTTTTTTCTATGCAGGGTCTTTGGGATAGGTAAAAATACCTTTCCACGTAGCTATACCTTAGTTAAGAAAGATCAAAGAGATTTCAAAAAAAGAAAGTAAAAGAACTAAGAAAAACATCCAACAAAGGAGTCTGGCCTGCAGACATCATCCTGAGAACAATAAGTCAAGTACAATGAATATTACTTTTTAAGAAATTCACAGTAAGCTCTTCCTAATTTTCCAGATAAAACCATTAAGTTGTGGAAGGTGAGTGAAAGAGATAAACGGCCAGAAGGATATAACCTGAAGGATGAGGAAGGTCGCATCAAGGATGTATCCACAGTCACCTCTCTGCAGGTATCAATCTTATCTTATCGTATCTTATCTTAAATCTGATCTTATCTTATCTGTTGGTTAGTTGAGCAATGAAACTAGGTCAGTGGATTCAGCTGTGCTTGCATGTACAAAAGTGGGTCAGTAGTACAAGCTACACATAAGTAATTATGAGTTTAATGGAGAGGTGGAATCCCTTTATATGAGCAGCTGCTTCATCCAAACATCTGCTGTTAATCTAAACTCTTTATAGAGGTAGTTTTTATATAAGGAGACTGATCTAGTTTTTCTAGTTAAGACTTAAAGCTTTTATTCTCTCTATTTTAATGGACTGAAACATTAAATATTAATATATGATAATATTTGTCCAATTAGCTATATACTGGGAGTTTCTCTTCTTTTAACCTGAGGGAAGAGAGGTAACACGGCTCTGCTTCGTTTTCCCAGGTGCCGGTCTTGAAGCCCATGGATCTGATGGTGGAGGTGAGCCCTCGGCGAGTGTTTGCTAACGCCCACACGTACCACATCAATTCCATCTCGGTCAACTCGGACTATGAGACGTATATGTCTGCCGACGATCTGAGGATCAACCTCTGGCATCTGGACATCACTGACCGCAGCTTCAGTATCCTTCAGTGCGCTCACATACTGCGGTTGAGGGAATATAGACTCCAGAAGGCACAAAGACACTATAATAAAGCATACACTCACCCATGCATGCTTATAAATTACTGATAACGAACCCCACCCCCACACATAAAAAACTTCCACTCTGCAAATCCCACTTTGCTGTATGGATTAATGAATAAAGACCCACATAAATTGGGGGAGGGGATTATTGTTGTTGAGTAGTGAAACTATATCCTAATGAATAATTCAGAAGCTGCATAAATATTCCAGCCCCTATCTTGGTTCTAATCCAGGTTGGAGAAAAGAACAGTCACATCTCGGACCCAGACAGAATTTATTATTATGGTTTATCTGAATACAGATTTTTTTCCCCTCAACAACAACAATTCCCCTCTAGATATATTTTTATTGCTTGCTATTTAATATCCTGCTGTAAATCATCTGCATGGTGTGGCCTATGTTTACATTATGTTAATGTTTTGCATGGCTGGAATAAGGGTAACTTGAGCTAATCTATGAAAAGAATGATGGAGTTAATTTTGCTAAATAAAGTAGCTCCTGCAAATGAGTTGCAAATCCTGGAAGCTGATTTTTTTCTTTGCTGTTTTTCCTGAGCGACGCCTCTTTCTATCAGACATTGTGGACATTAAACCAGCAAACATGGAGGATCTGACGGAGGTGATCACAGCTGCAGAGTTTCACCCCCACCATTGCAACCTGTTTGTTTACAGCAGCAGCAAAGGCACCCTGCGCCTCTGTGACATGAGAGAAGCAGCACTGTGCGACAAGCACTCCAAATGTAAGTCCTGCTGAAACACAAAGAAATGTTATTTTAGACATCTCTTTTATTTATCATGAAACTTTCTGTTTTTATTTCTTTTAGTAAGTCTTTCTTCCCTTTTGCTATAGGTAACACAATTTTATGGCGGTCAATTGATATCTTAACACTGTATGGAAAGTTAGAAGTTTTTTATGGTCATTCAGGTAGCAGGACTTCAAGGATGGTTGTTTTTGTTGGATTAAATATCACTGGGTATGGCTACTGGTAAATTTGGCCATTCTTGTTATTTTGTTCTGTTTTTTGTTTTTTTTACAAGAGGTTGTTGTAAATTAATTGTTGAATTGACTTTTAATGCTTTTAATAGAGCTAAAGCCGAGACTGTCTCACTGATAAAGCTTTTGTTAATGTTTTCTAATCCAGTCTTGTCCTCTGACCAAGGTTGCTCATTTATACTGATAATCTCTCTTAAACACTTAAAGTGGGTTTTGCTGCCACATGGAAGGGAAGAGAGAGCTGCTGCTAGTGCTTATCCATGCATGCTAGTAAATGTAAGCATTTTTCCACACAACAGTAACAGTATAGTCCTGCAACAATGGACAAAGGTCCTGAAAACAATTCAACCCCGGAGTAAAAGATCTACGTGCTTTTGGTTAGAGCAAAGGAAAATAAAAGCACAGCAGCAATATTGTTAGAAAATAAATAATAATTTAGATTTGCGGCAAAATCTTTAACCCCCATTTTACATAATCTAGTTATGCTTTGCAGAAACCCCTTTGAAAGTGATAAAGACTCACCTCCACATGTGGAATGCTTGTAATGGGTCCAAATAACAGCAGTCCTGCATACCTTGTGATTAATACAACTTATAATCGTGTAACCACCTGCCACCAGTCATAGATTTAGTAAACAGAATTGAAATTCCATCCCTAAATGATAAAAAGATCATTCAATATGGAGAAAAAGGTGGTGACATAAGGTCAAATTGATGTGATGTATGTAAGGTAGAGGCAGAATCTACAGTATATTTTGCACCCTTACATCTCATTACACACCCAGATACAAAACAGGAGTGAATCTTACGCCACAGACAGATATTAAAGGCCAACCAGGACTGGATGTTTCAGAGAATATGCCTAATTTCTTCATATTTAGATGCTGTGAAATGTGTTTTGAAGATTGAAGACTGGTGAAATAAGAAACAGATTAACAGCTGCTACACAAAAGTCCAAGTACCACCAACAAATTGTATTATGCAGATCCATCTATTATCTCTTTAAGAAATCTAATCAACAACAAATATGGAATAAATGAAAACTTATAATTACTGAATACAGGATCTAATTCTGTCAACTTCCTACATATGTTCACTTGAAGCTAAAACGAAGAAAGATGGCAATAGTTTTAGGCCTGTTAAACATTAGTATGTTAGCTTTTAGCCTAACAATAGTCTCATGTACTTTAACCTAGCTGGAAATAAATACGGTAATACTAACTTAGTATTTATCTGTAGTTTTACATCTTAAAGTGGGACATGTTATATAGATCAGAGGCTGTTCAATGTATCCGCAGGATATGTACCAGTGAGTCCCTGACATTGAGGGAGCACTGTGTACTTCATCTGATATAACAGGTTGCATATTCGGAGCATTACTTCATAAATCTGCCTTCACTGAGGGACACAAATCAGTTGAGGGTAGATTCAGCCTTTAGGGCCCCAAGGTATCCAAGCTGCATTTTTTTATTGCCCCTTTTCTTCCTGCTGAAATGTTTACCATTTGATTTACCGCTCTGACCGTGAGCCATTAATGCAGAGTTGCCGCACGACCTGTGCTTGTTTTGAAACTAGAGCTTTTATATTGATGAGTAAAATCATGTTTAACAAAGAGCTTGAGTTATTTCTGTCAGATTTTCTGTGGTTAATATCTATCAGTATTTTCGAAGAGACCCTGCCTTACTATCATACTGTTTACTCCCGAGACATACCCTTTAATCTCTTGGCTTAAGATAAATACCAGTGTTATTCACCTATTGTCTCATTTATCTGTCTCACCTTCTGCAGTATTTGAGGAGCCAGAGGATCCGAGCGCTCGCTCCTTTTTCTCTGAGATTATCTCCTCCGTGTCAGATGTGAAGTTCAGCCACAGCGGCCGCTACCTGCTCACCAGGGACTACCTGACTGCCAAGGTGTGGGACCTCAACATGGAGAGCAAACCCCTGGAGACGTACCAGGTGTGTGACCAACGAAGCACGGTGGAAGATAGAATACAGTACATTGTCATGACTCAGAACAGAGGAACCTAGTATTCAGGCAAGACAGACAGTGGGATTACTTCAAAAGGGTTTATTAAGAACTGGATCAGAGTAGCAGCAGCTAGGGCATCAAAAGCTGCACTCTCTGCAGGAGAGAAACACAGGTTGTTGACATGATAATCTGGCAGAGGATGATTATTCATGTGAGTCACTAACCTGGTTTACAAGTTCATTACATGCCCAGAGAACAAGGTAGGATCAAGTGGATCAGAAACACAAAGCAACTCTAAAAACACTGTTAACATTGGCTAAAGAGAATAAGAATAATCTGGCCCTGATGACTGGATTCAAGCACCTTAAATAGAGGCAAGAGCAGCTGGATCAGATGAGAGGTAATGAGCAACTGGGCAGAGTTAGACAGGTGAATGGAATGAGTACTGAAGCCAGGCATCAGTGCCAAGATCTTCACATATATAGAGAAGTACAATGACTTCTACATGTCAAAATGTTTTCTCAGAATGTTTAGTTTTATTTTTACAGTAACATACCGGTAATCATTATTTAGGTGACACCATGTGTCCATAAAAACCCATGTAATCCATACAAAGAAATGAACACAAGGTGATTCAGTGTTGAATCCTGGATACTCTAATTGAATACTGTAATGTATTAAATACTGATCTACTTGGTAATGACATCTCTCCTGTATGGAGGAACCAGCTGCATACATTTCTCAATTGCAGTTTTGGTCATTTGTTCCAAATAAACTCCTTTAATTAGCCACACAGTGTTGCAAAGGTTGCCACACTGTATGGGCCCTGGGTGGTGATGTGTGGAACCAGTTCTGCAGGTACTCTTCTGCAGCAAACTTGAAACAAGCTACATGGGAGTAATAGGACAATGGGTTTTCTTCAGCAGTGGAGTCTTACAGTATGCAGTGAACAGGACTTTATTATTGCCAGGTGTCTCTAACCCCAGGACTAAGGTCCCACTGGTGTGGAGGTAGGGAAACACCTAAAACATACAGGATATTTGGTCCTGGGGAAATACTACTAATTATTGGCCAAAAATAGACTAGAAAGTTGATATTGATAACTCTCTATAGCAACCTATTTCATTATTTTTAGTAGCTTTCTGTGCCTCTTATATAAATCTTTTCCACCCCTAAAAGGGTTCTTAGGACGTGTTCTTAGGATGAGATCGTCTCTAATCAGTGGAAGCATTCCAAACAGACATAAGGTTTTAAATTGAGTTGAGACGGAACATAATCAGCAATGTTGTGTTATCTTTACTGAATAGATTATTAATTCTGCAAGTATAGCTGTAGCAAATGTCACCAGCTGCACATGCAGAAACGTAAAACCCTGAAAGAAACCACAACCTGTGCTGATAGAGAGCCCCAAAATGTCCCATCCACTCTCACTATCATATTAACTGAAGTCATTCAGAATTTTTTTTTTTTTGGAAAAAGTTTTTAAAGTCCTAGTTAAAGTCTTATCTCCAGGATAGACTTTGCTCCTAACATTAACAAACTCAACTTTCTTTTGTGTTTTGCTTTTTCTCTGTTGCTGGCTGACTAATGTTGTTTAGTTGCCATCCAAGATGATATGCAAATTTTGAGACATTCATCCTGAGGCAGAACATCTGTTCACATGCCCTCAGTCCTCACTAATGATTACATCTTTCCATAAACTTTCTGGAAACATAGGCCAGAGGGAGTTTCCTGATGTTGGCTCCTAAACTTTTAAAAAAATGCAATGTGATGGATGAGGGACAAAGGTTAAAACAATTTCCCAGGATTTTTAAAATACCTGGTTAGAAAATAATCCCTACTCTTAAGAGTTAAGCACAAATAAAAACATGTTTCATTTCTGATTGATTACTATAAAAGGTAAAAAAAAAAAAAAAAGTTTATGTTTATTGATTTATGAGTAGCTGATTATTTTGTCCCGTCTTCCTGCAGCAGCTTTTTTTCATGGAGGTGTCTGTCTGCATGCAGGCCTGAGTGTTGAGGACCCCCTGAGGCAGCCTTCAGTGGGAGGCAACAATGCACTGGAGCTATTTATAGGCTGCAGTCTCCACTCATAAAGTAAAGTGGGAAAGAGGGATACCTTACACAGTGGCTGACACCTAGATCTGCAATGCAGCACAGAGAGGGAGGAAGAGGGGGAGAACAGGAGTGCGGGGCTGGAGGCAGACTGGGAACAGTGTGATGGAGAAGGAATGAATAAAACTGAAAAAAGGAAAGAGGAGAAGTTAGGGAAATTGTGTAGAAATAATTACTTCTATGCATTGCCTAAAAGCATAGTAATGGACTACTTAAAACCGTCTGGGTCAGAGTTCCTTTAAATTACAGGAAGGAATGGCTCTCTAGTGGCTACATATCAGGAATATATACGGACATTTTTTTTTCTTTTCTTCTGTGTTATTTAGAATATCTGGTTGCAAAAAGGAAATTATTTTTAAGCTTTCATGGTGAAAGTCATTAACTAAGGTAAAGAAATGTCTGTTTGTGCGAGAAAAGAGTTAACATAAACAGCTGTTGTTTTCACCTAGGTGAAGCACCTGTTATTGGTAATAAGCCAGTATGCCATTTCTATAACAGGTTCTGTGTGTATTCTTAACAAATCTGGATCTTTACCTCAAGTTCTCCAAAAAGCTATCAACATTACCACAGTGATTTTTTTTAGAATAAAGATTAAAAAGGCCTTCAGCTGCAATCAGCTGTCATGTTTCTAATCTGATCTACTATGGATTATACAAAAGCTCTGCAGAGTTCCAACAAAGTCTGAAAAAGGGTGGAGTTTATTTTACTTATTTTTATATATTTATGTAATATAAAGTGAAAGAATGTTTGTATCTTTGTGTCCCACTACCTAAAAGCTTTACATTTTTTTCCATCTGTCCATCCACTCTCTTTATATTCAGTTATTGCTGCAGGTTCAACATTTAAAGCCCTACAACTGCAGAGACATCTGGAATAAATTCACCCTGATTTTTTTTTTTTTTAATTGCACCTTAAGATTCAACTGAAACAGGAGCAGAAAACAATCTGAAAAAGAATGGGTCCATTTTGCAAGAAAACAAAAAATAAATAAAATGTTTGGAGCCCTGTTTGTTTAGGTCAGAGCTGAAATATTGGGAGCTGTGGATGGGAGGAAAACAGCAGCAAACACAGTTCAGAAAGGAAACAGTGACATTCAGCATGAAAACCTTTACCATCAAGACCCCATCTTATTATTTCACAATAGTTAATAGTATATTTCCACTTACTGTTTTGAATAATTGACAATTATAACTCAGAAATCTTTAATTTCTTGCATCGGGTTACAAAACTTTTCTCTGTGCATAAACAGACATATCATAGAAGTTGCTTTCCCTATAAATGGATAGATTCTAGTAAGACTTAAGCTTTTTCAGCCAAAAAAAAAAAAAAAAAAAAGATTATCTGAGGCAAACAACTTATCATCCAGACCCTAACTTAAAAAAAATGTAAAACAAATTTGATTAAAGCACTAGTGGAAACCTTCTCGTTAGATTTTTTTTTTTTTTTTTTTTTTATGAGAGGAGAAAACAGAAAAGGATTTCATTCTTAATTGCTCTGACACAGCAGTCTAAAGAGATGGAAAAAATGAAGAGCCCCCAAAAATTGTATAAATTAGATTTTTTTAAACAGGACGACAAAAACTGAAATAGTCTCAAGCGTCGGTTGACCTTGTCCCTTTTGACCCTGTGTAGAAAGGCCTGTTGGGGGAAACAAAAATGTCCCAGGAAGTGATGTACAAGCAGAAAGTGACCTCAGCTTGACCGTGTATTGATTGCAAGGCCACTGACTGCTGACTTTATGCAGAATGTGGGAGGTGAGTATGGGCTTTACAGACAAGGCAGCTGCAGATTTCAAATACTTTCATCACCAACAGACACAGCATAAAACCAGACAGGTCAAATCGCTGCACAAGGGGAAAAAAACGGCTCATATGAGCATGTGAGTGTAGGGGTGATGAAACAGAATTGGATATTAAGAGAGTTGTTTTGTGTTGGAAAAGACGTTTGGATCAAAAGCATTTTTGCTACAACTTGGCCAGAACAAACATTCCTGGTTATTCCTTCTCTGAATACGTACTTCTCAGGGATAAAGATGTATCCTAATTTCTTTTTTTCCAGGTACACGATTACCTCCGTAGCAAGTTGTGCTCCCTCTACGAGAACGACTGCATCTTTGACAAGTTTGAGTGTGCCTGGAACGGCTCGGACAGGTAACTCATGGAATAGGGTTTTTCTTTTGGAGGGCTCCAGCTCTGGTCTAAACTCACAGCTGAGTCTCTTGTTTTAAATAGGGGATGTGTATCTCAGTGCTGTTTGTGCTTATTTTTATTCAGCTCTGTATAGAAGTCTGGAGAGATCCCTTTTTATACTTTTTTTCTAGCAGTCAGATCTTCTTTACTGAGAGTTCGATTTAGTGTCACTTTACAAATACAGGGCTCAATAGATTTCATTGAAATTGTTTTAGGTAGACCAAGAGGACTTGTAGTTGCATGTCATCGTAAAGAAGGAAATAGATAAAAGGATTGAAAACATTTTCCAAATAGTAAAAACTGAACAGTGTGGCATGCATATGAGCTCAACGTTCTCAGTCAATACTTTCAACAACAACTTTGGCTTCGATTACAGCAGCAAGAAGGCTGCTGTGTTTGGAACATGTAGGGATAGGTATTTGCTTTGACTAGGCCATTCTAACACATGGGTTTGCTTAGATCTAAGTCATTTCAGCTCTGGCTTTATGCCTTTCCCTCCTGAAATTTGAGCCTCCCAACAATTTTACAGTAGCAGCCATTCAAAATGGCCTTTTGCATTTAAAAGCCAGCCGAATGGCAGCAAAATCCCCTCCATCTTCCAGCCACTGGCCTCCTCAAGGGTGTGCATATTGTTTTACTCTGACTCCACCCTTTCACTGAATTACAGGGTCTTACCAGGAGATAACACTTCTCTTTAGATCTTAATGTCCACAAATCAGGACAGAAAGAATATTTTAGAGCAAAGATTGTTGTTTAAAAGGGAATTGTCGGGGACCAGCCAAGGGCCCATCAAGGAAAGTTGGGAAATATTGAATGGCTACTACTGTAGGTGTTTTCCTGCATTTTTACATCTTTTTATACCCTTTATCAGTTCACCCTCCCTACAGAAGAAAAGCATCCCTAGAGCATGATGCTGTTGTTCCCCTTTTCCACAATTACCGTTTCCCTCCACATGGCTCATTGTAAACTTTAGGCAGGTCTTGTTATGGCTTCTTACAACAGGACTAGATTTATTGTTTTCTTATTCCATCAACTAGTTATACTTGGGCTGAGGGTTGCTCTTCTTGCTTGGTATGCCAGTTTTGCATAAAATCCAGCCTTTGAGGGTTGACTTCCTGCAACATTTGCATATGTTGGCTTTAATATAACCAAATGAAAGAAATAGGTCATCAGCAGGGCTCTGCAGAACTTGAAAGCGTACTGATGAGGTCATTTGACTCAGGTTTGTTTGAAGGGAGACACTTCTAAAAGTTGCAAGACACTGACACAGGAGGACTAGAGTTTCACACCTGTGGTAGAAGTGAACTGTTATGTTTGAGGGGGGCTATTCGAGGTCTGTCTGCTAAATGTATTTGTCTTTGTCTCCTCCTTTTGTTTGATTTTGTCCAGTGTGATCATGACCGGAGCCTACAACAACTTTTTCCGAATGTTTGACCGTAACACCAAGCGTGATGTGACCCTGGAGGCCTCGAGGGAGAGCAGCAAACCCAGGGCCGTCTTGAAGCCTCGGAGGGTCTGCGCCGCCGGCGGGAAACGGCGGAAGGACGACATCAGCGTTGACAGCCTGGACTTTACCAAGAAGATCCTGCACACGGCCTGGCACCCCAATGAGAACATCATCGCCATCGCCGCCACAAACAACCTGTACATCTTCCAGGACAAACTCAACTCTGAGATGCACTGATGAAAGGATGTCGGCGGTGGGCCACAACAAGTTTACAAGCAAACATGCAACTATGCTAGAATGTACATTATCAGACTCAAACAACGGCCCAGAGAATCCAGGAAGATGCCTAACACACACACTTAAAACGCATACACACATTTATCTCCTCCTCACCCTCCCACAACTGAAATGGAGACCAGTCAGGGATAAAAAAGGGAACAGGTTGGATTACACAATGCTTTATCTTTTGACAATTGTCCAAACTGTGTTTATTTTTAATCATTAACCTGTGGATTGTGGTTACTGGTGTTTATCACCACAGATTGACCTCTGAGAGGGGATCAGATCTTCTCTCAGACCCAGAGGATGTTTATATTTCTTTGTCTTTTTAAACTCTCACTTTTGCTTTCTCCGCCTCCTCCTCTCTGTATTTGTGTGCTCAAGCGAAGCCTATTCTTATCCCCTTTGCCCAGTGTTTTGTGTAAAAATGGGGCATTTATATAACTGTCGGTTTTTCATTCCAGATAAATCACTGTTTTTGTAACTTGTTGTTAAACGTCGATGACGAAGGCAAATCTGATGATCAAAAATGAAAAGTTGTGTGACAAGGATGACTCGGTTGACTCTCCCCTCGACCTGACTCCATCAGACCGTGCTCTCTAGTGAAACATTCATAGTCCTGGTCGAAGCAGACATTAAAATCGATTCCAAAACACGGCGTGTGTTCAAGCAATGACTGTTTTCACTTTTAGCCAAAACATGTCTAAACATACCTGTTTGTGTTTTCTTCTTCTGATCCAGGGCTGTTTTGTGCTGCTGCTGCTTCAACACTGAATACATTTAACTCAAATAAAGCAAAAAAAAAAAAAAAAGAAAAAGTACAAAAAAAGTGAAGAAGTATTTGCAACAATCAAGCAAAAAGATGCTGCATGTCCAACAAATTTATTTTATAAATTGTCTGTCTGACTGACTTGGCTGCCTTCTTTAAACATTTAGACCTAGCTATAGAAAGGCTTCGGGGGCCCTGACGGGGGGCCCCTCGCAGCAGCACGAGCCACCGTAGATGACCGATGACCTCTTAGTGTCCACAGATGCTGAAGCATGTTCGGTTTGTACACGTCCATTCTGAATAAAGTTGTCGACAAATCCGTCAAAAACTGAGAACGAAGAATAATGGGGAATGTTTCAGATTTAATGATAAACCTTAATAAAAAAAAAAAAAAAACAATAAATGTGAAAGGGGCCTCAGTGGTGTCTGTATATAAAAGCTCTGTTTCTGACATGAGGTTTTGTTTTGTCTGTAAACCAACTGCAGACTTGCCTCCAGTGTTACAGCGGAGTGATGGTACTTAAATCGCCTCAGCCTTCCTCACTGATTACTTTTTGGATGTGCAGTTTTTATTTTTTAAAAGACGGATGCTTCTTTATTTGGAACATGTCTAGGTTGTCCTCCTTGTCTTTAACAAAGACATTTGATTCACATATTTTTGTCTAAATATATGTCAACAAAATGATTGTCAAATGGACAGTTATAAATAATGTTAATATGTTTCTTTCTCTTTTTTCAATAAAGGATTCAAGAAAATTGCACCCAATGAGGACATGGCTATGACTTCTGTTTCTGACTCAAGCGCCACCTAATGGCTAAATATCAATACTACATGTCATTTTAAAATCACATGGTTAAACTTTTAAAATCTCACTCGACTTGTAACATTAATGGCTCATTTATCCTTTTCACAGAAACATAGATATAAACTAAGTGATTTTTGACAAACCGCTGAATTCTGTGATTTGTCAAAATCCGACACTGAAATGGCTTAAAAACATTTTCCCCATTTATTGACATATTTCCACTATATCAACAAAACAACTGTTAGTTGAAAGAAAGTGTTCACACCATGAAACTACTTACATTTATGACTCAATTTCAACATTCTTGTGTTCAGGCCTGCCATAAGTTATTAAACCCTATCAACCTAAGAGGAATATGAGCATTTTTCCTGACGTTTGTGCACTTTCAGCATTTAACCAAAATGTGCAGAGATCTTACAGAATATATAATTACAGTTGCTAAGGTATGAGTGAGCACTAAGACACAAAGAAAAAAAAATGTGTTAAGATGTTAATCAAAAAGATGAAAAAAAATAACACTGTTATAAAAACTGGATGTTTGTGCAAAACAAGCGCCAACAAGATGGATAGTTGTTAGGGAGGTTTCCAAGAGGCCAACTAAAGGATCATGAGGGGCGAGAAGCGTTACTCTCTGCATGTGACACCAATGTCCTGCATTCACTAACTATTTGGACGAAGACCAGATGCTTCTTGCCAACCTAAAATCTCCCAAAACCCTGTGGGAGGATGTGATAAAATATCATCTATCCCCATCAGTTCAATACAGTATGTTCATCATTTTTAAAACACAACCAGAACTACAGAAAAACATGGAAGTGGAAGCATCATGCTTTGGGCTTACTTTTTTTCCCACTGAGAACCAAATTTTCAAACCACAAAAACTTTCCTACCTACACCAATCAGTTTAGCCATCATTTAACCAGCTGATGGCTAAAAAGGTCAAGTTGATTATTTTATTCTATACAGCTAAATTAGGAAAACAATGGCCTCATCAGAGGAAATGTGAGAAGCACAGAAAGGGGCATCTAACACCCCCCAGATCTAACAGGATATGAAGGAAGGGTAAATATTGTAAAGTCAAAATGTTAGAACTGTAAATATACAGTATATTACTCTTATATTACCATTTTTTATGTATTTATTACTGGTTTCAAGGCTACACTTTAAAAAATGAAATTGTCTAGAACTGTTTTAAACTAAATTTCTTTTTGTTTAGACTCGAGTATACAAAATAAATCTGTTTAAGTCTAAAATGTGATTTAAAGGAATCCCACCAAAGTAAATCAACATCTGCAATGAGAGTGTTTGTTGTTGAATGTATTCTCTTTGTAGGAAATTTCAGATATTTTACATTTTACCCCAAAGCCAATCCAATTGAATTTTGGGGCTTACATGTCACATTTGGTTTCCTTTTAAAAAGTTATGAAAACCAGTTTTTTTAACGTGCGTGTGTGTTTGTATGCTGACGAGATTCACCACGTCTCTAAAATATTATTCCCTTGTTTACCTGAGGAAAATCAAAAGAGCATATGAGGCACATTTTGTCTTTATTTTACAACATAAATACAATTCAAACCTGCTAAATGAAAAGAAAAAAAACATATTAAGTGGTAGAGTTTGAAATATTGTGTGACTTTGAGCTTTTATAGCTAAAAAGAGTGAAAAGATAAGCCTTTTACTATACAAAATCAAATGGAAAGTTTGTCAAAACTGGCTCGACTAAACAGTTTTTAATAAACACATCCAAAAACTAGAGTTTCCACATATTCAAGGGTCACAGTACAGAAAACAGCAGTGACATCCAAGACACACCCTCAGTCAGGGGCTAAATATTCAGTTTATTAAATCTCTGCACAGCAGAGACACAAACAGAGGAGGAAGCAACAAGGCCACTTTTCTTATTTTTGCTTTTATGCCACACTAAAATGTTTCAGATCATCAAACCATTTTTAATATTAGAAAAATATCTAACATGAGTAAATTTAACTTTTTTTTTTTCCAAATGAAGATTTATTACATTCATTGGGGGTGAAAAAAGCTATCCAAGCTGATCTTCTATATGAAAAAGTAGCTGCTCCCCTGTTTAAAAATCACAAACTGCCATTAAATCAAAGCTTAGAAAGCAGAGCTTCTATTATCTGTTGATATAATTAAAGTTAAACCTCCCAAGTAGATTAAATATTTAAGACAAAACAAAAAAAAACAACACATCCAAAACAATTTCAAAAGCATTAACTAGTAATTGATGATTATCCGTTTGAAGAGGCTTATGGAGCCATTTTGAAAACTTTGGGACGCAAAAAGGACCAAAAGTGAATTTCATAATCAAATACTGAAGAAAATATATAATATAGGTTAGGTTCCCAGGATAGGCAGGTCGACCTAAATCACTCCAGTAGCAGATTGCTGATTTGGCTAAGGCTGTGCAGGCCTCACATGACTTAGCTAAGATCATGATTTGACAAAAGGAAAAAAAAAGAAGATAGTGGGAGGAAAGAAGAAACCAAAACCACTGCTGATCTGTAATGACCCGTATTCAGAAACAGACCAGCAAGTACTGGTCGCACATACTGGAGGAACATGGTGCTTTGGGGAGATCTGGAAAGCCTGCAATTGATGGAAGAATGTATTTTTTTTCTCTACTGGAAAATTCTGCAGAAACATGTAGCCATTTGTCCCACTCTGGTTCTGTAGCAATCAGCAAAATTTCAGAATAAATACCACCTTTGAATGACTTAACGACAGCAGAACTGTTTTTAAAGGCTTAGCTGAAATCTGGACTTTATTCCCCTTTCAGATACTGTAGCAGGACTTTATAATGTTAATGATACCAGAAAACCCTTCAATAAAGTGCCTGTCTGTCTGTGTACAGGGTAAACTGAAAAGTTATGGTGTCCCTTGTGGCAAGGAAAAATCCATTAAATGTTGGTGATGATCCAGATCATAGTCTGGATACAGGATTTTAAAAAAAGATTCCATAACATTGTGAGACTGGAGTATTTGCAGTTCACCACTAAACCAGAGGGTGGCAGCAGTGACTATTGACAGCATCAGCATCGGACTCAAAAAGTCTGGAGGTATTTTACTGAAGACAAAAACATGAGGAAAAAAACCAAAAAGAACGTTGTTGGTTTGTTAGTGGACTTATGAACAGATCTTATGGACTTTTTTTTTTAACCAGATGTGTGCCTCATGCCAAGGAACTAAGGAACCTAGCTATAGGGGTAAGTCACAATATGGGGCAAATTGGCTGCATGGCGCAAGTCTGCGCTCGCCAAGTTCTTTTCTAGTTTGAAAGCTGTTTTTGTATCTAATTAGGCTAGCTAAATAAAAAGAGAGAACATTAAAAATAGCTTTGTCTGAAACACATATTCATTGAAAAGAGGAAATCTGTAAAGAAGCCTTTTCCCACCACTGTATTTAGACACATTTCAAGTGAAGAATCAGATATTTAACCCCCCCTAAAAGGTACTGTATTTACCCTATAGTCAGCAAAGTTAAATCATTTAGTGTTGATTGGAAATCCTTCAAACGGTAAATCCTTCATTGGATAAACAATAACAGAGTCTTTCGAAGTGAAAGCCAGAGAAACTTAAAACTGAAGAGTTTAGCCCAGATTTTAGACGGGTTTGATGGGAAACTGTATGAATGGAAACAAAATAAACATTTTTACTAAATGGACCCCCTAGGTCAGCACACATACAGTACAGCTTAAACTCGATGAAATGTTTCTACATAACTCAGGAAAGCAGTAGCAGCAGGCAGTAAATCCTGATTACTTGGTGTTTATTCTCTCTCTCTGTCGTCACCTTTATGTTTTGGCTCAAAAGCTTTAAGAACTCAAACATGTATTTCCAGATAAAGTGTGCCTTATAAAAGTATTCACACCCCAGCGATCCTTCTACAGCCTGTCACATTACAACCAGCAACATTTGCACTGGATTTTATGTGATAAACCTACAGAAATGGGGCATAGTTAGGAAGTAAGTTACAAACATTTTGTTCCTTAACTTTTACTCTGATGCAGAGTAAACTATTTCTTCCAGAAATTCGTAATTAAAGCTAATGCTGCTCATAACCCTGAAAACACTGTCATGATTAAACAGCATGATGCTGTGGGGATTAATTGGTGGAAGATGAAAATATTTTCTTTAAAAGACTTAAGGCTGTGGCAGAGTTTCACCCATAAACACAAAGAAAAAGCAAACTTTTTCTGCCAGAACAACCCAAACCTAAAATAGCTCAGATACTGAGTTTCAATCGATGTTAACGGATATTCCTAATCAGGCAGTGTAAATCCCCAATAGGTCTGCAGCTGCTGATACGCTGAGTATTGTGGTTGTAATGTAAGCAGCGTGAAAAGGTCTGAGGAGTACGAGTGCATTTAGAAGAAACAGTGAACGCCTGAGGATCTGTTTAGTCTCCTGTAGTCAGTCACCACTATTAAGAACATTGTTGTATAACCATTAGTGTTCTTAGCTATCTCTATCCATCCTGCTCCACACTTTCTGTTTCAGTCTCTGCCTGCTCTTCCAGCCGAGCGGTCAGGAAGGGGTTGAAGAAGAAGTCGAACCCAAACTGGAGGGCGTTCTGAGCCGTGCGCCTCCAGTCGTGCTCGATCTTGTACTGCTTGCGGCCGAGAGTGCGGGCGTCCCCGCAGGACATGCAGTGGATAGCCTTCATTTCAAACACGGGCCATTTGGAGCCTAAACGTCCCTCCAGGATGGTGCTGAACTCCACTAGGCTGCCGGCGTTCAGGTGTAAAAGCACAGACTTGAACTCGTTGCTCGCCCGCAAAACAATGTCCTTGGTTGCATCTTCGTCCTCTATGATTGTCCCGTCTTTAGTCTTCCTCTCTAGCGGCATGCCCAGGGTGACCTCAAACTTGTAGCGGTCAAAGCGTTTGATGTGGCACTCGTGTTTTGCCAGAGTCTTTAGCTTGCAGAGCGGATCTACTGAGGGAGGAGCCGGAGCCGGCCGCGGTTGGGGTTCATTGCCGGCACTTTTGTTCTTATCTTCACACACCGGATAAGGTTCTCCATACAGACAGCGCATCCAATTTCCTAGAAAAACAGGCAGCAGGTTGATTACTGACTGGGGCCCATTCTCAATATCCGTCACACGGACGTATTTGAAGCGTCCCGTCCAGGTGACTCTGTGTCCTTCCAGGTGAGAGCAGAGAATCTGAGTTTGGGCCATGTTGGACTCCTTCCAGGCCAGCGGCCCGCAGAGGTTGCTATATTCAGGCCACGTCAGGGTGGAGTTATACACCTTCATTCCTTCAGATCTGTAGACGTACATCCAGCAGAAAAGCACCACTGCACTCAGCCACACCAGGATGAGCTTTACGATGCTGCTCCGTGACAAAGACCTAAAGACAACGATGGGGTTGAGGCTAAAGCGAGTCCATAGCCTCAACACCACTGGCACAAAGCAGACGATCAGTGTGACCACCATCTTTGTTACCTCCAGGGTGAGAAACCACTGCACTAACTGGATCATAATCATGGCAGCCAGACCCAGTGAGAGGACAGGAAGGGCAAAAAGGAAGAGGAGATAGCCCACGCAGGTCCGAATGAGTCCTATAGCTGTGGCATTATTGAGGAACACCAAGCAGAGCTCACACCAGGTAAAGCAAACCAAGTAGGGCACAAGGCACAGGTAGGTACCCTTAAAGCCTCTCAGCTGGGCCATACGGAAGAGAAGATAGACGAGGTGTCCGTATAAAAGGCACGGCACGCCCAGGTTTAAAGCCACAGCGTCCCCGAGAGGCACAGTGATGAAGGTGGTCCCAAAGATCCGGAGGGACCAGAGGGAGGCAGGCAGGTGCTGAGTGAGGGAGCACGCTCCGGAGAGGACCTCTGTGAGAAGGGCTTTACGAGCAAACAGCTGAGCTGAGGCGTGGAGGCTGAGGAAGGCTGTGATGGTGAAGAAGAGAGCCACGGCAGCTAGTTCTGAGCAGGGAATCCAGGATTTATCGGCCACCGGGAAGGAGAACACGACAAAGACCACAGAGAGGAGGAAGTACCTAAGAGGAAACAGGAAGCACATTTTCAAATCTGGGTGTACTCTTAAAGTGGGAATGCATGCATGTAGATCCTTTAAAGACAAATCTAAATTAGGCTGATAGATCACGATGATTTGTCACAGAATCTAATGGATTTCTGCAAACATGCGTGCACTACACAGGTTTAAACTAATTAGTTGATTTAACCTCATCTCAAATGACAAATACTCGGCTAGCACTAAATAATATTGGGTTATATTAGTCTCAGCATGTTGCACCTGGACCACAAACATCCTGCAGCCATCCAAGAGCTTCTGTCCCAGGCACAGATTTAACATGTTGGACAAATGGAAGGCAATTAAGTCTGAGAAGAAGACAAAAGCAAGATCTGCAGCTGGAATCAATCAAGCCAAAAATTTTAAAAGTCAGATGAGACAAAGTCAGTTGCAATGACGAGAAAGAATATAAAGAGCTCATGAGGAAACTTGCAGACCCGAAAGCATGATAGTGGCGGTATCATAATGTGGGAGTATTAAGCTCAAATTGTTATGATTGCATTCCACAACAGAAGGGCTCAACAGTAAGAGGGCTGAAGCGTAGACACAGAGAGGAATACGAGTTTGGAATATTCCCATCTAAACAACCAATAATGTTTCGATAGCACTTAAAAGCTGACTATCAACAAACTGAAACTGGTTTTACCAAAACAAATAATAGTTCTCTTATATCAGTCTACTGCTTAAAAGAAACAATAAAAAAAAACAAATTTAAAGACCCAACATAACATGGCATCCAAGCACATGATGACAGAATAAATAAAAAAAAGGAATTAGTAAACAGAGGTAATCTTACAGGTAAGGTTCTAAATGTGTCCATCCAAAGTTGGTCTCCGCCTGCTCCAGATCCAGACCAGGCTCAAACTGAGCCAGCAGGTCTGTGAGAGCTCGGAAATTTTCCCAAGCCTTTGAATTCTAGAAAAAACAAAAATAATAATTCATAATTTCTCCATCCTTTCCTCCGAGCCCGTGGAGTGACTGTGACCAAAGCAACGATTTGAGATGGCAATCTATAACCAACCTGAAACACCCGCAGAGTGCAGATCACCATGGAGAAGAAGGACAGGTAGAAAACCAGCAGAGGGATGAGGAAGATGAAAAACTCGATGGTGAGGTTAGAGATGATGAAGAAGAAGACCAGCGCGTTAACGTGGTGAGTGGGGATGAGGGCGCTAAGCCACTGCATGCCGGCCCGCGATGCCCAGTCGATGAGATGCTCCTTTATCTCCAGAAGAGCGTGAAGCGGGAACTTTAGCATCTGAGAGAAGCACAAGAAAATCAGATGAAGTCAGCTTGGAATCACCTTCTATTTGATGTCCTCCATTTATAGCTAATATTATTTATATTTAAAGTGTATTTAAACTGTTAAATCTATAGCAAAATGTTAACAAAGCTTAATAGATAGATAAATAACTAAACAAACAATTGTCTTACCTTCTGATGGAGTGGCAGTTCATCTGGGTTTTTTACCACGACATCGTCGTAATCATCATCATCATCGTCCGCTGAGGCCATGAACGGTGACGGTGCAACACCCTGAGCATATTTCTTAGTCATCTCAACAAAATCATCAAGACCAACATGAGAATTGCCTGCAAAGCAAAGCAAAAACAATCAAACTACTAATCTGAAATAAAATAAAATGTGATTACCCTTTGTGCGAAATGTAAAAAATAATCATGCGTCATATCAAATATTCTAACTCCCAGATTCCACATCTTCTGTCCCCGCTCCGCTCATGTACGTCATGGGCTGCACTTAAGCAGTCATGTTAATCAATGAGACCTGTTCCACCCAACACTACTCCTCTGCACGTCAGCGTCCACGTACCTCTTCTCCGTCCTTCACCGTCAAAATACGGAGCCAAGCTATTTTTTGCTCTGCTACGGCCAGTTGGAATCCAGTTCAGGATCCGCAATTGCAATCGCACCAAACAGGAAAAATAAAGTCGAAAAGATCTAATTTGTCAAATTAATATATGGTGAATATATTATATTATTATATATTATATTGGTAAATACAAATTAAGAGCATAATTCTTATATATTCCCAAAAACTAAAGACCGTTTCATTAAATTTTTGGACGCAAACCATTCATACTTCAACATACCAGCAAGCTGATTTCTCATCTCAATGAAAAATATTTATATTATACTCAGAGGCTTAAAAGTTTCATCAAATCCAGTCACAACAACTTCCAAGAACGTATCTGACAACTAAAAAAACTAACTTTTTATTCCAGGCATGAATGAAGAGATGCTGAGTTTTGAAGTAGAGAACAAACCAATTTTGTATGATCCTAGTTATCCGTATTAAAAAGACCCAAAATGAAAAGATAATGTTTGGGCAGAAATGTGTGTTATTGATGCTGATGATGAGTTGTAATTAGGTCATATTAAATTTAGCATTCATTATCGCATGTTTTGTTCCTATGAATTAAATAATAATATTGCGTATGCTCTCCTCGAGCTCCAAGGAAGTTGGAGAGGAGCAAGACGGGAGGAACCGCGGAGGCTGTAGGCTTTGTTTTGGAGCGGAGCGGGGCGTTTACGGAGGATGTGGGATTACTATGTAAGAAAAAACATGCGTACCTTCTCTGGAGACCATAGTCTCCAGGACTCTCCTTTGCTTCTTGGTGGAGCTGTTGAGCGGGCCTGAGCAGATTGGTTTGCCTGAAACAGAAGATACCAGTAAATCATAGAAGAAAAAGAATCATGGTAAAGCAGAGAACATGGCTTTTCCTTTCAGCACCTGGTTCTATGTGAACATGCTCCACGTTCTCCAGCAGCTCAGACACCGCCACAGACTTCTTCTTCTCAGGGTTGAGCTTGTAGTACATGAGCAGAGCTGCTTTCCTGACTCCCCTCTCAAAACGTGTCTCTGTGCACAACTTCTTAACCTCCTCAAAGTTCTCCAAGGTGATCCCTGCAGAACAGAGGAGAACATTACCAGCATTTAAAAAAAGAAAAAAAAGAAAAGAAGCTATACTTGATCAAACGTCTGCAGTCGCAGGTTGAGGGAAGCTGAGATTTTTTCGGTCACCTTTCCTGGATTTCAAGCACTGCTGCAGCAGTTTGACGGCATCTTTGCGGCCCTGCTTAGCAGCCTGGACCAGCCAGGTGACTGCTGTGCAGTTGTTCAGCTCCTCGTCGCTTTCTTCTGCCAAGGCCAAAAAGTAACGTCCCATCTGGACACACACATTTATGTTCGAAGTTTTAAATTTGCAAAACAAGCACCACTGTGGCTTATTGACACACCGACCCTGAATAACCAAAATTTATATTGACTCAGCTGGTCTGCTGTTTCCAACATATGGTCAACCATTTCTGCTGGATGTTCACTGACCTTTGTTTGTGCTTTAGCATCACCTGACTTTGCCCTCTCCTCCAAAACCTCCAAACGGACTTCCTCCTCCGTTTCATCTGAAAAAAAAACAACAACAACAAAAATCAGTTTAAAGAGCTTTTATGGGTCTTAACAATATGATACTTTTGAAGAGTAATAAAAAGTTGTTTCTGTTGCTTTTGAAAGGTCTTAACTACAAACTTTTGTGTATTTTGTTGTGGTAACTATTGCCATTCAAGCCCCTTTACTCTAAACCCACAAAATAAAAATCTGCTGCAGATATTTAACTTCAGAGGTTACCTAATTGTTGCCATTAAAATGTAATATAAGCTGTTCTATGAAGTTTGTTAGAGAATATCGTGAGGAACAAGGAACACAGCAGACAGGTTCAGGGGTTAAGTTGTTTAAAACAATATCCCAATATCCCTTTAATCAGCTCACAGTTCCTGTCCTATATAAAAACAAACCAATCAAGATGAGGCTGACCACCTACAACAACAAGAACAGAAGCTGCCTGAGGGCCCACTTACTGCCCAGTCCCAGTTCCGAGTCAAAGCAAAGAGAAGATGGGATTAAAATGTCGCAAAAACACAGAAAGTATGAGGAAGAAGGCTGGGCTGGGTAAAAAAAAACAAAGCAAAAAAAAACATCCCAGGTCATGGGGGGCCACCATGATTAGTTATATTTAATGGGGACACCATAAGATGCATGCATACATCTAGTAGATTCCAAAAAGAAATATATCGGGAAAGCAATGAATTGAGTATAAGAATACTATTTGTCAGAGGTAAGGGAAAATTTATTAGAATTTTCTTAATTGATAATATATGTAATAATAAATCAATTTTTGATTACATTATGAGAGCCATGGTTTGGCCCAAAAATAGGTGTCGGCCCACTGGGTATATATGACCTGTACACCAAACGGCCAGCCCAGGTCTGCAAGCAGCTGCTCCGGTGTGAGGAAATCAAAATAGATTTTTTAGGTCGTCATGCTAGTTTATTTTATGCAACATTAACACTGAATATCCCTAAAAAAGCATCATGCTGTTGCTAAGCTTTTTTTCCCCCCAAGAAACAACAGAGCTGATCAGTATTTTTTTTTTTTTATTGAAGGAAATTAGAAGAATGTGGACCCAAGTTACAAACACTATCCTGTCAGAATCAGCTTTGACCTTTATTAACCTTATTTTGTTCTCACTATCCTCCTCAGTCAATCACTGACCTAATCGCTACCATCCCCTGTTCTCAGTAGGAGCTACAGCTCAACCGTACACCATATCTGATCAAATAAAATGTTACTCTCAATCTTTCCATGAACTGACCTTTCCAGAGGGGTTGAAGGGGATGCTAGTGAGAGGAACAGTGGTCTCAGAAAATACTGAGGATATCTAGTAACAAGTGTCTGGTGTCCACTGCTGTTATCCCGGTACTCTGCTCAGACTTTCACACTCAATCTGAACCCAAAAATAACCGGTAGTTTTCATACAGTAAAGGGCTGCTGCCTTTACCAAACATCCAAGGCTAATGTCATAGGTTTATATTGGAAATTGATATTTTCACAAATAAAAGCTCCTGTTTTACATTTTCATGTAAAGTTACTCATCTTTATATCATTGCAAAGACTAGCAACACTGCACGCATTTAATGTCTACTTGACAACCAGACAGCAGAGAACAAAACAAAGCAGAGAAAAACCTGAAGAGAGTAGAAAGGGTGGAGCTACTTTGCATTTCTGTTGGTTATGGAGACGCTACAGTACCTGGGAGAGTTGGCTGCACTGATTGTAGAACAAGTGCAAAGTGAAACTAAGCTATGGAGCCTGTGTTTGGGCTCAAAGGTCAATATTACCTGGTTCAGGTGAGGTAGCTGATGGAGGCGCAGCAGCAGCTGTTGATCCATTTAGAAGACTCCCTGTTGTTGAGGCTGCGTTCAACTGCGATCGGCCCGGCTGCGAAAAGCTTCTGGTGGGCTGGCGGGGAAATGAAGATGGGGTTGAAGAGAGAGAGGAAGAACGAGAATGAAGCCTTTGAGGTATCACAGGTGAGGCGGTGGATGGAGGAGATGATGGAGTGGTGGGAGGCGTTGGTAGTGTGACTTTATGTCTCTGTGGCTCATGGGTAGAGGAGCTCACAGATGAACCAAGAGAGGAAGTTCTAGACCTCGAGGAAGATGGAGAGGAGGGGTTAAGCTCCGGTGCAGGTGGGTTCCCAGTGGATGAAGGATCCATGCCTGAGTAAAAGAAGAAGAAAAAGCAAAGCTATGCGATTAAATCACTTAATTTGCCTTTGAGTGAAACAGAGGTCTGTCTGATCAGTCTGTAAAACTCTTAAAAACTCTAGAACTTCACACCTTAAAGCCTCAAATTGGATAATTTTATAAGGATTTTAAATGGTTGATCAACACAGAATAGTAGTACTCTTTCTATAAATCTCTTTCTATAAAAAAAACTTGGCATTGAATTTTATTTACCACATTCCACCACGAAAGCCCTGAATAAATTCAATCAAACCAAATATATTAAGAGCATCCCTGAAAAATGTTATTTAATTTTATTAGAAATACATTTGTTCTGTTCTACTGGACAAATAAATCCTCACACAAAGAAGCATTCCAATCTGGAGGTGCAGCAGGGATTCAAAACTCAGATGGGGGCGAAAAGGTTTTGGCACACTTGCACAAAAACTATGAAAAAAACGTATTACTGTGCCAAACCCTGAACACATCATTATTATTGTAGCGCCATGATGCGCTGGGGATGCAGTTGGGTTAAAAACAGAAACTTTCTTAGAGAAAACTCGAGACCATAGAAGAGGTTCACTTTCTAGCTCGGAGAATGTTTATGAGATACAAGGATACAACAGAATGGTTTGTTTAGACATGATCCAGAACAATGTCAGATGTAATTTATTTTGGATCCAAACTTCTTGTAGAGGCAATAGCTATATAGACATACTGAGATCTAAATACTAATTTAATCATGCATCTATTGGTGGAGTTGTGGCCTAAAGATTAGGGCATAGAGCTAAGGTTGCGAGTTCGAAACCCACTTCCGCAGACTGCCACTCTGACTCTCTGAGCAAGACCCTTAACCCCCGATTGCTCCCCAGGAGCTTCACAGTGGCAGCCCACTGCTCCCCAAAGGGGATGAGAGTTAATTTCTCCATTGTAAGATCAATAAAGTTCAAATTATTAATTATTATTTTATTATAACTGAGAATAAACCTAAACATGTTCTTATTCATTCATTTAAAGTTATTGTCCATCATTAGAAATGCATAAATAAGCCACAGTTTACTACATATTTTATTTTGGACAACTACAAAAATTAACTTAAGCATGTTTTTACTCCAATGGTACCAACTAAATAAATGTTTTTGTAACATTACTACAGACGGCTCTAAATCCAGCATGCCGATTTAAATTATATAAAACATAATGATTACTTTGAACGGTGAAAGTACTCTTTACTTAATCTGTGCCCAGATTAACTCTTTTTTTTTTTTTTTTTTTTTTTTTTTGTTATGAGTACATGAAGCTCGTCATGTGGTCTTAACAGTCTATTTCAGACAGCATCAAACTGGACTGAGAGGCTAATTTGAGACGGGTGACATCTATGGATTTACTGGAAAGCGTTTCAGTCCCGTTGCACTGTTGGGAACCACCATTGTTATGTAACAATAAAACACATTCGCGAACCATTTAACAGATTAGATCAGCAGCATAGCCTAGCCTTTAGATGCTAATAATGCTAACACCGATCTCACCTTTCTGTATATTCCAAGGCTTACTGAAGTATCTCTGGTAAAGTTCTTGTTACTCGGTGTTTCAAGTCATTCTTCCGTTTGGGTCCTGATAAATGGAGATGCCCTTTCTTCTGACAGTGGTCAAACTCCAAACACACTGCGCAGGAGTCAGGCAGCTGCTACAGCTGGTGTACACGCCTACAGTTAATTTTTTGGGTTCTGATTGGCTGAAACTATGAACTTTTGTGACTAAACGAAACCCGATTGGCTAAACTGGGAGGAAGTAAAAAAGTGAAACGTGAAGGACCGCCCTCATTTAAAAGCCAACAAGGAGAGTGGTGAGCTTGAAAAGAAAGGCGGAGTTTCCAGTGTTACAAGCATGTAGTTAGAAAAAAAACATTAGTCGTTAATTAATACCAATCTTTTTTTATGTGTCAGCACGACTCGTTTAACACCAGCAGATGGCAGCATATTACATAAAAAATATATAAGAATAACAGTACTTAACTTTTAAATTCTCCTTTTTTTTTCTTTTTTTTTTGCTTTTTCTCATGGCAAAAAAAAAAAAAAAATGATATAAAACTATATAATCGGTTCAGCTTTCCCCAAAAAATTGACTTTATAATTGATAGCCTGCAATTGCTGGCAAATTGTGGCAACTAGATGGTGCTTACACCTAAAATCAATAGGATCTAACAAGGTTAAACATGTTAAAAATTGTAATCACGTGATGCTTATAATTGAAAGTACTTTTATTTAAAATGTTTTGGTCTGTAGATCGAGTAGAGGGTGGGAACAAGGAAGGAAGGGGGAAAATGGGGTTAACCAAGAACTTAGTGAAGCAGGAAAGAGTGGCAATAATTAAAGGACATTAAAGGCAAGAAGACCCAAAGGAATGGATTGAGATTAAAGTTAATCTATGAGAACAAGAGTAGATATCAAACTGTGGCTAAAGAAAAGGAAATTACCACCTTAATTTCCACAGTGCAGCTGCAGAGAAGCAGTTAAATAAAATCAGTGTGATTGTATTAGATTAATACAATCCAGTTTAGAGGATAAGCACTCCCCCCTGCTGCTTTAGTCTTTGAATATATTAGACAAGCAGTCCTATGACAGGATTTCGGTATGAACACACCCACAGCTGAAACACATATTCTCTATAATTAGCTTATCAGGAGTCCAAATCTTCTGAATATGTAAATCCCTTTTGTGGTTTTGTCAGTCCCAAAGTGCTTCTGCTTGAAACAGGCATGGTCACTTTTTTTTTTTTTTTTTTTACAGAAAAGTCATTACTCTGAGTTATTAGTATTAAAATTGGAACAAGCTGTGTCCTTTACTCCTGTCTGCTTTTCATTTCTCTCTATCACCCAAGGCAAGTAATGACTCAAGTCAATGCAGTCATATTTTGTGTTAATTGATCAGAAAGTCAAACACAAAGATTAAGAGACAGGCTTACAGTTTGAGTTATGTCAGTACTCTCAGTATTTGAATGAAAGAGGTCCAGTCCATATGAATGGTTTCGCCAAGGCAGTTATATCACTTATAAAGCACAGCTGGTGTATGCTTTACAGGCTACATCTATTACACATTTTGTCTATTAAATAAACATGTCTTTCAAAGGGCTTCTGTGCTTTTAACATTGTGATTAATTTATCTTCCTCATCTTGACGCCTTTTCAATCATTACTACACATCTATTTCTGGGATTTAGTGATGCCATTAAAGCAAAAATAATTCAAATGAGGAGTAAATGACCGTGTTAAGGATAAGTTGTTGTTCATCTTTTTAAGCCTCTCTGCTATATTACCAGTACCTTGCAGAATTATATTTATATATCTTTTCATGTTCTAAATCCAAACTTAAAAGTGTTTTATTGAAACTGTTTTTATGATAGTCCTAAACAAAATATGATTCGTGCATAGCAACTTCCATATTTGGGATGGAGGGAGAAAGTATTTGGGAATATATAGCAGCTTTATTCATCTAGAGACCAATTTCATTAATTTTTTTTTTTACTTCTCTATATAAAGTTGGTCTAGCTCAGTCATACATGACTTCAATGTCTTTGTACCTACGTTTTTAAGGCTATCCATGGGTTCATGCATAGATTCAGGTTTTTGACATTGAATGTCTAATCAAGTGGTATCCAGCCTGAGTCAACAGTGGCCAATACTCTGGATGGTTTAAATGTTTCCCAAGGTTCAACAAATCTGAATCTAATGAATGGACTATAAGAATGCTGCTGCAGAATATGACACACCCATTAGCTAATCCAGCTATTTAAGTCAGTTGTGTTGAAGAAGGAAGACATCTGAAGAACGTAGTAGGGTATTAGTAAAATGATTGGAGTTGGACACTCCTGAATCTAACATACCACTGTACTGTAGCTCTGATTGAATATTCTGGAATTTTCTTTCCCAAAAGAGGTTTAAATTCTGGCACGTCTCAGGTCTTTCACAGCCAGTATAATGTTTTCTTCCACAGTACCCACGTATTTAGGGTCATCCATCCACATATCAGCTCTATCCAGTTTTGCTGTACTTGCTGAATCATCTTAGAGTCTGATCCTGCTTCAAGATTCTCCTCAACATTCTCCCTAATCTATCCAGTGTGTACAACATTATACTGTTTATGTCATAGCTCAGAAAGTAGGACCCAGAATTCACTAACCTGGTTGTTAAGTTCTGTCTGTGCCCAGAAGTAGGAGTGGAAACCAGTCGGATGACTTCTCCACAGCATGCAGCAAGAGCTGCCCAGAGAGTTCCAGGAGTATGGCAGAGCAGAGAGACAAGTGGAAGCCAGCAGATGCAGAAGAGCAGAAGAATCCGAGGGGAAAGTCCAAAGCAGGTGATAAACCAGAAGCAGAAGTCCAGGCCAGTAAATCAGAGAGACAAAGAGGTACCCAAGGGGAATCGAAGTCGGGGTCAGGGGACAGATCCTAGGTGGTTAACAGACAGAATCTAAGCAGCAGTCCGAAAACAGGGACAGGAAGAAACAGACCGGAACAGGGGCAAGCCAAACTCAGGAGTTCAGAGACGGAAACAGGTCAGGATCAGGTAATCAAAACACTAGAGGGTATGCTAGAGAACTCTCAAAATTGGCTCAAATAATCTGGCACTGGTTGCTGGAAACTAAAATAGAAACTAGAACAGGTGGATCAGATGAGAGCAAATGAAAACTGGGTGGAACAAAGCAGGTGGAAGAAAGGAACAAATAATCCAGTCATCAGTGCCAAGATCATGAAAGTTTTTTCACCACTAATATCTACATAGCATAAAAAAAAAAAAATAATAATAATAATAATAATAATAATATCTACATAGCCTGTGAAGCGTTCACAGAACAGCTGCATGAAAGTCAATAGTCTTAAAAATTGAGGTGATTATTTGGTTGACAACCTTTTTTTTTTTTTTTTTTTTTTTGCTCGACATTATTTAGGGCTACTGGAGTAAAATGAGGTTTAATACAAATTTACCCTAACCCTATTTTCACTATTATATTTAATTTTTGTCAGTCTAAACTAGAAAACAACTGAGATATATGGGACTTTAACATGAAACCATCATAAAACGTCTGAGAGGTGTGTATACTTTACAGGAATTGCATATGTTGAAATTTTGCTTCTATAGGTAGAAAAAACAAGAAAATTGCAAATAAAACAGATAATAAAATATTAATAAATCCATACATCTCTCTGGAGGAGCTTCCACATCTCATACCCAACAGCTTGCTGGGAGGCATCAGTGTTGACCACAAACACACCATATGGCCCTGCCCACATTAAGATGTTTTTTATTGGTTTTGTCTGTATGCTTTTGCTAAAATGATATTGTAGATATTCACAGCAGTGATTGGCAGAGTCAGTGCTAAAAACTGAAATGTTAAAGCATTACAGAATATAAGTTAATTCTAAAGTAATTGGGTTTATTTTTGATTGGTACATCTGTCTCTGGAATCTTTAATGATTACGGTGTTGGGCAGGGTGGTGATTTTTCTCTTTCATCAGCCTTTAAATGGGACATATGAATTTAACCCAATGAAACATAAGACCTAGAAGAACCAAGATTTTGGGTACAGACATGGAACAACAGGCTCAGAATTTTGTAGTGACTAATAGTGGTGAGTCATGCCCAGGGAAAGCCTAATTACCTTCATATGAAACAGTTACGCCACTGTAGGCACTTGAGTGTAAGTTGTGTAAAATAGGTCAGTATGGCGGACTACCACTGAAATCTTCTAACTCACTCAGTGGCGTTTTGTTCCTGTTTGCGTATTGGTTTTAACTAAATCTCCTGGTATCAGTTTAATTCTCTCAGGCTCTGAGGACTTCTGTAAAAGCTGTAAGAGGTCTAGTTCTGAGCACCAACATTTTAATCTTATTGTGAAATGTCTAATAGATACGCTGAAAATAGAAGGATTAGCTTAAGTTCAAAAGAAATAGAGACTTTACTTCAATCTACAGTGCTTTTTAAAGCAACTGCCCTTCATATGTTCAACATTTTATCATGTAAAAACAGAATTTAATGTATTTGTTGGGAATTTTAAGTTAGGAAACTAGATAATTAGTGTATAAACTTGCATATTATTGTGTGTGAAAGATTCAATGTTATGTATATTATCAGAAGTGGAAATAAGGTATTTGTTTGTCTTCTATTACACCTATTACTATATACCATTGGTATATAGGATTTTTATAAGTTGGTAAGAAGGATCTGATTTTCACAGATGAAATTATGACTATATGAGGCTTTCCATTGATTTATGAAACACGTGGAGTAACATGCCTCATTCAGTTGAGGCAGGCAAATTAGGTTTTTATAGGCCCTATTTTTATATGACTTTAAAAGGTCTATTAAGATGCAATACTTGGAACTGTCAGTGTTTACTGAAGTGGAATAAACTTTGAGAACCACTAACCTGATTTTTTTTATTGCTGGTCTTAGCTGCATATTTAGGAAGGATTGTCTTGAGATAAGGTGAACATCAGGTTTTCTTCCAGAATCGGCCTGTTTATAACTCGCTCCATCTACTAACCAACTTTGACCAGCTTCTCAGTCCATATTAAAAGAAAATTCCCTTAGTGTAATGCTTCCACCCCCATGTTTTAGTGTGGGTTGGTTTAAGGTTTTTGCATCAGGTTACCCTCTCCAAAGATAGGGAATTTTTGGTGTGTTCTGACCAGAGCACTTTGTTACACCAGCTTTCTGTGCCTCCTTAATGTCCTCTGGAAAACCTTAAACTATCAGACTGGACCTCTGAAAACATATGAGCAGAACATACTTATTAGTTAGGAGAAAAAAACAATGTATACTTTTGCCTTTATTTTCATTATTACCTTTTACTCCTTTAATTGTCACTAATATTATTACCTTAAACACCTTTAGTTCCTATTATGTTCACTAAAGAGAAATCACAAGGCCTTATCACAAGACCAGTGTGACGTCAGATGGATATTTTCCTTTATCCTGTTTCTGTGACCTGCACTTGTGTTGCTCTTTTCAACACAGGGCATTACACAAACCAACCAGAAAAAAAATGGCATGCTCCCTAAAACTGTGAGAAAAAAAAGGACACCTCGGGCTAAACAAACAACAGACACTGTGACATACTTTGGCTCCCCGAGTCAATTTTTCACCAAATCAGACCAGGACCTACATTTAACCTGCTCCCAATTGCTCCCAGCCGGCAGCAGCAGTTTTTTTTTTATATTTCACTCCATCTATGAGTCTGCCTGCTGACTTTCAGAAGAATATGAGTGGAGTATTAATTTATATTTAAATGTCTTTCTTATCTAACTCTGAAATGGTTCACATTTATAAATAGCTCAAGCATTAAAAGCTGTATATAAAGAAAGAAAATGAACACTATTAAAGTGCACTGTCGGCCATGTGCTCTTCCTCTTGTGACCTCTAATGCCTTGAAGCAATTAGCCACATATGTTGCAGGAAGCAGAGTGCAGTGCTATGTGAGGGTGTGTTTCTGGCTGCTCCTGGATGGCAGTAGGGCTGGGAAAGTGAGGAGCAGCACAGACAGGCAGCTGTGCGTAAGTAATGCATTCTCCTCGGAAACTGGGTCATAATCACACCACTTTTACTCTGTCAGATTTTTCCTGTTTTTATGATTCAGCTAGTTACTGTATGCTGTCATAGAAGCGTATTATCCTAGAATTATTTCTACAACTGCAAAATGCACAAATATCTAAAGAAATTAGTTAAATTATACAAGCTATTTAGATTGAATAACAAATTATACAATTAATTTTCTTGATTAGATATTTGCCAAATAAGCTATGAATAAAAGAAGGACAACTTAGAAAACATAGATTTTACTCAAATTCTTAGACACTCTGATCTGGACAAGTTTTCACTTTGTTCTGCTCCAATGATTCCATTTAAAAGCAGAAATCGTACAGAAACACATTCTGTTTTAATGCTTGTTCATATCAACTGTATTCTTCTTAAGTTATATTTGTTAGAAAATGACATTTTGAGATTGAATCTATGATTCCTTCTAGTTTTCACAGACCTATGGGGCCCATTTAAGTTAGATACATTTACAAAAGTTATGTAGTTTTACATAGTTTTCTTTATAGTGAGAATTGTTTTCTCTAAACTGAAGAAATAAAACCTACAAATCAGCTTGAATAAAACTTTCCTTGGCATGTAACCAAGTAATATAACTGAAGATTATGGAATAAACTTCTATTCTAATCTATTCAATAAAATAGGTAAGAGAATGGCAGACTATATTTCCTTGCCATTTCATATATAGGGAGGCATAGCCTATCGTGCATATTGTTTTTTTTTTACTTAATAACCAGTGGTCCTTCTAAAATTTTTATAATTATTAAAGTAAATTGCAAAGGCAAAATAACTGAATGGTCCAAGGGATGAAACAGTTGTGGGTTTTTTTTATTAGCACTGATAATCATAAGAAACTCATTCAGTATTAGGATGCAAAAACTGATTTAAAAAAGTACAAATTTCCTAAAATAAGCAACTGTGCTCTCAATCTGAGCAGGTTATTACTGTGATCTACCAAATTAATTACTAGTTATAACACTTTAATCATCGCGTTGACAAATCTTCCAAAGTAAGCCAATATTTCAGTTTGGCATCTTTAGGATTGTATTTTTTTTAGGCTATGACAAGTTCTGTAGGGTCACTGGCTCCTGTTTAGAACCAACCATGAAAATAACCTTCACATGATTGTTGCTGTTACAATTTGCACCCACATCCATAGCCTATAGGTTTTGAAAACAAAATAGAGTAAAAACACCCTTTATTGTCCCACAGTGGGAAAATTCAGTGGGGAAGTTCTACTAACCTAAATCATTTCCCTGGTTTCAGGCTGACACACACAATGGCTGGCTGAAGAGTGTAGGAATAATACCATTGTTGAAGTGCTAAATAAACAAAAGCATATTTTTTTACTCCATTTTTAAAGAAAGGGGCACTCAAGAGCTTTGAAGCACAGGCAGCCATCACTTATATTCATGACGTTACATTTTGGTTTATAATAATAAGAAAAAAACCCAAAAAACTCAAGGTTGCAAAGCTGGGTTTGCACCTAGAGAATCTAGAAAAGCAGGCTATCCATTCTCCTTTCTATGTTCTCTAACTGTGACCGCACATCCTGTACGTCTCCTCTCCCGCACCGGCTGCGTGTTCACGCATGCAACCCGCGTTCGGTGTCATCCTTGAACACGCAGTCAGGTGTCGCACCTCTATCACGCTTCTGGCTACGCCCTCGCCGATAGGCTGCATTCACTAACCGTTTTTTTTTCTACTTATTTATTAATTTATAGTCCTCGTGGAGATGTAATGTAAAGGAACGTATGACGTAGCTGGGGAGGAAAAATTAACGTCCAGCGCGCGAGGAGGAGGAGGAAGAGGAGGAGGAGGCTGCTGGTTGTGTGTCGCGGCTGGAAAACAGAGTTTAGGTCGCTATGTTAAACTCCTGGACATGAGTGCACGCGCCGTTGAGCGCAGGAGGCGGTGGCCCCCCCACCCTCTACATCTTTAACGTGTTCATTCAGAGCTCCACACAGTAGCCCACCCACCCCACTAACCAGCTTGCCTCCTCCTTCTTCCTGGATGTAAAAGGAGCGACTCCTCACCATCACCCGGACACTTGTGACCGCTCGGTTCGGACCTCCATTTCAGGTGAGTTTGTTGTCAGGCTAAATAACTTCTGCCGGCTAATTTGCTGCAAACTGACAGGCGGCTAGCCGGGGTGCCGCTACCCGCGTTTAATGACGGTTATGTGGCAACGGCGCAGAGGACTTACACCCACCAGAGGTTTCATATTATCGGGGTGTCAATGACCTTTTCTTCTGTAAATAATGAGTTGGACTAGTTAAAGACTGTAAATAATGCGGCGCTTTGCTAAAAGGGTCCTCCAGCTAGCCACATATGAAGCCTGGCGCGCGGCGATAACGTTCCCTAACGTGAGTAACCAACTGTTCTTTCCGCCTGCTACTTTAATAAAAGCTTATTTTATTTTATTCCACCTTTTAATGCTGGTAATGATTAGCAGGAGAACATAGACCTAAACCCCAACCCGCTGTGGCTGGAGGATGCTGCGGCAGCCTCTGGCTGTCGCTGCGGGGTGTGGTTGACAGGCAAGCCGGACAAACAGATTCCCAACAGCAATCCCTCTGCTCTTTAATCTCCACTTTGACTTCCCATTTGGGGTTTAGCCACTGGTAATATCAACCAGCACGTTATTTCATCAGCTTCCTCTCTTACTGTCAAAGCTGGAGCCCTCTTGTTGTGTCAGAAGCTCTGGAGTCGACATGAATTGATCAGAAGGGATAACACAACCCTTATTTACTCTTCATAATCCCTCATTGCCTTATGCACCCGTGTCATACTCAGTTTAATGCAATAATAAACCTATCAGTATTACCACAGTAATGAAGGCAAGTCATATATCCCCTGTGAATTAGGAGAAATACTATGATATTCATAAAAATCAGGCAATGGAACTTATCATCCAATGATTTCTAATGAGCCTCTTTGGGTTTAATATTCATTAGGGTCCCCCCTCCTGCAGGGATTGAGCTGTCCTAGTTCTTTGCAGATCATATTCTATACCAGTGTCCACAACCAGCCTTAACATATCTTAAGTCTCCAGACTGCTGAGTGTGTATGTGTGGTCTGTGGAGGGATGTCTGGAGAGGAGCCAGACCTGTTCTGATACTCTACAATCTGCTGATGTTACTGCAGTGTAAAGCGTGCAACCCCCCAGCATTGTAACACACGTGGAACAGAAGAGGATATACTGTGAATTTAGCTTTCCTGCGTAAACTGAGTTGAAGTTTAACCCATGCAGAGATGGGGATAGTCTTTGTTTGATCACACATTTGCCTATGAGGCTGCAGGAAATGTATTATTTTATTCATGTTTAGGTAATGTTTGGCAATTCTGGGTGGATTTTGCTTTATCTTTAAAAATGCAAAAAGGAGAGTTTTAGTTGTTGCAGAAACATGAGTTAGCCCTATCGGTAATCTCTCTTTGGTTGTGATTGAGCATGGATCTTGGAAGTCTGACCCATTACCCTTCAAGCTGGGTAGACAAAGCTCATCAGAAACACATATTTGATCCTGAAATACCTCAGCCAGTAGCATGCAATGTGCATGCTTTAGAATTTGTCATATATCCTCTGTTGAATGTAAAACTAATTCCCGGATCAAGGAGGCAGCAAAAATGTGTAAACTCTTATACACTATGGCTGTTGGAGACAAATTTGTCAGTTCAGATCCTAAAAAGAAGTTAAGTGGTATCTTACAGGAAAAGCCTTAATGGCTGATCTGTAAACTAAATTAACTTTTGTTTAGTAGTTAAAAGTATTTTAAAAACCGTGCTTCAGAAGCAGTCGTCGGCTTTTTCAATTACACTAAAATTGATTAAAAAAAGAAAATAATAAAACTACCAGTCTATCAATTAGGATAGCAGAATGAGACAGAGCACAACCTTTTTTCTTTTGATGAGATTTTAAGTGCAACTTCCATGAAAACAAATGTTGACTGATATGGTTAGCAGACAGGCTTGTTTTTTCCCCTAAGGCCTCAGGTTTCTCATGATCAACTGTTTCCAGCTGTTTAAAGTGGTTGCTTTACATCCTGGATTTAGAAATATTAACCACTGGCTTGCAGAGAAAAGCAAACAAAGAAAATTAGCTGCTTCTAAGATATAAGTGTTTTTATATCCTATTTTTTTGAAATTTCAGTTTTAAAAACAGTAAAACCCATTCTTGTGTTACAAGGAGGTAAAAATTTTTTTTTAGATAAAATAATAATAGTAATCAGTGTTTTGGAAACTTTCGAGTGCTTCTAGTTTTGACTTTGTAGTATGAGTTCAAGCTTTATTTTACCTATGTGCGTAGATTTGTCTAAAAACATGTATAACTGAGAGATTTCAGTTGTTCTTACTTAACAGGATATTTCTTAGAGATGTATTGCCACTCCCATAAACACAATGCCATTGAATTCACAATGGAGAAATTTCATGGCAGTGTTTTAGCTTATTATCTGAGTTGCACCTTATTTGCTTTTAGCTACTTCTCAAAGTAACCTTGTTGTTTATCATTTGTTCTTTTAATTTACCTTGTTGCTAAAACAATATCTGGTTTGTTTTTAGTGTCATGTTGGTTTTGTCTTTCAGTCAAATATGAAGATGTATCAACTACACATGGGTAGTGGGGAGAATAATAAATCATGAGCTGTCAGTTGTCTTTGTTGAAAGGTTTACTTCCTTTCTGCAGCTGTAAACTTGACTCTACTTGAACAGGATGAGGTAATTCAAGGTCTTTGACCAATGCTCACATTTGTTTGCTTCTGTGAACATTCAAGGTGCTTGTTAGCTCCCCAGCGCCCCTATAAAACGTTCCAGTCTCGCGTATGACATTCCTGGTTTTCAATAAACTGTAAACTTCAAGAGTTGGTGCGTATGTGCCATCTCTGGAACATGTGGCTCTGTGGTAAATGGCAAAAACTGTGAGGGCTGTAAAATGTTTTTTCCCTCTTACTAATTTATTTGGTTTTTGCTATCTTATTGAACTTAAAATTTTAGGTTATGACAAAATACATATACATACATAATTACAGATATCCAAAGTAAATCTAAAAAGCTATCTTCAATAGATGTTTTAGTTGAAGAGAAAAACCAGTTTTCGAAACCAACCTAGCACTGTGTGAATTATGGAGCACCAGTTGATCGCCCTCCCAATTTATCGGCCTTGATTTTCTTGTTTTAGGGAGATTCGTGATCCGCCAGTACTTTGATGTAAAACTGATCTTTTCCACAGATCTTGTCTATCTCTAGCCTGACGTAGTCCGACTTAATTCTAGTCAGAATATGAGTCTGATACTGCTCCATAGAGCTGTGATTATGGGGCGTGTTTTGAACGAACCAGGAAAAAAAATGCCTCTGTACTCAATTGGATAGACCTACAACCAATAAGAGCAACGGAGTGCGTGACGTATGTTAAGCGAGGCATAGTTGTTGTCCACAAAAATCAAAGCGTGCAGTTTCACGCCTAGAATAAGAAGATGAGACTTGATCACGTTTCTCTGTTCCTCTTTTAAAATTAATTTGCTGTCGATATCTTCTAGAACAGACCTAATAGCAGAATCTACTCACCCAAACTCTAAATTAAACGCGGTGAAACAAGAAAAATTTCCACTGAGGCGTTTCGGAATAGAGCGTATTAACAGACGCTTTTTTTATATTAATTCAAAAATGTTAACATATTTTTTTAATAGTTTTGATATAATTACAATTTTGATCAAATTAAGTGGGTTGCTTTGTCAGCTAAAGGCATTTTTTTAGAGTCTCTATACTCCAGTTAACGATTAATCGATTACCAAATTAGTTGATGATTATTTCAATAATCGATTAATCACGATTAATACGATTAATTGTTTCAGGAATTTTATCGTTTCACTGGCACTAATTGGCTTTCAGTAAGATCAGATTGAAATATTAAAGATGTCTTGTGATTTTGTAACAACTGACAGTTGACAGTGTGGGTTATTATAAAAATTTGGTAAAATTCTCATTACCTAAAACTTGTTGTTTATTACATCATGCATAAATAAACTAGCCTACTTGACTTTCTTTATGCTTTTCTGGTAAGTTTGTGTGTTTACCTTCAACTACAACCTTTTCTCAATCATATCATGCATAATAGACTTGTTCCACTCATAGTGCCAGATGTATGCATGCATATTGACTATGGGTATGCTGGTCTGACGGGGAATGCTGATCTGACAGAACACCGGCATGCCAGCTTAAGATTGGGAATTGGTGATCAGCCACAAATCTTCAATCAATGCACCCCTAATTGTCACATATAACTTGTTAAACCTTTTCATAGGTTTAAAAGGTTTAACATGCTGTATAGCCTTGACAGCAACACCTGCTAAAAGCATTTTCAAACCTTGCAACATGCATTCTTTAAATAATAGCTTCATTCATCTATATCAAACAATTTTAATTTAGCATTTAGTGTGTTGAAGTGTACATCAATGCATTTTTACAATGGTCAGGATTTTGGGAGCAGGTCACTGATCACGGCATCAATTCTATAAATTCTTTAAATATTGTCTCATGTACATGGACATTGTATTATTAGGTATCCAGATTATCGAAGATGATAAAATATCATGAACTGACCACCGTTTAAGTGAAGGAGGCAGCAAATACCAGCTTTTTTTTAAATCAAAATAGAAGATAAAGAAAATAATATTTACAAAGGATGATGTGATGATGCTTTTAAGATGTTTGTAGGTAGCTTTTAGAAGAAGGTGTTCAGTTTAGCCCAAGAAGTACTGTTTCATCAGCCTACCTGCAGCATAGACTTCAACCAGCAGTAACATTTTCTACTCGCTCCAGTGCGCTGTGTGCCCAGCAGCTGTGGTTCCTTAGCTCCAGAGGGCAGCCCGGCTGGGAACCGGTTATGGTTCTCTCTCAGCTGCTATTCTCACACTGATTACCTGCTGCTCCTGCTGAGCTCAAGAACTCTGTCTCTTTTATTTACAACTATACATTTTTTTCCCCCCAGTAATGTATACAAATAATGTCTAGGTTACAGATTAGCAGACCAGGATCCATATCAGGACCCACCTGCTGGCTAATCCGGACCCAAACAGATTTGAAACATTTGTAAATTACATGATAAAAATTACCCCATGTTGTCCGACGACGGTGTCTAACTTTATTTGCACCACTTCTCTTTTTAACATGGTAAAGCCCTCCGGAGTGTTGGGACCATGCTGCATGTGATATAAATTAGCCAATGAGCTGTGTCAGTCTGGGTCACTGCTGCAAGCCACTTTTAGACACAGCAGGCAAACCTGGGCAAGCTAGGAGATGGGAAAGAAGGAGAAGATTGAAAAAAAAGAGCAGAGAAAGTGTGGACTGCTGGAAGAACTGCAGCGAACTGGTGAAAGAAAAATTAAATGGTGTTTAAAGATGACCCTGCACATTTTAAGTATGTTTGGCTCAGCCTGCTGCTGTGAAGCAGGATTGCTTAGCATGACCATAATCAAAAATAAATTTGATCCAGGCTCACGAATGAGCACCTTGATATGTGCTTGAGAATGGCTTTGTCACCATTCAAACCCAGTTTTAAAAGCCTTGCAGGTCAACCTAAAGGCCACTGCTCTCATTAAGCCAAAAAAAAAAAAGGTCAGTTCAGGAAATTGTCCATATACCAAACTGGACGATGGTTGTTCTCTACTTTAAAAAAAATACTAGATTTTAAACATTTTCTATTTAAAAAAATATATATTTTACTATATTATGCTATAATATAATATACTAATATTATTAGTAATTAGGGTTAATAAATTATAATTAAAAATGTCTCTGGACCGTTACTGGTTGTTAATTTTCTTTATTCAGACCCCGCTGATTTTTAATTGGTTTCCCAGAGTGTTGCAGAATAAAGGTATTATTTTATCCTGAAAAAGGAAATATAGAATAAATATAATTATTTTATACATATTAAGTGGTCCTTTAAAATATAAACATTTATTCTCTGGTTATGATGCCAACTTTGACACAGATTCTGGACCAATAGGAATAGAAAGTTGAAGTCATGTGAAACAAAGTTGAGGCATTGCCAGGTCCTACTTGCTCTGAAATGCTTTTTATACATTTGTTAATGAAATTAAGTGAGACAAGGGTGTCCTTTAATCAAGCAGCAATCCTTATGTGTCGGTACCGACGTTACGAGGCAACTGAGCTCAGGCTTGCCTGTCACAATGATTGTGTTAGTTTTATATAGATTATTGCATCATATTAATCACAGACTTGCTTATTAAATATCACATATCATTGATATCCATCTACGAAAGCATCACATAGTTCCCTTTTACCAAGCTACTATAAACGTGATTCCAGATGTCTCTAAGAGTGTTACAGCTAAAGGTAACATTACAGTGCTGAAGAAAGTATAACTTATATTAGGTGTTTGTTGTGGGTTTTGTGTTGTACATGTGTTTGCACATAATCACTTTAACTTGCAAAAATCTTAAACAGTTGCATAAAAATCATGAAAAAAAGTGTTTGATATGCACCAGGCCTCTGAGGAAGCCTTTGATCCAGATGCGACCAAGTTATAAATTCAGGCTTCCTTAATTATCCGTTACACCCGGCAGCCATTTCTTCCTGGGTGCACCTGGTCTTTCCCAGTGACACATGCAAGCATAGACATGTCGAAAAGTTTATGCACAAAATACTTAAGTTTATGTTCAGATTACTCTTGCAGATGAATATAAATCAGCTGTGATGTACTAAACATAAAACATTTGTTCTTGCTGTGAATAATCAATGGGAGCTGTTGGTGCCAGTGAGTGTCAGCTGTTCAGTTAAAGGCTGAGAGATGTGAGTTTTAGTCACTGCTCTCTGTGTGTGAATGATTTGTCTCTCTGTGAAGGGGAATAAGATCAGGAATATTACCATGCAGGGGCTCCGGAATGACACAACAAGCTTGGGAAAGATGGTGGAGTTCTACATTTACCTTCTTTCTCATTTTTTAAATCTAATTTGCTTCTTAAGGATAAGTCTCATTCCTTTCTTTCTTTTTATCGCTCCCTTATCGTTACCCTTTATCTGCCACGAGTTTCTTGTGCAAATTCATTTGGCAGAAGCCTCTTTGCTCGCCGAAATCAATGCTCCTTCCTCGGTGAAGATCGACCGGAAGATAAAACGCAACATCATGTGTTCACATAGCAGCATTTCTGATGTACGACGCAATAGATTTCTCCTTCCCATCAGTCGTCCCTTTAAAGACGATGCAAGGTTTTGTAAGAAAGAGTTGCCTTGGCAACGATTTCTGCCATCTGTGTGTGTTGTATGGTTGTTTTGCAAATGTGTGTTTAAAAAAAGATGGAAGCGTCTGTAGTCTGAATGCTCTGGCTCTCTCCTTTTTGCATTATTATTTAATAAGTCAGCAGAAAGAGTCTAGGGTTACTGGGCTACAGCTGAGGTTAGAGCAGTCCACTTTCGGCTCAATGGATTTGTGTCATTGCAGCAACACATGTACAACAAACTGTGCAGGAGAAATGGACGCCTTGAGCTGGAAAACAGGGAGAGGAGAGAGGAAAAGTGATTATTAATTTAAATCCCTCTCTATTTGCTCGGTCTTGTGTGCCTTGGTTTCTTTTTTACCAGCTTGAATGAGAAACTAGGTTAATATTAAAAAAATTATTAAATTTTTTTACAAAGAGACGACTATTACTATTTTTGTTATGAATCTAAGGGGAAAAACAATTAAATCTTATCATGATTGGAAAGAAAAAGGTGGAGCGAACACTCGCAGCGGTGTTGTGATAGATACAGTGGAGGACTGGAAGTCAGGGAAGCAAGCAGCTTCTGTCTGAATATGTCTGGTCAAAAAATTAGTCAAAACTTCTCAAAGCATCAGGCTAGGACTCCTGAAATAATCATTAGGTAGCAAAAGTGGCTGTAAAGGTTTTCTATTTAGTTGATTGATGATCACATTGCTGTATTCATATGTTGATTATATTCCAGTCTGCCAAAATAAAGAATATGGAAAATTTGGAAATATTCTAAATAGAGCTGTGTAATTGTTTCCTTTTTAGGATATCTACTTCAGACCTCGAAAACAGGAATTATTCCCTGAATGGGTTTTAGATTTGTTACTCTAACCCAAAATAATTAGTAGTTTTGCCAACTTCAGATAAAACCAAAAACAGATACATCTGGAAAAGAGTTGCTTCTTGTGAATATTCTTATTTTATGAGATTTAATTATTTCAAACTCTGGCCTGACCCAATCAGAAACATTGTTGACAGTTGAGAGCTATTTCCTGCTGTCTTTTCGTCAGTTTGTCTTTGAAAACATCACACTTCCTTTGATGCAACACTTCCACGTGTGTTTTGCAGTGTCAGTGCTGAAACACTGAGTTATATAGAAAACCTGTAGCTACTGTTAGCTGCAAAGGAAATATGGAATTCATTCAAGGATAAACCTTGAATAACCTTTTTAGGATATCCTAAAAATATGTCTATCTTCTCATAGTGATAGTTTCTTTGTCTGCTGATGGAAATAAGTGTCTAGTGAGATTCATCTGACAGAGTATTGTGCTGCTTGGATAGACGGTTATATGCACCATGTAGCTTAAAAAGGGAGTCTAGGGAGCACAACAGGCTTATGATAGATGACCATTGTGTATTAAAAGGGAACCCAGTGAAGGGAGAGTGTAAATGTTCTCAAAATAGTCTGTTTTTCTTGGAGGTATTGCGTCATGTGGCTTGGGCCCAGAGTGTTGTACTGGATGGTTTTGTGTAACCCAGTTTTTAATACTGACTCAAACTTTTCTTTCTGCTTATTTTTCTCTCTCTTAAACAGAACATTCCAACAAACCCTTTACAACGATGTAGTGTGTGATGATGATGATGATGATGATGATGCAGAGACTAGAAGGGGGAAGGAAGAGTGACTGACACTCTCCATCTTTTTGCCACCTTACACACTCTATGTCTGTCCTGACGGGACGGCTAGAGTGCCATGTCATCAACCACCCCCCCGTCGGCCCAACCCTCTAAAAAGGGGAGGAAGCTGGAGAAGTCAGAGGTGATGGCCGATTCACCTCAGCCCACCAGCGAGGAACTTAGGAGCAAACTGATGGATGTTCAGCTGGAGCTGCAGCAGGAGCGTGGCAAGGTGAGAAAAAGGATGAACAGAAGGGGAAAGATTTTAAAAAAAAAAAAAAAAACTAGGTTGAAGAATTTTATTTATATATTCATAATTATAATAATTATTTGAATATGAAATATCTTGTATGTATTATATGTTAAATATATAAATTGAAATATATGAATTATTGGACCATTAGGTCCAATAATTAATGAGACTTTCAGTCTTAGGAACACTAATCTGACAGTTAAACTTGTTGTTTATAGTGATGCATTAAAAAGTGGATAAAAAAAGATTATAACCTTAATGTTATGCAACTTCAACCATTTTAAAAATCTAATTCTAAACAACACTTAGCTTCTTAGAGCTCCTTGCTATCAGACACTTCCCGTTAAAATTGTCTTAAACTCTTCAAAAGACAACAGTGTAATTAGTGTGTAATTTAGTGTGACTAGTCTGTTACAGAAGGCTCCCTTTCCTTCACTTAAGGAGAGCACATTGTCTACATCACATTCCCTACAAACAAAAAACAGTTAAAAAAAATCTCTATTTTTAAAGCAGGAAAATCTAAAGCATCCAGACAAGTGTTGATGTCCCGGTTATTTATTTATTTTTAAACGTTCTGACATGTTTAACCTGCAGAAATGTCACTTAATCCACTGACCTAACCAAAGAAAACTAACATTAACAGCTTAATCCTACCTGTTAAAACTCTATATATAATGTATATTTCCCTTCTTTATAAACGTATCCTATTGAATAGTTTGGCAACATGGAAGGTTGAAATTAGACTAAAAGTCCTTTAATATCAACAAGAACAAGAGAAAGTTCCAGAGGAAAGATGTCTCTTACTTGCAGGATCACCCCCAGGAGGAAGGCCTGTTTGTCTGTAACTGTATCCTCCTATTGAAATGAGCACTCCCTTTATGATCTGTTTTTATCTTTTATTGTTTTATTTGGACAATGTCAGTAACCTCATTTGACTTCTGTTTGTTTAGTTCAGGCAAGTACAAAAAACAGCTACATGATGCTTACATCCCAAAGATGAATTTCACGGTTACATCACACACATGTAACAACCCTTCTAGGTAGAACAAATGGCAGTTTAGCAAAGAATTTTGCTGCATTTGCAGGAATATTAGTGTTTTTGGTATGTTCTCTTCTACAGGTCTGTAAGCTCCGAGAGCGTCTACAGGAACAGCGACAGGCCCGGGAGCTGGAGCAACACAAACACGCTGTGGCGCTGACAGACCTGCGTGCCAAACTCCATGAAGAAAAGCTACGTGAGATAGCGTGCACTCGCGAGGCACAGGCTCGGCAACATGAAGCGGAGTTAACCCGGGCGATCAAGATCCGGGATACAGAAGTGCAGAGGCTGCAGGGACTTGTAAATGCTCTGAGGGATGGAGCAGCTGACAAGCTGAAAAATGCCCTCCTTGGGGAGGCTCGGGAGGAGGCCCGCAGAGCTTTTGATGGGGAGAGACTTAAACTACAGCAGGAGGTGGGTTTTTCTGTGCTTCATGGTTGGATCTTCTAAAATGTAATTTTCTTCCCATCTTTACTGTTGCAGTTTTAGTAATTTTGTTGGATGTTAGTTTACATTTTGACAATGGAAGATTAAGAAAAATTTTCTATCATTTACTTGTTCACTCTGAATCATTGTGACCTCCAACAGGTAATACCTTCTAGCAAGAGATCAAAATCTGTTATGTTTTATTAGATTTTTTATTTTGATTTTATACTAGATTTGACTAGGCTAACAGGGATAAAAACGGCAATTATTAGGAACTGTGTCATATGTAATTTTTTATAGAATATCCAATGATGCCATATTCTAGTGTTTTATCAGTTTTTTGCTCAGTAATATTTCAATGTGCTAAAATAAAGTGCTTAAATTGATAAGCAACTCTTATCTACATAGGAATGAAATTGTTTGTGTGCATAGAAAGAAAGTAGCTTGGGTAAAACGGCAATTTGTTGGTCTAAAACTGGGTTGTAAATGATTTGAAACCCATGGTTTCCATAATACACATTGGTTTTTAGGAATCATGAATCCCCTTAAGATTTTAAGCAGTTTTTATGGTTTCATTTTCTTAGTGGCTATAAAGCCACATTTCCTTGGACTAAATGTGTGAATATGCGGGGGTGTGTGGACGTTCTTCTGATACTTCATACACCTTTTAAAAGTTGCTGGTGAAAAACAGGAAGCAAGTTGAAAAGCTTGCCAAGCTATTGTTTTACTTAGTGTTCCATAGACAAACAGCCTTACCAACACTTAAATAGGGTGCCAAGTATTTCTAAACGGATGAATGTCTTTTATGTTTTTATATAAATTTATGTGTGTTTTTTAATGTTTTTTTTTTTTTAGATTCAGGAGCAAAAAACAGCCAGGAAGCAGGCAGAGGAGGCCCTAGCAACTGCAATGCAGGCTGATAAAGCCAAAGCAGTTGATCTACGCACAGCCTACCAACAACACCAGGATGAGATTCATCGAATTAAACGGGACTGTGAGAAAGATATTCGCAGGCTGGTAAGACTGCATTAGAGAGAAAAAAGGATTATATAGACGGTTTATATCAAAGCTTTATGATTATTTAGATAATTCTCAGGGAAACAAAACAGTTTGCTAACTATTTGAACAGCTTTTATTTGACTTCACATTAGCTATGACCTTTACATGGGTTTTAGATCTTAAAGATTATCTTCAAACAACTGAATAGATACCTGACAGATCAGCTCCTTATTACAGGGCTTGCCTATAGACACAGATTACCGCCCATGTTTACATTGATGCCTTTGACCTTTTGGGAAAAAAAACAGTTGAGCAAACCAGCATGTATTTAGACTTTGGGAGGAACCTGAAGCACTGAGAGAAACCCATGTAGGCGCAACAAGATCATATAAACTCAAATCAGACCTCTTAAAATCAGTCCATAAATAACATCTGTTAACATGTGTAGGTTCGTTTCTTGATGCCTAGTCCTTTATTTCATATGAAAGAATAAGCGATCACATGGGTGTCTAATATTAGACACCCATGTGATCGCTTAGAAATGGCTTTTATCTGACTTAAGCAAACAGAAGTTTTAAAATATTTTTCTGGAATTTTGTGTAAAAGCACAACAATGTATTTAAGACTTCTTAAAGTTTTGCATCCTTGTTTTTCATTTACATAAAAAAAGGTAATTTACAAATAGAAATCCTACAGTATTAAGGAAGGGTATTATACACCATGTGACTGCATAAAAGCAAAAGGCAGCAGTGTCTGCATTCTACACTGAGCATATACAGCATCTTTTATTGTACTCTCCAAGCCTGTCCTGGTTATGTTCTAATTATTACAGCTATAGTTTTCTCAGACAGACATTCCCATGAAGGTCAGGTCTAGCATACCATGGTTCTAATGTTGTGTGAAGGTTGGCAACTCATTACTGCAGTGTCTGCTGTGAGTTTATCTTTATAGTGTAGTTCTTATCTCCAAGAACAAAAGCATCTACACCTGTTTTAGTTGCTTATTAACCTCCTTTAATGCTGCATGACTTTTATACTAGCCATCTTTGTTAGTTTAGGAATGTCTGAACAAAGATATACAAAAGACATGAATCATTGTTGACAGGTGGACAGCAAACGACACAGGAAGCACTGGTTATAAAGAACAAAATAAGGAGGGAAGTCAGAGTTAACAATGTCAGAAACAAGGAGGGCTCCAACATGAGTTAATAAAGTAAAAGGTTTGATCCTGGACTACCAGAAGAATCAAGTCACTTTCTCTGTTACTGAGGTTCAGAATGAACTGAGTTGAATTGTTTTTATTGAAAGAAAATACTAAGATATGTATTACAAAAATATTAAATAAAACTTTCTCAAACTTTTGAAATCTGATTCGAATACTGGGTGAGAATTTGCTTTTTGTGGTCAAATAAATAAGTTTTTGGCTGAAAAGTTCCAGTTTGATTTTACTTTCTAAGTGATTCCTGTCTCTATTCAATCCCTTTTATAGATGGATGAGTTGAAGGCAAAGGATCGGGTGATGTGTGCCCTGGAAAAAGAGTTGGGGGTGCAGGCTGGATATGCCCAGAAGCTCCAGCTTCAGAAAGAAGCCTTGGACGAACAGCTGGGACAGGTACGAGAGGCTGAAAAATATAACCACGGCAGCCCAAAGCGAGAGGTGGTGCCTGGGCTAGGAGAAAATCCAGACCTGCTTAATAACCAGGTATGAATCTACAGACACGAAGATAAAACCATATGCATCCACAGGCCTCCCTGGCTGAGGTTTTCATGATTCCGTTTTTCATATAGATGGAACAATTGTCACCATTTTAACCTCCTTTCATTGACTCTAATTTAAGTGATCTAAAATATCAGTGTCTCAGGGATGCTTTTGTGATATATCTGCAAAGTTCCTTTAAATATTGAAAAATATCTCTCATCCTTCAAAATTTAACAACATTTAAATTTATGCCTTTAAGATATCAACTAATATTTCATCCTATCCCCCTCCCTGTCCACCTCCATCGTCTGCTGGCCTGCATGTGTCCCTGTTTTCAGTTGCTGTCTTCCTTCTCCTCTCCTCTCCCCCCTGCTCAACAGGAAGTGGACGAACGGGACATGAGGAGGTTCCAGCTGAAGATTGCAGAGCTCCACTCGGTCATTAGGAAGCTGGAGGACAGAAACGCACTTCTGGCAGATGAGAGGAATGAACTAGTGAGAAACACAGATGATCATGGAAAACACTTGTGTTCGCTCACTGGATTGATAAATAACATAACTGTACATGCACAGGAACATGGACGCAAAAAAAATCTCTATAAAAATGCTGAATCTTATTCTAACAACTAAATATGTTGGAATTCAATGTCAGCAAAGGTCAAGACTTAAGATTACAGTGTTTTCCCCACCCCGTTTCCTTCCTCTGTTCAGCTAAAGCGAGTGCGAGAGGCAGAGAGCCAAATGAAGCCAATGTTTGAGAAGAATAAACGGCTGTCCAAGAAGAATGATGACCTCCTACAAACTCTCCAGCGGATGGAAGAGAAGCTCAAGAACTTGAGTCGAGAAAATGCAGAAATGGTAAGATGACACAATATTCCTACTTGTGTTATTAAACAAAGATAAGGTTCAAATACTTAAGTTTCACTCAGCAGATGAAAAAAATGCACTACTTTAGTCAAGTTAGTTGTTTCACCCCCTCCCCCAAATCATTATATTTAGGTTGTCTGATCATTTTCATGGCATTTCATGCCTCCCTTCATGGTAATTAATCAGGTTTAGCAGCTGACAGGAGACCCAGAATTACATTGGATCCAGTGTAAATGCTGATGCAAAGGGGAGGGTGGCTTAATGCTGCTGTAGGGCTTAGACTCTTACCGTTAGTTCCACTGAAAGAACTTCAGCATACCAAGACATTCCGGACAGTTTCATGCCCTCAACTCTTTGGAAACAAATTGAAGATGGCCCATAAAATTCCAGCATCTATTTTCTGTCCATCTGTCCTTAAACTGTGTCCATATAGACATGAAGACCAAGGTTGGTGCTCACCTCCACCAGACAGAACAGAGGAATTAAAACCGAGACTGTGAGCTAGGCTGTATTATCAAACATCTATGTTTTGCAAATGGTTGCCTTGGAGAATGATCAGATATTTACATAAACACAATCTGATTACCATGTGGAAAGCTGTCCCAGAGGAGTTAAAGCTGATGGAGAGTCAAAAGGCTGGCCAATTCCAAATTAAAACCTTCATTTTAAAATCAGGATTTTGTTGAAGGTCATGTTTGTCTTAAAAAAAATCTATTCAGCCCAACAGGGAATATTTTGTAGAGTTATGTCACTTTCCAAAGTACCTTAACTTGTGATGTTAATATGATAATAAAGCCAGTTATTTGTGGTGCAAGTGGGTAAAATTAGGAAAAGGAAATAATCAAGTTTCCCTCTAATTGTCATGACCATATATAAACTTTATCCTGAGTTGCAAGAACTTTAATCTTATTTTTCTACCAGAGCAAAGTATGATCACATGTTGCTATGTGGGCCGTTAATTAGAAATAATGAATCTTTTATCTATTCTGTTATTTTCCCAATGTCTCTGAAAATTGAAAATAGAATTAATTACCTTTATTTTTTGACAAATTTAAAAAGGGTTAAAAAAAGGAAAGAAGGTAGCATTGCAAAGCTTCTAAAAAGTAAGTACTCATCTTGGCAGTATAGATGTCCCTGCCTGCAGTAAGAATCTCACATCCTGCTCTAGAAATAAGATTCACCCATTATTAAATACACCAATGCACAAGGCAGTCTTATTATACTGCCTGTTTTTGTCAGGGGTTTAACATCATCACAGTAACAATGATTCTTGTTTATTTATTTTCTTTTGACAGTTTGATGCCCAGCAATTCTTCAATTGTTTAATATCTTCTTGCTTTTGAGTAGCTCATACATACTGAGATCATTATCAGAGCTCTTTCTGCCACTCAGCAAAACATGATTAAGAGCCCTAAGCAATGACCTGATTGTATTAATGGCATTAGAAAGGCCTGTAGAAACTGGGGCCTCTAGCGGCAGTTAAATGAACTACAATAAACTACTTATGATTCCTGTTTTTCCTTCCCCAGAAGGAAAAGGCCTCTTCCTCTAGACCACCCTCTCAACACCAGACCACTCAGCCTCAGTTAAAGCGACCCAGTTCCCTGACAGACCTTAGTCACGCCCACGAGGAACAGGAGGTGGAGTTCCTCAAACTGCAGGTTGCTGAGCAACGTGGCATCATTGACGAGCTCACGCAGGTAATCATGTTTTACAAAAAATGTTGCATGTAAATAAATCCTTTCTGTAAATTGTAGTATGGATATGAAACAGGTTTTAGTTTTCTTAATTTTACATTAAATCTATTTTGTAATTGTAAAGTAATTAATAGTTTTGTGGCAATATTGTGATTTTTTTATTTTTGAATGTTTACTCAAAATGTTCTCCTTCACTAATACCATGTGGATGGTTCCTCCCATTAGCTTTCTGAACATTTCTAGATGCATCACGTAAAGAGAACAGTTTATATTTGTTAACTTTAATACAATTTCATTCAATTACCCACATTGGAGAGTAATAGGCTACACCACCACACCAGTTACTGTTTTTTAACACTGAAATGGGCCTTGTCCTTAGTCTGTAATTGAGTGGGGTTGTGTAATTTTTTTATGTTTCCTGTACTTGAGCTACCTCATTCAGCAGAAAGTGTCATTTTATATATATAGTTTGGAGAACAATTACATTATACTTTTTTTTATGTATTCTAATGTTTAGTCTGGCCGTTGTTTGGTTTATATCCGCTGTTATCTGGGAGTGGAGTCAGATTTTGAGGTTTCTTTGTGGTGTTTCTTTTTTCTTTTTTTTCTTTTGAGGAACGGGACCGGTTGGCAATGAACAAGAAAAACCGACGAAAAGCAACCAAGCTGCCAAAAGTAAGCTTTCATGATTGCTTTACCACACATGAAAACTAACAGTGTCACTAAGCAACTCTGCTATCACTAGCTGACAGATCCTTAAGTATTTCTTCAGCTGGTACTCTGAATATTCTTCTGACTAATTAGGCTCTAGGGACAACAATGACGACCTAAGGATACTGCCTGAACAATCCTCACAGTCAAACAAAATTATATTACTTTTTTTTTGTTAGAAAACAAAACAATCTATAATTTGCTGTTCATAAAATTTGTCCTATTTTTTTAACTTTAAAGGGGAATCAGCTTCAAGGTATTTTGGTTTAATGAAAGCGGCTCTGACGTGCAGCATATGACTGGGCTTGTTTGAGCTCATGTGCCAGGGGACATTTCAAAGTGACGGATGCTGTTTGGAGGAGGAGATTCTAGTTCCATTGTGTTTTCTCCATCTCTCTTCACTGATTGGTTTGTTTTAGTCTGAGCTGCTGGAGAAGAGTGGTGTACACTTGCTTGGGTTTTAGAGATAAACTTGGACCATTGGGTCACATTTTAGGAATATAAAACGCATGCTGAAGACTCTAGGGGAGAAAGAGAGAGAGAGGCAGAAAATCCCAGAAGCTGACTTTGAGCTTTTTTGGAGTGTGCTGTTTAACAGGAAGCTTCATTGTCTGTTTTTTGCATGGGAGGGGGAGAAAAATATTTGATCTCTTTCTTACATCACTGAAGCCTTGGATTGTACTCAAAAGAGAAGCTGCTGGACTCCAGGATCATGACAGAATATATCCTCCTCATCCTTTACTTCTCCTCCTTCATTTGCCTGTGTGCTTTAGTTTGCCTTTATTTCTCTGGTTGCCAGGAGATGACTTATAAACATGATGGTAAGATTAAGAACCTGTGGAAAAGTTACTGGCTAAATATGTATGTAAGAATGCAGCTATTTCATCATCTGATACACAAGAAATTACAGTATTAACAGCATAACAAAAACGGCTTTAATTAGATCAAAGATGTAGTGATCGTTAGAATGTTAATTACAAAATATAACTTAGGATTTAACAGACGTATTCAGAGTATGATTTCTTTTTCCTACAGAGGCATGTTGTGGAGACATATTTTGGATTTGATGAGGAATCGATAGACTCTGAGACGTCATCTCTCACCTCCTTTAACACCGACCTGACTGATCGAACACCTGCCACACCTGAGGAAGATTTGGAAGAGGTATGTGACCATCTACCTAAAGAAATGTCTGATATCTGATTGAAAACGCTTAAACACAGACACTGTTTACCCATAGTTCTCAAATAATTTGTTCTAAAAGCCTGATAGTGGTAACTGATTGGATTGGATTCAAACTTGAAGTGTGTTAACTTGACCTTTTCCATGCTTTTATGTCAGACTGTTTCCCGTGAGGAGTCAGAGCTTCGTTTCCGACAGCTCACCAGAGAGTATCAGGCTCTCCAGCGAGCTTATGCACTCTTGCAGGAGCAGAGTGGGGGATCTCTGGATGCCGAAAGGGAGGCCAGAGTATGTATCCATTTATTTATTTATTTTTTTCACTCTCTTGGTTGATGGGCATAAGTATAACTTTAAACTCCACAATATCCTCCCATAGACACGTGAGCAGCTTCAGATGGAGCTAAGCAGCTGCCAGGCAAAGATTATTGACCTGGAGAAGGCCTTGGCAGAGAGTGGACAGGTAATAAAGACGAGGGATGGGGACAGGAGCTCGGTGGTCCTGCCCTTACTGGTCCTGCTGCATGTCTGTTTGGCTGCTCTGCTCCTCGGATGGCGTTATGCTGAGCAGGTGTTCCGCAAAATCCTGTGATAACTCCATCATGCATGTTCTTTGCTCTTCCATGGCATGCTCATGTTCGTGGTGGTGGTCTGCATCCGGTCACTGTGCTGCCAACTCAAAAGTTAGACCTAAGTTAACTTGAATTCATTTTAGTAAAATAATCTTAGAAATATTTGCATGTCAGTATTAAAGGTTTTAGTTTAGGTTTATGAAAAAGTCATTATGAAATGGGAAACATCTCGTACTGTAAAATAAAGTTAATTATTTGATAGTCAAATATTATAGTGAGCTAAAAACAGATAAAATGATCTCTAAATGGAGTCAATTGTAAAACTATCCTTGTTTTTCTGCATGTTACACCCTCCTCCACTGTGGCTTGATGCAGCCTTTGCTCCTCTGGTTTGCTTCTCTGCTGTTTTATTTCCTCTCAGATTGCCTTCTGTTCCTCACTATGAATACTGGTTGGAGGCAGCTATATTTTCTGTTTTCACCAGAGTGGGGTCTCTTTGCCTGGATTAATAAACTGGTCCTCCTCATACTCTGCTTCTGTCTTTTTGTTTCTGTGTACGTCTCGGTGTGCCTTTCAGATTTATTTCAAACATTGTATGTTTTGGTTTTGCTGGGGATGTTTGCTGACATCTTCGCTTATTACACCCAGTCACTGGGGATTTCACTTTCCCTCTGCTGCCAAGTGCCTTCTTGCTGATGTTGTGTTTGGTTGTTATGGTAGGATTCAAAGTGGGTGGAGGAGAAGCAATACTTGATCAGGACCAACCAGGAACTGCATGAGAAGGTATGTTACATTGCATATAATCACTTTGCTCAACATAAGCTGTCTCAGTTGATTATTCTTTAGCTAAGAATCTTGTTCTAAAGATTAGAGGTTTGAGTTATAAAACAAACACTTTACTGTATTGCAGTAAAACTCTTTTTACCTGCCAAACTAAAGCTCTCATTCGCCAACTCAATTTTAGGTGTAATTATTTACCAAAAGTTAAAACGCAATCAAGGATTGGCTCCTCAGCATATGAACTTTATAAATATGGAATACTTTTTCAGTATGACAATAATGGATATCACGATCCCATAGTGAAAGCTTTTTTAAAATGAAATATATTTAAATTCCTTTTAAAGTTAAAGCAATCACAAAGCACTTAAACTATAAAACAGCAATTCAAATAAAAACATTAAAATAAGATGCAATGGCCATAAAATAAAAATGAACATTTAACAAAAAGCCTGTTTAAAAGATACATTTTAATTGCTTCTTACCAGTCTAGAGTCAACTAAACAGAGCTACAAAGCCAACTGTTCCACAGCCTTGCTGCCTGAATGGTTCCATCCCTTTTATTTTCAATCTGGTTTGTGAGAAAACTCACAGTTGTGCTTGATATGTTAATGTGAGAATTTTAAGGTGTGAACCTTAAAGATGATAAAATGATGGGATTTAGCTTTCTAGAATGAGTCTAAAGTCTGGCAGAGGGATTTTGGGTAGTTTGGAGACATGAGATGGAAGATTTATCCAACCCAGTAAATAGAGCATTATAGTAAACTACCGTATTTTCACGACTATAAGGCGCACTTAAACGTCTTTTTTTTCCCTCAAAATGTGCGGTGCGCCCTATGGTGCGGTGCGCCTTATGTGTGTTGTAACTGCGACTTTTGAGACCACCTCATTGAGGAGATGATGAAAGAGTGGCTGAATGTAAGGAGACCAGGTGTTTTTTTTCCACCCCTCACCATCGCTGTTAATATGTAACTCCATGCGTGCCCATCTCACAGCTGATGTGAAAAACATGGGGAAACAAATTAACGCTGTGCTCGCTGTTCAACCGCTCGACATCGGTGTGAACCGGACCCAGCAGGTGCAGCAGAAGCAGCGAGTTTACATGCAAAGTCAATGGTTGACGCGCATATAGGTGCAGCAAAAGGTCCTGCAGCGCGTTTTGGTGCAGCACGTCGGGAGCGTTTAAGCATCTGACGCACCGCCAACGCGCTGCTGCTGCTCAGATGGAAAAATTGAAGTTTTGCTGCTGGACGCGCCGCATCAACCAATCAGAGAAGCTGATCTGGGAGCTGGCTGGGAGACAGACACAGCGCTCTGATGACATGATATTAATGCAAATGAAAAAGGCTGGATGAATGAGGAGATGATGAAAGGCAGGTGTATGTGAGGAGACCAGGTGCTTTTTTCCACGCATCACCATCGCTGTGTGCCCATCTCACAGCCGATGTGAAAAAAAGATGAATCAAATGAACGCTGTGCTCGCCGTTATCTCGGGGGTCTGACAAAGGAACTTCAACCGCTTGACATCGGTGTGGAGCGGCCGTTCACAGTAAGGCTGCGAGCGGCGTGGGAGCGATGGATGACAGACTGAGACCACAGTTTCATGATAAATGGAAGGCAGCGCCGTGCAAGTTACGCCACCGTTTGCGGATGGATTGTAGATGGACTGTGTCTGCTGGCTCTGTTGTTCAAGCTTTTGCAAAAGCAGGCATTATTTCTGAGGAGCTGCGCTGCACGGAAAGTGACTGACAGCGCAGAAAAAGGGGAAACTGGCATGTCTGATTTAGCGCAGCTGTTTTATTCAGAGGAATGCTGAGGATAACAGAGGATGATGACTTTGATGGGTTTGATTAATACTTTGTAATAAATACATGAATAAAGCACAATCATACTCAGGTTTGCTCCCGCTCTATTTTTCTACCTGAAAACTTAATTCAACAGCAGCCTCTGAGCGCGTCTCCTCCTCTTCAGCGCGGTGGCTGGCAGGTGTTTTTTTCATCTAAATAATCTAAATCTTGCAGCTATATTTGCTGTGATCAGTGGGAATAAAGTAGTTTTAATATGTTTTTAAGTGAGAAAGGCCACCTGAAAACTTAATAATTGCAGTCAGTTCATCCAGATTATCTATTTCTGTCGGAGGCGCTCAGACCCCCACATACCAGCGGTGCACCGACAGTAGAAATCCTTTCGTTCACCGCGGCTGCTGGCAGGTGTTTTTCATCTAAATAATTTTAGCTGCAGGCACCAGGATACCGGTAATAAAAGCGAACATATTCCGTCGGCAGGTTTCAGGATTTTAAGTTAATTTAGGAGTGACCACAGCGCTGTGTCATCTGCGATGTGTCTGTCTCACGGCCAGCTGCCAGGTTTGATTAATACTTTGTAATAAATACATGAATAAAGCACAGTCATACTCAGTTTTGCCCCCGCTGTATTTTTAAATACGCAGTAGAGGTATTTAAAGGTAGTAGAGGACATGTACCTGTATATAAAAAACGCGCCCTATAGTCCGGTGCGCCTTATGTGTGTGTTAAATACAGAAATGGGACACATAACTGAGAGTGCGCCTTTTAGTCCGGTGCGCCTTATGGTCGTGAAAATACGGTAAGAGCAGTGACAGACGCATTAATTCATTTTCTATTCAGCTGTAGTGACAGTGGGCCTCATGCAAGAAGTGTTTGTAAAAGAAAACAAATAAAACTCAATTTGTTCTTAAATTGTATGTATGAGTGATTGAGGAGAAAATATTGCATTCACCATTTTTCTCTTATTTCTAATATTCTCTCAGGTACAAACAAATTTTACCAGTGCTCCAGTCTGGCGCAGTCAGCTGTTATCTAAACCCACTTTTTCACTAAATTACCACATTTGCAGTTACATGGACACAGTTGTCCATTTTATTAGGCTACTTCTTTATATATATATATATTATGCAACTCTGCAATAATGAATTACATTTTTATTTGCTGATTACAGAAAAGTCGGCCAGTACGCTTGCTCATGGAATGTTTGTTATTTTGTCAAAAGGCAGTCAGATCAACCTAATATTGAAATAACATCTGGAACAGAAAATGATAGAAAATTCAGCAACGTGTTGCTGCTTGAAACTTCTCCCACAGTAACACTGGCTTTCATTTCACTCCATGGCTGCTCCTTGGCTTTGTTATTGCGTAACCATTTAGAGTTTTGTTATTTTATTTTTTCTATACATTTGTTTTATGAGAGAGATAGGGAGTTCAATAAAGGCAAGACAGATGTGGTCTATAGCTGGAGATGTGCAGTAAACGTGTGGATAGGTGTGTGTTTGTGTATTAAAAAGAGATTTAGCAAAAGGTTGTGTCATTTTGGTTGATGGAAAACTCATATTTACATCGTATTTACAGCTCATTATTTATAGCTGTTTTGATTTATTCCCCACTGCTTGGATTTTACTGGTCCTTTAAATCTGCTGCTCAGCTCCCAGTCAGCAAATCTTTGATCTGCGAACCAGAAAGGTTTTTCTTCTTTCTCTTGCTTCTGACGAGCGTGGGAAGTCATAGCCTTATATGACATTATTACACACAGGTGGACTGCATCAGGTTTACGAGGATCATTTACTGAAGTTAGGAGCGGTTGTTGAATCTGACGTGACAACTTGTTGGAGAAAGATTAAGGGAAAATTTATTACAGGAATATGAAAGTGTTGATGCATGAGGCCCATTGTGTCAGAGTTAAACAATTTTATTTTAGTTAAAAAAACATGAGTGAGAAGGATTTTAAATCTGAGTCATGGCCCAAAGAAAAACTAAAGAGGATTAGAGTTGGACAAAATAAAGCAATAGCCTGACTGCTTTTTTTTTTTAAAGTGCAAGAGCTCCTATAATGTGCGTCTCTGTTGTTTTGGAGTTTAAAGAGAGGTAATTTTTAGAAAGATAATCACAGATATTGGATAAACGGTGGACAAAGGTAGATGATAAAGCTGATCAGCAATGGTGGCCCTAAAACTGCTGAACTAAACAAGAAATGGTTGGACTTCAAAGTATTTTAGTTTTTATTGTTTCCTTTCTTCTCTAAAAATAAATATTAAAGCAATATTTATAATTGCTGATTTCCAAATGAAAAATGTCCCTGCTATGTACGATAACATTTCTTGCCCTTTGTGTGTGTAGATCTGTGCACTGCAGCAGGCAGAGTCGCGGCTGGAGGCCGAAGTTCAAGACGCGCGGGACCAAAATGAGCTGCTTGAATTCAGGGTGCTTGAACTAGAAGTAAGAGACTGTCCCACCATCAAACTGTCAGTGGGAAGCGAGAATAACAATCTTAGCTCCAGATGCAAAGCGTACATACAGTGACCCATCAGGCATGCATGTGTTATGCTGTCTATACTGTTCCTGACTGTTCCTTATCATATGCACCTGTGTTCTCTTGGTTTTTTGTCTGCATGGCAGCTGTTTGCGTATCATCCACTGAACTGGATTTTTTTTGGTTGTGTTTATTTTTCTGAACAAACTGTATAAAGATGAATATTATTTTTTAATGGAATAAAATATATTTAAGTTTAACATCCATTTCAAACTTTGAGTTTGTCATTTTTTGTAAGCATGCTTCTTTGTTTAATTGAAGTTAAGAATCATATATTTTTTTCCCACGTATTGGAACAATGAGGCAAATGCAACTGCATTATTATACTAATAAATCTGATGTTTTCCAAATTTTTATTCTCCAATTAGGGAAAAAGTCGAATCATATCCGTAGTTTTTAGTTTTAGCATGCATCCCTGTCGATTTGTTTGAGTTTCACCTCCATCGTTTTGGCAGATCCCGACCAATGTTTTCACTGTCATGTAAGTAAATCCTCAGTCCCTCCCATTTCACTGCATTCCTTTTTCACATTGAAAAATAGTCATTTGAATTCTTCATTTATTTAGAACCATCAGTGTCTTTACAAGTCATCCCTGTATGGCTGTTTTTAGATGTATTCAGTATTGAGATGGTGTTTGTTTCTGTAGGAAAGGGAACGCAGATCTCCTGCACTCAATCTCCACATGTCTGCATTCCCTGAAAACAGCAGCAGTGCCCTGCAGACCTACTGCCGCCAAGAGGGAGTGAAGGTAGCTCATCTGCACAAAAACATTTTTATACATCATCTTTTTACATTAATGCTGTCATGATATGTTGAATTTCTGTATTTTCTCCCTATAGGATGTGATAATTCCCGAGCTTATGAAAAAACTTGATATACTAGGAGATAATGGGGTTAGTTTGATCGCTTTTGTATTTTTAAAGCCAACATTTATATCCTGTAAGAATATTTCTTTCAAATTTTTTGTACAATATCTGTAGAACCTCAGAAATGAGGAGCAGGTGGCCGTGATCCAGGCTGGGACTGTGATCTCACTCTGTGAAAAGGTGAATAAAAGCCTCTCTTTAGTGACACCCTGTGGATTAATGCAGTACTGTAGGTGTAAAATCAGCCTACTAATCAGCTTTTTGCACATTTGTACTTACATTATATTTACAACTCTGCAGTTCATTGTATGCTTTTCCTTTTTAACGCACAGTGGTTGAAGCAGGTAGACAACACAGAGGCAGCACTGACTCAGAAAATGATTGACCTCGAAAACGACAAAGTAAGAAACCAATTCAGACTTTACAATTTATATTTAAAAACACACAGAATCTCATTCATGGCCCTCATTATATGGAGTCTGTATTCTCATCTTGTTGCAGGAGTTGTTCAGTAAGCAGAAGGGATTCCTTGAAGAGGAGCTGGATTACAGGAAGCAGGCTTTGGATCAGGCTTACATGGTAGGAGCCCAGTAGGGGTAACATGCAATTTAGACTTTTTAATATTCAGTTAATTTAAAATCATGTGCGATTTTATCAGAGCTCTGTAAAAAGCATAATTTCTCTAGTAACTGATTAAAACATCCAAGGGGCACAACATGATCATTTCAGCATGTAACATAAGCATTGAGAAGCCCATTAACTGCTGTGAATGCAACATTTTTCATTGAAATAACATTTTTCACATTGTGTTGGGATACTGCATCTTTTACAACATAAGACCAAATTCTGTGATTGGTTTCTGGCCCCCAGTTTGCTGGGTTGATTATTTATTTCTGACCTGGTCTGGTTTTTATTATTGATGAAGACCTTTTACTGACTTAGTCTCTGTTCAACAATTTAAATGCAGATGCTGTATATTATTTTGATATAATTTTAGGTTGTTTTTGGGTCAAGTCTAGGTAAATTGAGTAGATTTATTAAATATTTTCTGAGAAAATACAGTTACTAAGAATTTATTAACCCCCTTTTAACACACAGGAGTTTCATGTTTTGTTAGTTTTTCTTTTTTTACACCCTGACTTAACGTTCTTCTGTCAATCTTCATGCTTTTACCATTTTATTTGTATCCGAATGTTAGTTTGTATTTTATTTCATATTGCTTTATCTTTTTCCTTTGTATTTACTGTGTTATATAATCTTTACTGTTCTCCTAAAGAATGGCAGTCTAAGCAAAGATTGTGTTAATAAAAGAAAAGGATTTCTACATAAATGTTTAATTCTAAACAGAATACTAAGTAGAATGGTATTCCTTATATATAACATGGTCACAGTGCTATGTGTGTGTGTTTCTGTGCAATCTGTGTTTCCGTTTGTATGTGCTCCTGTGTGCATGCCTGCATGTCCCTGTGCTCGTGCATGTGCACGCCTGCGTGGGTGGTTTTTTTGTACCTGTATGTGTGTGTATGTGGCTGGCTGTGCAGAGGATCGAGGAGCTGGAGGCCACGCTGTATAGCGCTCTGCAGCAGGAGCAGCCGGCATGCCAGGCGGTGGCTGAGTCGCTGACAGACAGGCAGAGGGAGGAGCTGAGGCTAGCCGTGGACAAGTTGCGGCGTCAGATTCTCCGGCAGAGCCGGCAGTATGACAGTCAGATCTTACAGGAGCGCATGGAGCTCCTACAGCAGGCCCAGCAGGTAAGGCTCTAAACAAACCCAGTCAGGTTTTTACGTCCTGCCTGCCCTCAGTCTGCCCACTAATAGCTGTCTGAAACTTCTGAGCCCACCACCAGAGCTCTGGTGCTTTGAAAAAGATGCAGTATCCCTCTGTTTTCCTCCCTACAATTCTGCTGAAAGTTGACATGAAGAAATGGAAAAGCAAAAGATTAGTCAGGCTCAGGTTATCAGTGTGTGACTGTGTGTGTTTCATTGTATAGTAGTCTCACTCCTTTACTGTTCACTCACTCAAGCAGCACTCTTTGTAAATTTACACACGTGTTTATTTTTGTGCACTTGTTATTCATTAAAACCACATCAACACCCTAAAGTCATTCAAACCTGTGTACCTAGACTCATTACCATGACCAAATCTAACCAAGGAACACTTTGAACACTAACACATCATTAATGCACAACACTAACTCAATCAAAATGTCTAAACCAAAGATGAAACTTTATTAAGTATAAACTTTAGTGTCAGAGTGGGAATTTTGATGTTATAGCTGATAAATTCTCTCCAACAAAATAAAGTAAAAGAGTTATTTTGTGTTATAAAAATTAGTTTGTCAATTGAATGAATGATTTAAAACAGATTTGTGTTAAGATTTAAAATTCTGCTGACCAGCTAACTGCCTTTGTTTTTGTGTTGCAGAGAATTAGAGAGTTGGAGGACAGGATTGACTTGCAAAAGAGACAAATAAAGGAAATAGAGGAAAAGGTACAAGCTCAGAATTTTGGGGGAAATGTTTTCTGTCCTGGTTAGTAGAATTAGCGTGTTTGAAATATTAGTTAAATTATAAATTTACCCCTATAAAAAACACACTTGTATTTAAATGGGATTTTTTGTGATTAGCGAACACAAAGTTGTAAAAGTTGTAAAGTGGAATTAAAAAAACAACTTTTTTTTATCCATAAAGAAAAAAACCTGTTAACATGTTGACAGAGATCTTTCCTATGTTCCAGAATTACCTTTCACTGCATTGATGAAAGTCTTTGGCTGTGTCTGAACATCCGCCCTAACTCCTCAATCATATAGAGCAGCGACAATATAGTGGACTTTATAGTGAACTCGGTTAACTTCCTGTTAGGACAGATGATCACTGCTTTTCGCTCCCCAAATCTGAAATAGATTTGGGGATTTATAGATCAACCTCTTTGTGTTTGTTGATGACATAAGATCCCACTGAATATAACTGAAGTTTGTAGCTATAACTGGTGAAATGTAAAAAAAAAAAAAAAAAAAAAAAAAAAAAAAAAAAAAAAAATGTTTGAGGGGTATAATGATTTTGTTTTATACACCAAAGCTACTGTGGTGATGTGCTTTATTGACATCCTCTTCTATTCTTCTTTTTCTCCTTGTCATACACCAAAAATCCTTTTTCCCTCTTTAGTTTTTGTTCCTTTTCTTATTTTTCTCTTTAGCATTTATTCTTTGGCCTTAATGGAGGTGTCCATGGACTCTCAGGTAAATCCCGACTAACTATATTGCAGTTATTTTAATTTACTGAAAGTGAGCAGGATAGTAATGGTAAACCTTTCCCTTTTGTTTTCTTAGGTGTTGACTTGTTGTGGAGAGAAGCAGAGAAAACTTTATTGTCTTTTTATGTTTATTTGTCAGTTTCAAACAACCTTATGGCCTTTTTGATAAATGTGCACTTTGCAGAAAACCCCCTACTTAGAAAGCAAGCAGATTTGAAAACTAAAATCGTATATACTTTGAAGAAAAGTGCATTGTTTATTATTACAGCATTGCATTTGTCTTTGAACCTGAAGCAATGGACTTCTTGGTGGGAATTAAATCAAGCAGTTTTATTGTGAGTTTCTGAACATTTTACCGATTTGGAAAAAAAATAACAGCATGGAAGAATGGCCTCAGTGAAAAGAAGAAATGGAGGGAGGAGAAGTGAATGTTTATGAGGGGGGGCAGGCTGGGAGACGAATGGCTGTGGAGGATTCCTGTAATGAGTCTGTGGAGTTTCTATGGAAACCGGATTACAACTAAGTCCACATATAAAGACATGGAACTTACTGGAAGGATCTAACTTTAAGCAGTGGAAATAAAAATTCAGGTCTGTATAAAAGTTTGATCATTTTTAAACCTTTATTTCCCATTTTTGTAGAAATTTATTAACTTTTTTTTAAAGCTTTTATAGAACACAAGTTAAAATCTGTTATGTTTTAGAATGCTGTTCTTTGTACTTCTCTGATCTGTCGTCTACAATAAGTGAAGTATTAGTCAGATTTGCTAGGTTCCTTTGCAGTCCCAACCCACAGGTTCTGGTATTAACGGTGCAATGTGGTGATGATTGACTAGACTGAAGGTGGTCAAAGTTTTAGGGATGTATCCTGCAGAGTGGTACAGTAGGAGCTTTGGGAAAGAGGAGGTTTGGTAGGAGCTGAGGTAATCTGAGCGATACTTCTGCCCAACAACTTGCCAGCAAGCTGTTGACATGTTGAATAATAGATGAAGATATTCTAAATTTTCAGTTTGTCAGTTTTCATGTTGGACATAAAGCTTGTTATTAAACCCACAACAAAGAAAAAGCTCTTAAAAGTTTTTCTTTTCATAGCTCGTCCTGCAAATAAACTTTCGTCAGAGGATAGAGGCTGGTCTACGAAGGATCACATGACCTCAACGGGCAGAGCAGGTTCTAGAAGCAGCTCTGTTACAAGGATCTGACACGGACCTGTAGTTTGTGTATAACGGACAAGGAAGACCTGAAGCACAAAGCTTTTTAAGGAACAGGTGGGAACCCGCATGACATGGGATCCAGTAACACTACTGACTCCTGCTTCTTTATATGCTCACATTTAGCTGAGGAGATATCAGGTATCACAAATGGGTACCTAGAGTGTACGCTGTCATTTAAACGTAATGTGTTTGGCAGATTTTATCTAGATCTTTGTTCTTTTTTTAGAGCAGCTTTTAAATTTTTTGTCACTAAAAATTGTGAAAATTAAATCGAGTGCATTACTTTTTTTCAATACTTTATTAGAATCAGAGAGCTGCAGAATTACAAGAAGAGCCTGCTGCTTTATCTCTTAGCCTCTGCCTAAGAGCTCACAGCATGCAGCTCTCTCAGAGCCTGGACCAGAGACTCCACATGCTCAGACAGGAAGTCAGGACGATGGTGAGTGTGCTGGAAAAATCGAATTACAAATATTTGTAGCTTTTTCAATAAGTTGGTTTAGAATATTATTGGCAGGCTGGAACAGAATGTTTAAAAAGATATCATACATGGACAAAGCAGTATAATATGTCTTACATACATCATTCCTTGGAATTTAACTTGAAAAGGAAAAAAACAATTATTGTTGTGTTTTGATTAAGCTGCACTGATAGTTTTATTTTATTTTACTTATCTAAAGTTGCAATGCTTTGTGGGCTTTTGGTAAATTCTAGTTGATTTATTTGTGTGAATGTACAGCCCTTTTCAAGATTGTAGGAGACTGTTAATCCCATCAGGAGATGTCTGGAAAATTAATCTACTGCTTGTCATCAGTTTAAGTAGAATGAGGTTAATAAAAGAATAACAGCTGGAGGACATGAATAAGACAATGTCCTTTGCAGGAATGGCAGGTCATGGCCACTTTTTTTTTCTTTTTCTTTTTTTCTGGCTGTTTTCATTTTGTTTTTTCCCTTAAAACTTTGCATGTGGTCAGAGTGGCTGTTATTACTAACATCATGAGGTGATGCCTGGACACAATAGAGGCTGGTAGTCCATCTAATCCTGTTTTCAAACACAATTTAGAGCATTAAGTAGATATGAGGAGACAGGGGAGCTGTACATTGCTGCAGAAGGTCCTTATTTTCCATCCAAAAGACCAAATGTCTTCTCTTTTTTTGTAATAAGGAACAAAAAGAGGTCTGCCAGGCCACTCCTGTGAATGTCCCACACCAAACAATCAGAACGATATTATTAGGAAGATGCACAGATGAAAAAATACATTTTCCTTTTCTTTTTTTTAAATTACTTTCTGAAAGCCTAAACTTATATGGAAATGTATGAAAATCATTCAGTAACCATGTGCAGTTGAACTTTGCTGTGATTTCCCCCCCCCCCCACTAATTTTCCAACGTTTTCTGCTTCTACTCAGAGTCAGGAAAATGATCGAGAGGAGCAAGTCTGGAGAGACCGGCTACAGCGCTGTCAAAAGCAGCTAAAGGCTAAAGATGAGGAAATGAGTCGTCAGTCACAGTATTTTGAGAACTTTAAAGCTCAGCTTCAACAGAAACTCAGCCTGGCCAGAGACAGAGAGCAGAGTCTGCAGAAACGCATCTACAGTTTAGAAAAGCAGCTGCTCGACGTGACTGTCAGCTCTGCTACTGGAATGGCAACAATCACAGCTGTCAGAATTACTGCTGGGACTGTAATATACAGCGATGAAATTGACAGGTTAGCGTCTCTGAGAGGGGAGGGGGAGGGCGAGGAGGAGAACAAGGACAACAGGAGGAAGCGGTGGCAGCCAAATGTTCCAGCTGTGATCAGAGAGAGGCCACGGTTTGATGAGGGTAAAACAGAATCAGACACAGAGGAAGGAAGAGACAAAGAACCAAACATTTCTTCAAACGAGACCAGACTGCAAAATTTCATCTGCAGTTTGCAGGAGGATCTCAAGGTGCTGCTGGAGAGAGAGGAAGCAGGGACAACTGAGCGGGGAAAACTGTTAGAGGAGCTCCAGGAGGCTCATGAAAATGGCCAGTTCTTGGGCTGCAAAGTGGAAGAGCTGAAGGCAGAGCTGCTTCAACTGAGACAGTCAGAGAGCTCATTGACTGAGGAGATTAAAAAACTGAGAGAGGAAAACCAGAGTCTTCAGCAGATGCTTAGGGATGCAGCTAACCCCACACCTCCTCACTCATCTCTAAAACCTGAGGCACCATGCTTGATTTCAAATGCAGATTTCCTTCCCTGCAGCCCAGATACAGAAATCAGACAGTCCTTAGCAGGAACCCTGGGAAAGGTGTGTAAGCAAAAACTTTATCATTATAACCAGGCCTTAATACTTATTTTTGTTTATCTCAGAATTTTTCTTAAAAGCATAATGCAGAAAGTGATACAGAAAGGAAGTGCTTGAAATAATCTGAAAGAAAATCCTACAAATTATTCCTCATATATTTACTTATAGCTTTGACAGTTTTAGACACTCCTGACAATGAAAGCTAATCAGGGCTCGCTATTTACTGCTTTTATCTAACAAAAAGAATGTGGTCCATTTAGTGTCTGTAATCAAATCATCTAATGTAATTTATCAAAGAAAACCAAACATTCTTGACCTGCATAAGTAAAAATAACAAAAGCATACAAACAATGAGTCCATTAGTTTCCTGACACTCGAAGCTCCAGTCTCCCCATAGAGAAATGATTTTCTGTTACATCAGAAATACCTATAATTTTTCTTATATACCCAAAACAAATACAGCCGAAACCATTTGTTCACATATTTAGAGCTAAAAAGTCATTCTTTTGAACTGTGCATGTTTGTGAAAGTTGCATTTTAGCACATTTTTGATAAATTCATTAACTTTTGAGAAACATTTGCCACAGATCGATTTAAAGAGAATTAACAGGATTAATAGTAGAAATCTATCATTTACAAAATATATGCTTTTGTTGCCCAACTGTGAAGTGATTCTTACAGACCTGAAAGAAGTCGATCAAAGTAACTGGTGTTGGTTGGTAGACTAAAATAGATTTTTACTTCCTTTATTAAAAAAAAAAAAAAAGTGTGTGTGTGTGTATGTATGTATATATATGTATGTGTGTATGTATGTATATATATATATATATATATATATATATATATATATATATATATATATATATATATATATATATACACACTTTTTTTTAGATAGATAGATAGATTTGAGTCATTTATGGTCATATTGATCAACTGAATTAATTTAATATTTACATGACAGACATGTAAATATTCAATTGAATTTTAAGCATTACAGATCTACTTTTCTATTATAGTATAACAATATTCACTGTTTAATATTTCTCAACTGCTAACTAGATTGTAAGCAATTGTTTGCATCCATTTAACTTTTAGTATTTGTTGATATTTGTTTGATTTTTGTAGGTGCAGCTAAATGCAGATGAGAAAATCTGTCAGCCTGCTTTGTCTACAATTCCACCCATTGACCATCGGGGTGCAGCAGAGCTCAAGCTGAACAACAGAGAGAATCGTTTTCCCCCAGCCAGTTCAAAAGCGCCAAACCAAAATCCTCTCAACCTCTTTGACCAAATTGGCTCCAAAGCTCATCCAGAGTTCCAGTCACTTTCTTTTTCCACAGAGTCTCTTTCTCAGCCTAAACTGGGAAGCATGGAGGAAAATCCTAGTGAGGAATCTGATGCCCTGAGGGCAGCCTTTCAAAGCCTGGGCTTTGGTGATGATTTGCAAGCTCTTAAAGAACAACGTGACAAACTGGAGATTGAACTTCAGCGCACAACAGCAGAGCTACAGGCAAAAGTTCAGGAGAACGCTGACTTAAAGTTACTGCTCAGGAGGGAAGATAAACAACAACAGAGTGAAAAAGAGCAGAGCTCATCAAAAAATAAGGTATTTCATGTGTCTTTTCTCACTAAAAGGTTTAACTCTACCTTCAATGTACTTCATTATCAAATTTTTTTTTTTTTGATTTCTATGTTTTGTAGATTACCACCCAATCCTCTTGTAAAAGTGATCATCATCCTCAATTATATTCTTCCAATGATGATGCAGCATTTGACCTTGCTCAGACTGAGCTCATCCAAGCCCTTAACCAGGAAAACCGGGCTTTGGCGGACAGAATCCAAGAGCTGCGGGCTCACATTGAACTCAGAGAAGAAGAGATAAAGAAGGAG